ATTTACTGTGCCATAGTCTGCTTTTCCAGCCTTAAAATGAAGTTCAAAGTTTATTGCAACTTCAAAAATATATACAACACAAAAATTATCCCAACCAAACAATACATCTCCATTTACCCCCTGGTAGCTACTGTCAAGCCTTTAAATCATATGTCACGAGTTAAAAGTGAACACTGTCCTAAACTGTTCAGTTTTCACATTCTTCCTGAGTAGAAAGTATATACTCTGGAAAACTTCCTTGCAGATAGTGCACTGCTCAAAATTATTGGGCATTGCTCAAAATTCCCAGCTCTGTATCTTCATGCATATATGGAACTTGAAGATGGGCTTACCCAGGGGTCAGCAACCTTCTTCAGCTGTGGGCTGGCCCACTGTCCCTCAGACTATATTTTGAAAAAAAAATGAACGAATTCCTATGCCCCACAAATAACCCAGAGATGCAATTTTAAATAAAAGCACACGTTCTTCTCATGTAAAAACACCAGGCAGGCCCCACAAATAACCCAGAAATGCATTTTAAATAAAAGGACACATTCTACTCATGTAAAAACACACTGATTCCCGGACCGTCCACAGGCCGGATTTAGAAGGCAATTGGGCCGCATCCGGTCCCCAGGCCTTAGGTTGCCTAACCCTGGTCTTTCCCACTTGATACTGCCATGAGGGTTTTTTTCGGGGGGGGGGGGTAGGGGAGTAGACTGTATGCCAAGATTCTTGTAATTTCTGGGAGGCAACAGGCTGGGAAACAATAGAGTTAGAGTGATGTTTGATTTTTGTTTGAATCCAAGGCTCTCTTGGGATGTGAAAGCTGTGAATCCCTCCATTGTAGGCTCAGTTGTATATATGTATAAATAAACTATATATCGTAAAGATACCGATATCTCTGCTGTTCCTCATTCTAAAGGAAATATGAACCCAGGGTAAGCGCCTAGTACCTAGTAGTAGCAGCAGTAATAATAGTAATACTCTTATATTCTTGAAGATTTCAAGGATTTTGTAGGGTTTTGTAATTCTAAAGTTTTAAAGATCTATTTGTTCATTTATTGATATACTCTGTTACCTAATTTATTTTGATACTGGTTTTGTATTTTTATGGCTTTGGATTGAACTTTAATGCAGAATTTTTATTTGAAGCTGTCCAATAAATGTTTAACTAAACAATGCTAAATCGATCTCTGTTTGCTCCTTCAGTTAGTTTCATATTTTATTACTTTGATACTTTGATACTTTGTCAGTATCCTCCTAGGGTCCAAAACCTATTTGTTTGCAGTGTTGTTTGGTAGCACTTATGGCGTTAATAAATTAACATATTTCCGCATGCTTTAACAGGAGAAGGTGTTTGTTAAGGTATGTGGATCCCAGACTGTTTTGTTCCTGATGCTATCAGTTCCAGTAAAATTTTGTGTTTTATCTGAGAACAGATTTGTGGCTTGCAAATTGTAGAGTCACAGAATTTAACACAATAGTGGGCAGGGAGCCTGGAGAGACTTACTGGTAGGTTCCATCTGTTGAGACAGAGAGAGAGAGAGAGAAAGTTGGGGAAGTTCAGCATGAACTAAAAACTACAGAACTGATATCAGGTAAATGCCATGGAAGATTGCACTAAATTTTAATTATCACCAAGGTTGATTTCTAATGTTCCAAGTCAAATGCCATTTTCTTTCAAATGCTCTAGACTTTAGAGTTTAAAATGGCAAAATGGTCCTAAACAAGAGAACAATGACTGCCTTGTTCTGGAATGAATAGTTCTGCCTTGCTGTTACAGAAGTTGCTTTGTTTTGCCTTCATGCACCATATAATTATCAGTACCCTCTGCTAAAGCAAAAGAGATTATCTACACTTTGGTCCTATTTCATAATTTCAATGCTTGTTTCTGGTACATCCGTCAGTGTGGCCTCTAAGCACCATTCCACTGTCAATAAAAATAGCTTGCTAATCTATAAAAAATATTCTTGGAACCTTAGCTTCCATTAGAAACACTGGTGAACACTCATGTGATTTAAGGTAAATTAAAAATTAATATCCTTTATTTCAGGTGAAATCAAACGGCAACAAGCTATTCTATCCATGCTTACTCAGAAGTAAGTTCCATATAGGGCTGAAACAGACATGCAGATATACTGTAATTTGTATGTAAGACCAAGGGGAATACTTTCAGGGCAAGGACCAGTGTGTGAGAGAGTGCAGCATTTAACTCCTCACATGTCCACTGATTATTTCCTGTACATATCCCCTAAAGTTATTTCCCTCAGCCCCAGCCATAATTAAATAAGTTTCAGGGTTTAAGGGAGGGGAAATATCAACTAAATATCATTTGGAGGCGCTATCTACAGTACAAATTAGCAAGAGAAGCAATCCCCTCCCATTTAACAATTCTCTTCTGCAAGTGCCCCCACCACCAACATTAATAGGGAAAACCCAGGAGTTGGTGTGTGTCTCTCTCAGCATTTCCTCTGTTCTGCCTTATTAAGTTTACTCTCAAGGATGAATAGGACTGCAGCCTCAGCAAAACTTTTTTTATCGTACCACCATATGTATACCTGCTTGGGAGTAGGACCTTCTGAGTAAATATGAATACAGCCACATATAGTTGTAATATAACAGAAAGAGCCTTTAGGAAACACAACTACAGCATCATCTTATAGGCAGAGAGCCTTCTCGGTAGTGGCGCCCGCCCTGTGGAATGCCCTCCCATCATATGTCAAGGAAATAAGCAACTATCTGACTTTTAGAAAACATCTGAAGGCAGCCCTGTTTAGGGAAGTTTTTAATGTTTGATGCTTTATTGTATTTTTAATATTTTGTTGGGAGCCACCCAGAGTGGCTGGGTATAAACAATATTATTATTATTATTATTATTATTATTATTAGGACAGTGGGTGAGTCCAAACATGTGTACTGTCAGTTCTCCAATTCTATTATACATAATGGCTTTCTGCAATAGTGTCAGATGATTCTATGTTTCTATGTGTAGGTTTACAATGATATAGCTAGCGGTGCAAGCAGACACAGGAACTACATATGAGTTGTTGTCTCCAGTTCTGTCTCACACACCTTCCTCTCCCATTTTGCTTTCTGCATGACCTGTGTAGTGAACCCAGCAAACGTGGCTGTTCTTGCTGCAGCAGGTGGATCTATGCTCCTACACCAATGCAGTATCCTGGGTTAGCTTGCAAAACCAGTACAGTACTGCTCTTGGGCAACAAGCTGCCCTAATCCCCAGCCCTGCGTAGTGATATAGATTTGACTCTGATATTTTGTAATTTATTGATATTTTAATGAAACATTGTAAGGCAACATTTTAATTCCACTGGTAAATCAAAAAGCTATTTGTGTGGTCCTTTAGCACCTCACTGATCTGTTTAGCAAACACATACCATGTAGTTGTGTTATCCAGTCTGCTTTAGTGTAGTTCTGAAGCTTTCCTTTCAACCCAGCTCCACCCACCTGTCAAAATTGGTTGGAGGCAGGAATGCTTCTGATCTGAATACCAGTTGTTAATCAGCAAAAGCTATTCTGAAATTTGCCGCTTGTAAAGGTGGAAATCTGGTTAACCCAGCTCTATCTGTTTATAAAGCAAAATCAATGGTCCTTATTTTATATGGCGCAGAGGTTTGGGGTACCTCAAAGGTTTCTAGTCTAGAACCCCCACAGAATTATTTTTAAGAGCCCCTTTAGGCCTACCCAAAGATGCGCAATCCGCCATGGTTAGGCTGGAAACTTGTATGTTGAGCATAGAGAGCCAAATAGATAAAAGAATCCTCTGCTACTGGTTCAGAGTTCAACAGATGGACAACACATTACCAAAAAAAGGCCTGATTGAGCTCGCAAATGGATTACCCTTTAAAAACTGGGTATATCATGCTGCCCAACTGATGGGCAAATATGACCTCTCAGTGTCCGAGCTCAAAGAACTACATTCACAGAAAAATATTTTTAAACGGACCACAAGGGCAGTGGCTACAGGAGGGGAGAGTGCTACTGTGTTCATGTCCTGCTTGCAGGCTTCCCATAGGCATCTAGTTGGCCACTTTTCAGAACAGGATGCTGAACTAGATGGGCCATTGGCCTGATCCAATTCTCCCACCTCTACACAAGTTAAGCCCATTCTCAGTTTATCTCCTTGCTTCAAAGATTTTATGGGAGATGCATCTCTCTTATTTATCCTGATGGGGGCAAGTAAGAGGCAGTTGTGGTAGAGCAAGAGTTGGCATCATGGTACTGAAGGTAGATAGAACACCTTTTTTTATTTTGGTGGGGTGGTGATGGTGGTACATATATTTGCTGAGTGTGAAAAATAGCTCCCAAATGCCGTTTTGCTCTTGCAAATTATGTTAAATGGCATACTAAACGCTACCCACCAAAAATGGGAGAAATTAGAGGACTTCGGTGATGAAACAACTTGCATCTGGGAGGATCACTGCTACCATCAAGACTAACTGTTCTATATAATAATTGTGGAGCATTCTTTTCTCTTTGCCTCTTCAGAGTTATACATGCAGTGGGGATTTTTCCTCCCCATTTTCTTGGGCTGAAATATGCGCCTCCATTGTCCCACAATCCGTCCTATGGGAAAGGCAAGCCCGATATATATAATATATAAACACGACAGCGCTATTCCGACGTAAAACCCGCAGAACTGGAGGCAGCACTAGAGAAAGCCACCGCAATACACCTGAAAAGAAAGACCCGCCATCGGAAAACCACCACCGAACGGGCGCTCCCGCAGCCGCTCCCCTCCCCGCCTTCGCCCCCTGCTGCCGCCGCAAAAGCAAGCAACTTCTATGGTAACCGGAGCCCTTCTCGCCATTTCCTCTCTATGGCTCCCCCCCCACCCGCTCTGCTCCCGAGAGGAAAGGCGAAGTATCCCTGGGAGCGGATTGGCTGGAGCTTGCCCGGCAGCTGCGACCTGATTGGGCGGAAGGGGGACTAAGCGGTGTTTCCCTTTTAGCCCGCCCCTCTAGCTCCATCCGGTTTGGCCAGGGATGTGGGGAGGGGGAGAGCGGACAAGGAGGAGGAAGGGGGGGGGATTAGTTGGAGCTGCGCGGGGGCCTGACGGGACAGCTGGAGCCGCCGCCGCCGCCAACTCCCGCGCGGAGCAGGCGAGGCTGCTGGGCAGGTGAGTGGGGGGGGGGCTGCGGGTCCCGGGGGCGGAGGCCCCGCCGCCCGAAGGCCCCCGTAGACATCCCCCGTCGTCTCCCTGGAGCCCGAAAAGCAGCAGCAAGAGAGGGAGGGGCGAGCTGGGCCTCTGTGTGCATCGATAGAGGTTGGGAGGGCGGCCAGTTCACCTCCCTGTTCGGAGGCTGGGGGCGTCCTTGGGATGGAGGAGGCGGCGGCGGCGGCTGCGGGGTCTGTGCATGATTTGGGTACGTGCATGTGTGGCTTCGGTGTATTTAGAGATAACCTGCGCATGCATGCGAGCAGAGATCCCCGTTCCTCCACGGACTCCTTGTGTCTCTCCTGACACGCGCAACATGAATATCTCGCATAAGCAACGCGTGGGGGGACGGACGCTTGAACGTGGTGGCTCCCCTTTTCGAAGGGAGCTTGGGCAGGGTCGCATGGTGGGCTCCTTTTTTATGGTGGGTGGGCTTGCGGGGAATGGATGCAAGGAGGGATTTTGCGCCTGCTTTTGGAAGGGGAGCAGGTTTAAGGGTGCAGACGGGTGTGTTCACACCCGTGTATGCGTATGGGGAAATATATGTGTGTGTGTGTGTGTATATATATATATATATATATATGCGGTGCATATTGATCCACAAACCATCCCCTTCTCCTCCGGTGTTGGTTTTATTCTTTTGTTTTCAGAGATAGCCTCAGAGCAGGCAAGCAGAAAACTGTTAAATTGCTGGTTGATGGCCAGGGTTTTAGATCATCCCCCCCCCCCCCGAAACCACACATTTTTGGTTTGTTTCTGGCTAGCAAAGAGGCAAATGACAGTAGGTCCTGCTTGTCATGGAAGTTCGTTGGTGTAGTTGGGAAAATAATTGGGTGTAGGGGGGAGACATGGAGAGTTTTTTCTTCGTCTTTCCATGTTAAACTGGCTCTCTCCCTTTACTACTCCTTCAACGTGCTTTTTTTTCAGGGTGTGGAGGGATGAATGGTTTGGGTTGGTTGGCTTGTATAATCGTAGATCAATTATTTATTTCATGCACCAGTCACAAGTCTGAAAGATAGCAGCAGCACAGGTCTGTCATAGTGTAGCATGGTGCAATAGCAGAGGATGTTTCGACTTCTGGTCTGGGAGGAGGCTTGTATGGGGTAAACAGCAATCTTGTAAACAGAGTACTAATGCTCTTGATTCCCTGCCTATAAATGCTTTGTATTTCATAGCTCCAGCCTGTTGTAGTGAGTCTCTTTCTGTGAATAATGGTTGTTAAAGGAAGATGGAAACCATATGGTTGTGTGTGTGCAGATACAGTTATATGTAGATACTGTACTTTCATTGCTTTTAGTAACACACACACACAAACATTTTGTGACAGGTTGTCCAGCCAGCTGAAAAGACTGATTTGAAAAGGGAAGATGTCTTCTGAATCATTTTGTTTGGCTGCTCAGACCCGGTTTGATTCCAAATGGCTGAAAACAGACTTACAGGTAGGAACTCCTCTTTAGTGTATATAATAATATGATGTGTGTGTAACTTGATACTCTCTGTTCAAATACAATGCAATCTATTCTGCTAATAAAAAAAAACAAAGCCAGGAGATTGTGTATAATTCGCTTGTTAATTTCATACTGACCTGACAATTGCACAATAGAGGTGAAATATCTTTTTGTTATATTGGATATGTAGAATTTTGTTTACAGCTGGATTGAATTACATTTTATGTTTTCTGCTGAATGTTTCAAATGGCTAGTTCTTTCCAAAGTAGACGGTATCTTAAGGTATGCATCATAAGATTACTATAAGTAGTTTTGGTGTATTGCTCACTTGATTTATATATAGAAACTCTATGCTACTCTAGACTATGGAAATCTGATGAATTGCTATAGTTAGTGGTAAGAGACTTCAACTGTCTAAATGTGAGTTTTTTGAGTGATCCTCATTAGAACTGAGTAGTCTTGGATGGGCTGTGAATTTGGGTGGGTTAAGAAACCTGGAATATTGCCCCACTAGAGACCCCCTCTTTCTGTGTTAGTTGATATTTGGTCTTAAAAATTTGACAAAAACTGAGATGGCTGGAATGCTATGGATTTACACAATAAGAAAAGTCTTGCTGAATATCTGTTTTTATTTTTTATTTGTATTGTTTCATTATATTCCATGTAACAGTGATTGGGTTGTATCCAATGCTGCTTTTGCACTCACACAGCAGACTTCCACTTGTACAGTGGGGTTTTCCCTACTTTGCTGCCTTCTGTGCACGCCCAAAATCTGCTCCAGGGGGTTTGGGGAGATTCTGAGGCAGATTTTGGGGACACGTGAGATGAGAGGAAGGGGAAGTTCTGTTGCACAAATGGAACTCTGTTCATGCATTATTGGATACAACCCTCCTTTTAGTCCTTTCCTTACCCCCATTGCATAAAATTAGAAGAGTGAGATTGGGGATTGGGTGAGTGCTTTTTAAATTAAGTTGAACAGAACTTAAAAGTTGCATTGTGCTCCTCTATTCTATGCATTTTTAGCTTTCTGAGTAGAGGCTGGGTCAGTTTCTACAGCAATGGACATCACTTTTGTTGTTTAGTCGTTTAGTCAGGATGGATAAATTGCCATAGTCCTTTCTACTTAGTGCTTCCATGTATTTTGGACAGGATAGGAGGAATTTTTTCTTCTAATAAAGGATGCAAGGTGTACTGTAACTTGAATGGTATCTGAATGTGATGTCTGTCCTGAATGCAAACTGTAGGTTTTGAATCTTAAATCAAGTTTAGTGTGACCCGCTTGAGAATGAAAGAGAGTCCATTGATGTCCTCTGTATTTTTGTGTTTGATAGCATCCTGATGACTTTATGGTAGCTAAAATGAGATAGATTTCACTTTTCTGGGCTTGTGGGATGAAGCAAATCCATTTTCAGGGATAGAATGTTTTACAATGGGTCCTCCTTATCTCTTTTGTTTATGAAGGAAAATATTAGTGTGAGCATGAAATTAATGAGATGTGCGAAGTTCATTCAGATTTGTTATTAGATTTCGGGTTTGTGCTTGAGATTTGTTATTAGATTTCAGGTTTGATGATAAGAAGATTAAAGGTCAGATGAGAGACTGTAGGTAAATGACAAACTATATCTTTTGTGTACAGAAGATCCCAAGTTCAGTCTCTGGTATCTCCAGGTAGAAAGAAGGATGGAAAAGCAGGTGGCGAAAGAGATCCTGGATAAACAATTCCAGTGAAGTAGATAATACTGAGTTGGAACTGTGGGGTGTTAGACGAGGAGTAATACCTCTAGTGGGGGACATGTTGTTCTGCTTCTGGGGTAGTTTGTCCACCTTTGGTCCGCTCCCTGCACTCTGCTCTCCCCTGTAGCTCCTAGAAGCTGTCAGCATGTGACAGCAGCCACACCCTGGCAATAGCTTCAACAGACTGGCTAAACCAGGGTAGCCAATGGGTCCCAAACCCTCGGTGAGTTAGGGACTGTATGTGAAGACAGGCTCTGGCATATTGAGTGGATGAGATCAGTGGTGGTTCCAACAATCAGAAGGTGGTTTCTGCACATGCTGTAGAGGGAAGTGATGGGCAAATGAGGCTTGTAAACTTGGGAAGGTAGCCCATCTAGGAGAATGAAAACTCTGATCCTAAACCTCCTCTGGGTTATCTTTGAGAGAAGGTCACTTGCTCTGCTTTCCTTTGGAGGCTGAGAGGGGGAGGTCTTGTTGTCTGGGCAGCTCAGGACCTTCATACACTCTGGCCAGGGTCGTGCCCTGAGGAGGTCACCTTGGTGCAGCTAATGCAGCACTTTGACTCCACCCCTGGAGGCGCACTCCATTTATCCAGACAGATGGATGCCAACAAGAACAAGTTTGACCTGTAATAAGAAAGTGTACTATGTTCCTCAAGTAAGAAAGCCTACTTCTGATATATACAGTAGTCAAGCTTACCATATGGTGAGGGCTACTTTCTTGGTAGGTTTTAAACTGGAAGCATTTGGGTCTCTTAAATAAAACCCAGATTGGTCTTAAGTAGACAAATGGAGATTCAAAAATCATTGAGGGAATTAATGCATTACCGCGCAGTCTGAGACTATAGGCCGCAATCCTATAGGTTTTGTGGCCTCAGAATTGCATGCACTGCCCCATTCACAGCCACGAATGGGTTAGACTTTTATTTTGCTGCTTAGCCTTAGAGATTCCGTAGCATTTTCAGGTTAAAAGGGAAAATGAGGTGCATATGCCTTAATCCCCTGTAACTTGCTTCAACATAGTTAGACAATTTTCATCCATCGTGGATGACCAGGCAAGTTGGTTAATTACCAACCTGCTGAAGATGATAAAGGACTGATAGTTGCATCATAACTTAAGGTAGGCTTGGCCATGTGTCCCTGAATAAGAATAGAGATGCCAATATATCTATTACATTAAGCAGGAGAGAGCTTTATTGCCCAGCTACAGTAATTATCTGGCAGGGATGAATTTTGGACAACCAAGTCAGTGCATAGAAGCTCACAAATGATGTAGAAAATTGATTTCAAGTTGATTTGGAAGGCTAATATGGGAAGAGACATAGGCAAATATGTTACATTTGAATGGACCGTAAATACTAATGTAAAATATTGTTCTTTTCTGTTTGATCACTTGCCCTGTTTCCTGCAGAAGAAACAACATTTCTTATTTCTCAGATGCACTAGGAAGTATAAAACCCTTGAAAAATAAAGCTGAAGCTATTGTAATGTGGTTAAGTAATAGGGGTGAACATGCAAGGCCTCACAACGAACTGTTGCAATGTATCTGTGGCAAATGTGTGTTTGTTTGTTACCCAAGGGGGTTGAAATAAAACCCAGATGTTACCTTCAAAGACAGGAGTCCCTGCTCTAATGTAGGTTTACTTCTTGTGTCTGGTTTTTTTCTTTGAATTTTTAAAAATTTGATCATTTAAAGGTGCTTGCGAGTCAATAGAGCATGAGGCCTCTGTATGCAATTGATGGCTTGATTTAGTCAGAGGGGGACCATTTTTCAATTGACCTTTGTTGCAACCTAAGAGGTTTGCAATCTGGCTCCGAAACAATTCCCTTTCTCAGCTCAGAGAGAAAGTGAAGGACTCACATTTCTCAAGGAAGAGAAAATGAGTCAATTCATTTGTGTATTGCTTCTCTCTCTCTCTGTGTGTGTGTGTGTGTGAAAGAGTGAGTGGGGGGGAGGGCATGAATGTGTGTGAGAATGGCTTGTGTGAATTTTGGGTCTCCCTATTATGGATATTGTCCCCATTCACTTTGTATATTTTTTTGAGGGGGCAGGGAGACTTTCAGTTATGGGAGCCTTCATCTGCATACTGGTGGTACAGTTGAGACACAGGTTTATCACCTCATTTGCTGCTTGTAAAAGTAAGCTTAGCTGCTGCTACATCTGCCATAACACATTTATTTTTAAATTCTTCATATCGCTGAGGTTAGTGGAACACTGATGACTCCTGTGGTGTAGATTGACAGCTCAGTTCTAAATTTAACTTATTTTACTATGGCCTTGTTTTCAAAATGTAACAATTCAAGATTCTAAACTTTGTATCCATCTTGTATCACAGGCTCTAAAAATGTTAGAACAGTGGTGCCTAATGAGCTCATTCTCAGTGTAGAAAGCTTTAATATTCTTTGAGTATTGAGAGGCATGTAAATATCAGCTTGACTTCTAGATTCCCTCCATGAGCAAGGTGACCAGGTAAAGCAGCTTTTGTAAATAGGAAGAGATTTGTTTCTCTTTCAGGCTAGCAGTGTGTTGCAAACAAGTGAGAAAGTGGGCTGATAATTTTTGTGGATTTATTTGTTACAGTGAAAATGGCTCTATCCTATACATATTTCTGACGTGTATTTTTCTTGTGTGTAGGGCAGTTGTTCCCAATTAGCTAAGTACTGTGGAGCCCTGTTTTTCAAAGCCGAGTCATGGACCCCCTACTTTTGAAAATGTTGGTATCTCTTTGATAGTTTTTATTATGTGGATGGTTCCACCATGCCCTCTAATATGTTCCAGTACAAAACTGGGATGTGCGTTTTTTGGGTGCCGTGGTCTCACATGAGACGTGCGTCTAGCTGCAATTTCTCATGTTTTGGGGCACCGTGCTCTTGAGTGAGAGCACGGACCCCCAAAATGGGATATCCCGGACAATTGATGGGTGTGTGCCATGAATCCCCTGGGTGGGTTGCATAGACCCCCAGTTGGGAACTGCTGGCGGAGGGCATTCTGTGTATCTCATGTTTATGCTATCCATACCATGTGATGTGATGAGTGTGCATGGATCTGTTTTGCTACTGTACCTGCTCTGGAAATCAGTCGCTGGAAGTCATTCATTGGAGTTTTGTACCATCTGTTTGCAGAATGCAGGAAATTGCTTGCACACAGATAAAATCTGTGTAACAAAATTGCCACGTGTGGTGGCCCGCATAGGCATTTGTGTTGCAGCCTTGCCAGTAGATGATCTAGGTTGGATGCACTCGTCCAAATCGTTAGCATGCTTGAATTCCTGGTGCTATTTCAAAAAGGGAGGTGGAACTATACAGACTAGACTTGAATCTTTAAATTTCTATAGATAAATGTCTTCCCAGCCCTTTGAATTGCAGGCAGACAAAGTTTAAAACAGTTGCTTTTATTGATGATTTTATGTGCCTTTTTATTCTCTTGCTCTTTTTTGGTATTGTTTGTATCATTGTTAGTCACCTTGAACACTATTTGGTGGAAAGGGTAAAAAAATAATGTTTATGATATGACATCCTCCCCTTTTCCTCTAAAAGCTTGCTTTCACCCGAGATGGACTCTGTGGCCTTTGGAATGAAATGGTCAAAGATGGGGAAATTGTATACACTGGAACAGAACCCTCCCAAAATGGTGAAGCTTCTCCACGGAAAGGTGGGTTTCATTGTGTTGTCTATCTGTATAGTTCAATAAAGACAAATGTGCCTAAATTTTTATTGAGGGTTTATTTGTAATGAATTCAAAGGGTGTGGAGGCTATGCCTTCCTGCTCCCTATGTTGCACTCTTTGTATGGTGGCTTTGTAATCTGTCTCTTACTTTTGGTATGCATGCCAACCATAACTTTTTAGTTTGAAGATCTTGACATTTCTAACGAATGACAACAGTGTCAATAATCTATCTATCTATCTATCTATCTATCTATCTGTTGGGTGCTGAGACAGACTTGAAATCCCCTTTCTGACAACAGTATAAGATTAAGACTGCAATCCTGTGCTCACTTATGTGGGAGTAAGCCCCACTGAAATGAATGGGACTTCTGAGTAAACATGCATCAAGTTACACGGTCCGTGTCAGAGCTTTATCAACTAATGGGATTTGCAGATCAAAGTGGGTAAGATGCTGCTGCATAAAATAGAAAGTATGCTCATTTAAGTTAGACTTATGTGAGATAAACTTTACTGAAGCATGCCCACAGTACTGCTTCATTTCTCAGATCCATATCAACATCATTGGCAAGCAAGCCTACTGAATTTTTCAGAATCTGAACTTGGCAGGCTAAGTTGTATGTCCTGAAGACTTGTCCTTCAGTTACTAATCCCTTAAATGCTTGCACTATTGTGACTCTAATGACAAATGGTATAACTATGATTTATGAGCATATTAACTCATGTGGGGAGGGGGCATACCAAGTTTTTGATCAGAAATAAATCCTTTCTGGGAATGATGCTATTAACATTTTGGCAATAGAGTAGAACTGCTATTTTGCCCTGTAGGTAGAGGTTAAATTAAAAAAACACCTTCTTTGCCAGTAAGAAGTGCATTCCTACTTATTACCATGGTTTATCATTTCTAAACATTATAATTCCTACAAACGTCTTCAGTATTTCTGATTGTGGTAATTTTTTTCTGGGAACTGAAGTAAAAGAATTTTCTTTCCTAGTGTCATAGATCTTTGCAGCCATACATGATATGGTAATTTCATTCTCATTGCATTCTGATTTTATGCCTATCTGCAGTTATTTATATTACTCAAGATCAAAATGATTTGCAAGTAGTCCAGTGTAATCTTCTGCCTTTGTGTGTGGGTGAAGGAGCAGATCCCCCCCCAATGCCATATTGCAAACTACAGTGGTGCCTCGCAAGACGAAATTAATTCGTTCCGCAAGTCTCTTCGTCTTGCGAGTTTTTCGTCTTGCGATGCACGGTTTCCCATAGGAATGCATTGAAAATCAATTAAGGCGTTCCTCGGCAAACCGACTTCCGACCCGGTCCGGGGACAGTCTGTCCCCGCCCCTCTTCTGAAGGCTGGGGGGGGGGGGCAAGGGCTTTTCTTCCCACCCCCAGCATTTTAAAAAACCCCGGGACAGCGGAGGACTTCTCCGCTGTCCGGGCGATCTTAAAATGCTGGCGGGCGGCATTTTAAAATCACCCCGGGACAGCGGAGGACTTCTCCGCTGTCCGGGGCAATTTAAAGCCCCTGGGAAGGCAGGCAGGGGGACAAAGACTTTGCCCCCGCCAGCCTTCAGAAGAGGTCCTGGACCTCTTCTGAAGGCGGGCGGGGGCGAAAGTCTTGCTCCCCCGCCTTCAAAAGCCCTCCGGGACAGGCAGGCAGGGGAGCAAAGACTTTCGCCCCCGCCCGCCTTCAGAAGGTCTTCCCTCCCCCCGCCCGGCCGGAGCACCGTTCCGAAGCCGGGCGGTGGCGGAGGTCTTCCCTCCCCCCCCGCCCGGCTTCGGAGCACCGTTCCGAAGCCGGGCGGCGGCGGGAGGTGTTCCCTCCCCCCCGCCCGGCGTCGGAGCACCGTTCCGAAGCCGGGCGGCGGGGGGAGGTCTTCCCTCCCCACCGCCCGGCTTCGGAGCACCGTTCCGAAGCCGGGCAGAGGCGGGAGGTCTTCCCTCCCCCCCCGCCCGGCTTCGGAGCACCGTTCCGAAGCCGGGCGGCGGCGGCAGGTGTTGCCACCCCCCCCCCCGGCGTCGGGGCACCGTTACGAAGCCCGGGGGCGGCGGCAGGTGTTGCCTCCCCCGCCCGGCCGGAGGAGCCTTCCGAAGCCCGGCGGCGGCGGGAGGAGGTGTCCCCGCCCCGCCGCCAGGCTTCGGAGGAGGTCCGAGGACAGTGGGGAAGACGCGCTGCGCTTCCCGCTGTCCCTGAGATTTCCCTATGGGCTGTCGTCTTGCGAAGCAAGCCCATAGGGAAATTCGTTTTGCGAAGCGCCTCCAAAACGGAAAACCCTTTCGTCTAGCGGGTTTTCCGTCTTGCGAGGCGTTCGTCTTGCGGGGTACCACTGTACTTTTGATGGCACCCTCGATTTCAAAACCAACTGGGTCTTGTGGTTTCTTATCCCCCCAAACCCACAATCAGTAACCAAGGTTTGTTCTTTGCTTAATGTATCAAGAAATTTTTAATGTCTGATGTGGTAGCAGCAAGAACAGGAGAGAAGCATGTCTTTCTCATTAAACCATTGTTTTAAACAATGCAAACTAGGCCAATGACGCCTTGGGTTTCTAAGTAGAAGAGATCACAATGTGACCCAGTAAAACAAGAGCTATAACATCTGTGGCAGTGTTTTCCTTTCTTCTCCATATAACTAGAATATTAGAGTGAATCTGAGAGCATAAGATGACCTTTTTCAATACTGGGGCTCAGAATTCTGATGCAAAAGGAATGGCTTTACAAAAATGATTTACTCAGTTGCATTTATGTTCTTTTTTTTGTTCTATAGATGAAAGCATTGAAGGTCAGACTGGATCAAAGAAAGAAGATCAGAATGACAAAGAGAGGAAAGATGAAGAAGATGCACCATTACCTACATATAGAGCCAAATCAATTGTTGAAAGTTGGGTTTGGGGCAAGCAGCCAGGTAAGGTCTTTCTGGTTTTCCCCCAACATGGCATTTACTGTTGTATTACTGTGTTGTATGGTGCCCAATATATATTTCACGAATTGATTGTTTCTTAATAAAGTCTTCGGATTTTGCTGATAAGTTTTTACCGGACCATTTTAAAAAATCCTTTAATTTACAAACTTCTATACATCTTCATTTAAATGCTTGTGTAGCAATTTGTTTCCTTTCAGTTAATATGCAGAAGGCAGCTAATACTGTTGGTGTTGTGCAAAGAGATTAATAAATCAATACAAAACAGAAAATTGACAACTGCCTGTCAATTGATGATGGCAGTCGGGAGTGATGAGAGGTAGCAGAAGGGATGCAGACAGTCTTTGGCCCTGACAGTTGTTTGAATAAAATTAAAGCTTCTTCTTTATTTAAGCAGACAGAAATTTGGTGGCTCTGCTCTGGGGTGTGTCAGTTATGACTTGGCCGAGATTTCTGGAAGCATTGAAGTATGTGGTCTTGTTGCCAGGGTGAAATGTTTTAGGATTCTGTCTGATGGGTGAACAGGGAATCAAGGAGCAGGTATGCCTTAAGACCCTGATGTGAGCATCATCTTGAACTCTTGAGATGTGCCCTGAACCAAGACCTATTGCAACAGTAAAGTCTCCAGTCATGCTTAAAACTGCCACCTAAGACAACCTGTGAAGACCCTGTGCCTAAATTATTTACTTTGCTACATGTTAAACTAGTTTACTTCTCTGTTAAAAAGCACTTTGGTTTTACTGAGTCCTAAGGGCATCAACTTTACGCGCATCTTTTATGAAAGAGACTACTTGATAACATACTTCCTGTAAAACAGCTTCGTGTACAAGTTAGCAAGGAAAGGTGATCATTGACTTTGAAGGAGTAGTACTAGCAGCAGATATTATTTCGTGCTCAGTTTTGTGGTGTCCAAGTAGCCATTAATAGTAGTTGAACAATGACAGTTTTGGGAAAAGCCCTTGCTACCTGATGAAATGACAAAAATGGGTTTGGGCTCAGTGTTTTACTTCTCTGCAGAATTTAATGGACAGTACAGTGGAGATAAAATTCTCGGTACATGGCTACATAGTCAGAATTGGTTTTGCTAATTAATAAAATGCAGGTTTTGTTGCTAGTGTTGCAACACAGCAGCTCATGAAGTCTTCGATTTGACAGGATAGAAGTGGGCTTTCTTTTGGCTACATAGTATTTTGGTGTCTTCCTGTTGCCAAACAAAACAAATAGTGTCAGGAAATCACGGTAAGTGCCCCATTTTAACAAAGTAGTCCTATGAAGGCATTGTAAGCAATTAGCATACCAGCTGTAATTGAAATATTTTAAGGCTATCTTGAAGCAATTTTTCTGGAAGGTCCCTAGGTTGTAGCCTATATTCAGTACATTGGGGCTACAATTTCTACTACAACCAGTGGGGTCAAGTAAATGTTTTTAGAATTGGGATCCCAGTTAAAAACAGCTTATGTATAAATACATGGTCACTCAGAACAAATCTGGGACGCGGGTGGCGCTGTGGTCTAAACCACAGAGCCTAGGGCTTGCCGATCAGTAGGTCGGCAGTTCGAATCCCCATGATGGGGTGAGCTCCCGTTGCTCGGTCCCTGCTCCTGCCTACGTAGCAGTTCGAAAGCATGTCAAAGTGCAAGTAGATAAATAGGTACCACTCCAGTGGGAAGGTAAACGGCGTTTCTGTGCGCTGCTCTGATTTCGCCAGAAGTGGCTTAGTCATGCTGGCCACATGACTCAGAAGCTGTCTGCGGACAAACCCCGGCTCCATCAGCCTATAGAGCGAGATGAGCGCCGCAACCCCAGAGTCGTCTGCGACTGGACCTAAAGGTCAGGGGGTACCTTTACCTTTTAAGAACAAATTTATGAATTAAACGGTATTATTTTCCCAATTAAATTATTGTATTATTTTATCTTGCCCAAGAATAGGATACATAGTTTTTTTTAAAAAAAGAAATTACTAATCTGATGTCAAAGGTAGGTATGACTACCGTAAATGATTCTAGTATGACAAAGCATATCAATTAAAGTATTCAATACAAATACATTATGTTGAAGTGAAATTATCCGATTCTCATCATTGCCATTTAAAAGTCCAAACCCACCAATACAGTGGCTATTTATGTAATTTTTTGTGCTCTGTTGCTAGGAAATGGGCATGTTGTACTCTGGGCTTTAGCTAGGTTGTAGGGCCGATCTCACTTCGCTGGGAAGAGGGCCAAATTTTGTATCCTGGCAGTAACAAGTGAGATGCTCCTCCATATTGCTAGAGCAACTGGTCGATGCTTCTTCAAGCCAAAATAACCAGGGCTACAACAACATAATGTAGAGGTTTGGTAGAGGCTGAGATCAACTTTAAAAAAAACAACAACTGCAGAAGGTCCTGCTCCCAGGTACCCCACATTATGTCTAGTTGCATCCTGTGGTAGACAAGAAATCAATTATGTAGAACCTTAAAAAAAATTTTTTTTTTAACATAATCTCAATAACCTGACAAAAATAAATATAAAACAGTATTCAAATAACTGGAGGTTGTAGTCTATCTCTTGTATGCATAAGCATGAATTAAGTGTTCCAGATGGAGTCATACTGTGTGGGTGGCTCTCTGTTGTTGTCTCTTGCTAACATAGGTGATGAAATTGTACCAGACGGGCATAAATTTATCCAATTTGGTTTGACCCTTAACCTGCATCAGTTTATACACCAGCTTTTCTGCCAGTGGTTGTGTAGAACCTCTTCTAACATATAAAAAATGACATACTTAGTAATTTTTCGTCTCACATATTTGGTTGCTTGCTAGGTTGGGCTTTTTTTTGTTTTTTTTGCAACTAACTGAAAATAAATTGAATTGCTGTTCACTTTTGAAGGGTTCACTTTTGAGCTTGGAATCCTATGTGTACCACACAGGAACTTTGAGTCAGCAATTATTAGGTTGCAGTGGTGCGGACCAGTCCATTTTCTTCACTTCCTAAAACAAATGTGGAGGCTGCTTCACTTGTGATGTTTATGCAGCTCTGCTTTGAAAATATTGGATGGAATTCATCATAGCACTAAGGAGATTGTTCTGTCAGTGGAAGCATGTCTGCATGCCCGATTTTTAGTGATCTCCCCTTTTCTCCCCTTCTATACTGTTCTGGAGGTTGCCCTGACCCTCCAGATAGGATTTAGGGGGAGGCACCTTTCAATCCCATGAGTACAAGTAAATTGTTTTCAGTGAGGGCAACCAAGGGTTGCTAGCTTGGTTGCAAAGTGTCTGTCCTCATTGCAGAGTCCCCAGTTGACTGAAGGGAAAAGCATGTGCAGAGTGCCAGCTGAATCGAGCTCTTGAGTAACAATAGTAGGTAGCACTTGGTGTCTTTAGTATGCCAGGTGATGCCCACTACATTGAATTGACCTGCATTTGAATTCTCAGACAGGTTTATAGTCTAAGGCAGTGTTCTTCAGTCTTGAGTACCCAGGTGTTGGATCACAACTCCCATCATGCCTGACTATTGTCTAAGTTGGCTGGGCATGTAAAACTGAGCAACTTCTGGGGACCCAAGGTTGACCAACACAAGTCTAAGACTTTTGCCTGGGTTTTAATGCAGTGATAGTTCTCCATGCTGGAGTGATATGCCTGCTTTAGCTAAGAAACATGCATCTCTTTGATGGTCTTTAGTGACCTGGAAAATGGTTGGTAATACTTCAGGTAGGGTCTGCCTGATTTGTCATACTTTGAGCAGACCTTTGGAAATCAATGGGATTGCATTAATCTATTGATTTCAATTGGTTTACTCTGAATATGACTTAGTAGGAAGCAACCTCTTGTAAATAGCTCCTAAAATCATGAGAGTAGAGACTGGCGTTTGCAGCTATGTTTTCAGTACATACTGCAAATGGTTAGGTTTTTTAAATTTTTTTTTGAGGGGGCAAGGCGAGTCAATGCTGATACAGCTGGGCTGCTCGCAGTAGATTTGGAGCAAAACCAGGCCTGCTGCTGATACCGGACAGGAATCAACTGTTACGAAACACTGACATGCAGAAGGCCATGTGCTGCACTCTGTTCCCTTGGGATTCTGTTTACAAAATAAAGTCTGCTGATGCTATGGCTACAGCAACAAATAAACTGGCTCTGTTCTTTCATGCAGTCATACAGTTAAATTTCACTGGATGTTTTGAAATGTCCCTTACAAAGGACTTGCATCAGTTTTAATGTTTACTATGCTAAATTCAAGGAAAATCTCATGTTCTTCCTGATCTGGTTTCAGTGTGGATGCCTCACACCTTATCTTGTACTTTCCATTAGGCTCAGTCATGTGTCTTGGAATCCAGGAATCTGGTTTACAGCACATTGCAGTCAATGTGACTGCTAATAATTCTGAGTATACAATTCTGGTTTCGTTTTTGGGGCCACGGTTGTAAAAAGACAGTCTATACCTAAACACAGCAGTGGAAAGGACAAATTGAAAGTGACTTGAGCAGAAAAATCCTGTTGCAAGGGGTTCCCCTGCATAAATTGACATTGAATAGTTTGCTTCATTTCACAAGATAGGAAATATGAGCGGCATTGCATAAGTCTTGGGTGCTGAACAATGAGATAAAAGTCCTTTAGTCACTTGACAAATTTTGGTAGAGAACTCAATCAGCATGACTGGAAATTCCCCCTGGAAACATAATTTGTGTAATCTGAAGAGCTATATTTAAAGTTGCAAGAGAAGCAGTTTTAATTGTTCAATGAGCCATTTTTAGCTTCAGATGAATCATGTAACTGTTCTAGACTAATATTTTGAGGTGTGGAGTTTTTCCAAAATATGGATCAGTTGGTCAGGATTAACTAAAATGATGTTTAATGTTTTTCCGCTAGCAAGTGCTTCTGGGGTCAAACTAAATGAAACAGAAGCTCCTGTCTCTCTTTAATTTATTTCTTAAGAACCGGGGTGGTGGTGGGAGAGCTGGCCTTCATATATAAATGACGAGTCCCCTCTGGTTTCTTTTCCGTAATGTCTTCAGGTTTAAACTTAAATTATAAATATGTTTGTGTAATCTACAATCTTGGGCTCTGTTCTGCAGCTTTTTAGAGTTGCCTTTTAAGTAACAGAGAACTTAAGATAATTAACATCAGCTTATAAAATGCAAGTAATGCTTATTGTCCCCACATACGCAGGCCTCTTAGCAGTGTCTTTTAGTGTCTGCCAGTGATAAAAAGAAACCTTCTGTGTGGTTTTTTTTAGAGTGCTTGAATGCTGGAGGAGATGGTCACAAGCAGAAATCATAAGTGAAATGAGAAAGGTCTAGTCTTAAGGATTTACTGCGTGTGTCCTTGCTGAATTGAAATTGATCAGTCATTCAGTATCTACGTTGAAGAGCACCTGGGAATTGATATAAATGCCATTTGGACCTATTTTTGTTTCAAATTATACCACTTGAAGTAGGGCCAACTTTGCTGTTACAGCTTGCTATAGCGCAAAGATTTGAAATGGCAGCAGCCTTGATGGTAAAATTGCACTCACCCATCATGTGTTGGCGTCCTGGCCGCTGTATGCCCTCTTGTCCCTCCTTCTCAAAGAGTAGCTCAAATATCCCATTCAGGGCAGAGAAAATATAAATGTGAACACACTAAATGACTTCTTGGAAGTGGTAAACAGCTTTCCTTTAGCAACCCCTTTAAAAGAACAAGCAAATTTTCTCACAGGTGGCCAAGTCGCAGCATGGGTGCTGCAAGATACAAAGCAAGTAGATGCTTATGGGACACCTCGAGAGCAGATGGCAAGTCCTTGCTGGCTGTGGCAGGGAATCAGGCCCATATTTCTGCCTACCCAGCCAGTGCTGTTTGGCTCAATTACTCTGAGGTGGGAGAGGGGGCACATATGTACTGCAGCTTGCTTGTAAGTGGCCAAGTCTCATTCCTTGCCTTGCTAAAATGATTAATGTTCTAGTTAAATTAGTAAGAACCGCTATGGCACGTGTTTCGCAAACCACCTTTACTGGGTTTGAAGTACCTGAACGCTGCAGATCAACAAGCCATACTAGATTGGGGAAAGCATAAAAATGATAATCAAACAAAACAATTTGCTTTTGTTCTTGTGTAGTGGTTTTTCTGGTACTTTGAGCCTGCCAGATATCCTTATATCTTGAGTGGATTGCTTGTCACTAATGGGGAGCAGACCTCTAGTGTGTTTGGTGTCCATAGGAGCTATTAAAATACACTTCTTAATTTGTCTAGATGGGAAAAAAATTAGCTAATATGAAAGGCAGTTACTATACCTGACTCATCCAGGCGTTCAGTACCTACGATTAAGATTAATTGGGGAGAGCATGTCAAGTAAGTCATGCAACATCTACTCACATATTCTGAAATACACATGGAGTCCTATTGAAACGTTCTCTTGAGATGTGTGTAATCCTTTTTTATAAGGAGTGAGTAGTATTTCATGCATGTTACTATTTAATGAAGGCAGATGCTGAAGCTAAGCAGGCTTGCATCTGGCCAGTGCCTGAATGAAAAATGCCCCATAACTTCCTGTGCTATACCTTGCTGGAAGAAATGTAGGATATAAATGAAAACAATTAAGTATGTGCCCTTTCAGAATCTTGGCTGTATATTGTACTGCATTGTACATCAAATGTGAAATATTGCTGTTCCTAAAATGGAGGGTGTATTATTTCTTTCCCTTGCCATCAAACAGTTGTATGCATCATGCCGAATGTTTCAGATGAGTAATATAGTTCTTCTGATTCTTCTAGATGCGAATGAGCTGAAAGAGTGCCTTTATGTACTTGTGAAGGAGCAGCAAGCTCTAGCCAAGAAAACAGCCACCACCACACTCTCTGCTCTGAAGCTGAAACAGAGGCTTGCTATCTTAGAGCGCTATTTTATTGCATTAAATAGGACTGTTCTTCAGGAGAATGTCAAGGTTAAGTGGAAGAGCAGCAATATTCCCCTGCCTGCAGTGGACAAGAAAAGGTAGTGTCTTTCTCAAAGAAATCTCTTCCCCTGCCTTTCCCCGTCACATACTGGTTACTATTTCACTACAGTTTTGGTTCCTCAGTGTGGGGAAATATCAGCTGCTAATAATCTTTATTTTTGTATGGACAAGAATATTAATGTGTTATGCAGCTGTGAAACCAAATTGGTTGCAGAGTGGTAGAGCGGCAGTTTCCTAGCCGTATACCAAAGATGTTAGTGCCCTGTTTGGATATTTTGGGGTAGTCAGGATTGATTTCTGGTGTTAACATTTTGAAGAATATTTGTATAGACGCTTAGTTTAAGCAAGAGGTACATTATTCTCTAATCATCTTTTTGTTGGTTACAGTCCCAGACCTGTAGGCAAAGGTGTAGAAGGTCTTGCCCGGGTAGGATCCAGAGCTGCCCTTTCATTTGCCTTTGCATTCCTTCGGAGAGCTTGGAGATCAGGTATTGTTGGAAGACGCTGTATATCTTATTAGGCTGGTAAACATTTTGCCATCTAACTGTTGTGTTGCATTTAGGTATTTTTCAGGGATATCTGTCTATCTATCTATCTCTGTCTGTCTGTCATCTACTCAGAGTAATTTCCATTGTGTTGAATCAGATTTACCTCCAGTTAAGTTCATTCTCATTAGCAGACACCGAACGATGACTACTTGAGAAGTTGTGCACACTCATGGTTTGGGCAGTGGCGGAGCTTCATGCTCCGGCACCGGGGGGGTGGAGAGCAGGCAGGGGAAGGGCTGGCGCGCTTTCTGGGGGCGGGGCGCCCCGCCTAGGGGGCAGCCACAATGGCACCCTACTGGGATCGCGCTGCCAGGGGTGGTGCGCTCCCCCTGCACTCCTCTTCCTCTACCAGTGGGTTTGGGGACATCTCTCAAGTTGCAGAATGAGTATAGGAACAGAGGAAGCGGACTTAAAATTGACCAGTGATCCATCTAGCTCAGTGTTGTTTAGCAGCAGCTTTCCAGTGTTTCAGACGGGGTTCGCTCCCAGCCCGGCCCACGCATGCTGGCAATTGAACCTGGGACCTTATGCATGCGGAGTAGAAGCTCTACCATTGAGCTACAGTTCTGCTTTGACAAGCACAAGCCTTGCATATGCAGAACTGGTTACTGTACTTTGGCTCCTTAGCCTTTTTTGCAAAGTGGTTTGTGGGTCATCTTCATTCTCTCAGCTTCCCGGAAAGAAGGCTTCTATTACTTCTCTTTTATAGATGCAGGGTTATATCAATGATGTGGCAATTCAATTTATGGTCTGGATTTCCACTGTGTATGTTTAGATCAGTTGTGAGGGATTGCCATTAACCTGAATTGCACTGTACTATGAAACACCCTAACATGGCTAATGTTGTTAGGTGAGGATGCAGATCTTTGCAGTGAACTGCTACAAGAATCCCTTGATGCCCTACGAGCCTTGCCAGAAGCATCCCTCTTTGATGAGGGAACCGTATCATCTGTATGGCTGGAAGTTGTGGAACGAGCAACCAAATTTCTAAGGTCTGTTGTTACTGGGTAAGTCTTTCTCTAAAGAGTGCTTGAACTTTTTTTTTTTTTTTAAGCCGCGTTCAAGGTTTCATACTGAACAATAGTTCCTGTGTTCTTTTCTTGAATATCTAGATAGCTCAGTTGGTTAGTGCATCTGTCGGCCTAGAAAGCTCAGTTGGTTTGAGCATGATGCTGATAACTCCAAGGTTGTAGGTTCAATCCCTGTATGGGACTGCTGCATATTCCTGCATTGCTGGAGGTTGGACTAGATGATCCTCGGGATCCCTTCCAACTCTACAATTCTATGATCTCTATGACCTATAAGGAAACTAGAGTTAAGCATTTGGGCATCACTTTTTTAATGTCTTGAAATGGCAATACGGTGAATATGAACTCTGGCTTATACTTCTTTCTTTTTTAAATGGCGTATCCTTGGCTTATTCATATATATATCTAAATGCAGGTCAGTGTGGAGTAATAGCCTTGCTGCATTTAAGGTTTGCCTGTAAAGAAATTAGTATTGGAGGAATGAAAAAAAACAACCTGCCTTACATCAAATCAGACCTTTAATCCATCTGATTCAGTATTGCCTACACTGACAGGCAGCGGTTTTGAAGAAGGATATTTCCCTTTGGTACCTGATGAATGCCAGGATTGAACCTGGGGTTTGCTGCATGTGCTCTGTGGCCTGAGCTATGGCCCTTTCTCTAAACTGGGGAAGAATAAAATCAGCGAAGTCACTTAATTATGTTGTGAAAGGTGTCTTCTGTCAAAGCACGGAATACAAACTGGTTTTTTACTTTCATATATTGGAATATTTGCCTTTTAAATTTTTCCGCTTTTAAATTAGGGACATCCATGGAGCTCCAGGGACAAAAGGATCTGGAAACATTCCGTTGCAAGACCAGCACTTAGCACTTGCTATTCTACTAGAATTGGCTGTCCAGAGAGGCACACTAAGGTGAGTAATGCAAGGATTTCATTAGTTCAAAATCTGTTCATAAGTTACATCAACACTACAGTCTTTATTTCATCATTGTTAAAATTTGTTTGTTTTTTTAAATGATATTTATTAAAGTTTCAGATAAAAAGAGACACATCAATAAGAAAAGAATTTAAAAGTAAAAAGAAAAATACACAATACAAAATACAGAAAGAAAAAAAAAGAAAAAACAGTTAAAAACAATTCCATCTTTTCATCACTACTTTTGAATTTACTTATTTTCTGGACCTCCTCATACCTCCCTCTTTTGTATTCCAATTCAGTTTGTTTGTCCAGCAATTCCTTTCCCTCCTTTTTAATCCCAATCCTTAATCTTAATATAATATAACATTAAATTTTTATCTATTAATAGTCAATTTTCCATTCTTTTAACCTTTTTAATCCTCATCATTGTTAAAATTTGGTAGCAGTGGGGAGTTCTTCGTGAAATAGGAGCAAGGTGACAATGGTAGCAATGTTAGGTTTCTTCTACAACATTTCCAACTTTGGTCATTTCCCCCCTTCTCAGCCAAATGTTGTCTGCTGTCATGCTATTGCTCCAACTCTGGGACAGTGGTACACGGGAAACGGATAATGAGCGATCAGCGCAGGGAACCAGTGCCCCCCTCCTTCCTTTGCTGCAAAGGTTTCAGAGCATCATTTGCAATAAAGAGATCAGCAATACCGAAGAAGAGCTTCAGGTATGTACCTTTATGATGAGTTAGCCTGTGAGTCTGCACACCCAGAGCCGTTCAACGTGGAACAATATTTAATTGATGTTAAGGGAACGTATTTATGTAGCTTTCCTTCTCGGGGATCGAACCTGCAGCCTTGGCGTTATCAGCACCACACTCTAGCCAACTGAGCTATTCAGCTGACTTTTCATTTTTTTGCTCTAGATGCTGTCCTACCCGTTGAGTCCAAACGAAAACTTCTTAAGGTATCTAATATTGCCACAGGACAATGAGCTGGCCATTGATTTAAGGCAAACGGCAGTTGTGATTATGGCTCACTTAGACCGCCTGGCTACTCCCTGTATGCCTCCACAGTGCAGTTCTCCAACATCGCATAAGGTAACTTGCATATGCTGTCTACTAACAGCTTTCTTTGGATAAAGTTAACTGGTAAATTAGAACTTAACAAATCTGATTGGGATCTCAAGAGGTGCTTATGCTCATTCAGAGGGCTCAGTTTAGCCCAGTGACATTTTTTTTGCTTTAAGCACCTGGCTTCTGCTGCCAGAACCTGCTTTTGTAGTTTCCAAATCAGTTTGTCACACAGCATAGAGAGCTCCTTGGATTTCTTGTTCTGCTGCTGATTGTTCTGCACTGGAGGGTCTCATAGTTTTCTGGAGAAGGTTGAGGGACTAGAGTGGATGAAGGATGGCATTGCAAAGGCTTAGAGGTGCTGAAATATGGGTTGAATCTCTGCCTGCTTCCCTTCCAAATCCTAATAGATAGACAAAGCAGTCAAATATGGCGCCTTGTAACGTAACTTTGTCAGCCACTGACATCAAGTTTTGAAATGTGCATACCAATTTCCAGAGAGTAAAATACTATTGTGAAGTACATTTAAAGCAATTAAATTGAAATAACACAATGCAAGTACTTTAAACCTATTTTTCTGTTGTTCCAAAGCTTTCACCACCTTTAAAAAACAAAACCATATTTACTTACATTCTCTGTTTTCTTTAGGTAGCTTTGAGTCCATAAATCTGGAGCCAATTGAAAAATTAGTTGAAGCACTGTAATTTCTAGAGATTCTAAGTTTAGACAGATGTTTGATAAAAGTTCTTAAATTATGACTTGCTTTCCAGGGCTCTTTGCAAGAAGTTATTGCGTGGGGTTTAATAGGATGGAAATATTATGCCAACGTGAGTGGTCCAATTCAGTGCGAAGGACTTGCCAATCTTGGAGTGATGCAAGTTGCTTGCGCAGAAAAGCGCTTCTTAATCTTATCTAGAAATGGACGTGTTTACACACAAGCATACAATAGTGATACACTGGTAGGTGACTTCTGATTACTTCCTAATTTATTTTTTAAAAATTAACTTGTAGCTAATAAAGTAATGTTCTTGTTGCAGGTATGATGGAGCTCATGATAGCAAAATCTCCTTTTTTCAGTTTGCCTGGCAATGCAGTATTCGTATCTGTTTTTAAAGAAACTCCATTGTTTCATTTCTGGTGTTAATGAATACTGCCCTGAACTGTTTCCTGGACACTGTATCATTTCTGCCTTTGTAATTGAGTATATGAAATGCCTTTTGCAAAGCTGATTTTGATCAGTGGATGTGTTTTCTTCCTTCCGAGCTTGACATGATATGGAAGAAGTGTACATTATTACTAATACCATTATTATTACTATTATTTATTTATTACCTTCATGCATTATTTGTAAAAAAGCAGCTGTGGGAACTCCCAATAGGGGAGAGAAGGAGGTGTGACCTTCCTCTTCACTTTCCAGTTATGTAAACCCTCCTGCTGTTGCCAGTACTCTGCTCTTAGCTATGGGAAGGATCAAAGATGCACTATTATACATACCCGTCTTCTCATTAGTGGTGAATAGCGGGTGTGAAATAGGGGAAGCAGTTCAGAGGGAAAGAAGATTTTAATTTTTTTTAACTGAACAAACAGTATTCCCCAGTGGTGCAGTCCTTATCCAGTTTGAGGCTTGGGTTCATGGATTTCCCATGTAGTTTGGATCTTGTTGTTGTTGTTTAGTCGTTTAGTCGTGCCCGACTCTTCGTGACCCCATGGACCAGAGCACGCCAGGCACTTCTGTCTTCCATTGTCTCCCGCAGTTTTGTCAGACTCATGTTTGTAGCTTCAAGAACACTGTCCAACCATCTCGTCCTCTGTCGTCCCCTTCTCCTTGTGCCCTCAATCTTTCCCAACATCAGGGTCTTTTCCAGGGAGTCTTCTCTTCTCATGAGGTGGCCAAAGTATTGGAGCCTCAGCTTCATGATCTGTCCTTCCAGTGAGCACTCAGGGCTAATTTCCTTAAGAATGGATGCGTTTGATCTTCTTGCAGTCCATGGGACTCTCAAGAGTCTCCTCCAACACCATAATTCAAAAGCATCAATTCTTCGGCGATCAGCCTTCTTTATGGTCCAGCTCTCACTTCCATACATCACTACTGGGAAAACCATGGCTTTAACTATACGGACCTTTGTTGGCAAGGTGATGTCTCTGCTTTTAAGATGCTGTCTAGGTTTGCCATCACCTTTCTCCCAAGGAGCAGGCGTCTTTTAATTTCGTGACTGCTGTCACCATCTGCAGTGATCATGGAGCCCAAGAAAGTAAAATCTCTCACTGCCTCCATTTCTTCCCCTTCTATTTGCTAGGAGGTGATGGGCCCAGTGGCCATGATCTTCGTTTTTTTGATGTTGAGCTTCAGACCATGTTTTGCGCTCTCCTCTTTCACCCTCATTAAAAGGTTCTTTAATTCCTCCTCACTTTCTGCCATCAAGGTTGTGTCATCTGCATATCTGAGGTTGTTGATATTTCTTCCAGCAATCTTAATTCCGGCTTGGGATTCATCCAGCCCAGCCTTTCGCATGATGAATTCTGCATATAAGTTAAATAAGCAGGAGACAATATATAGCCTTGCCGTACTCCTTTCCCAATTTTGAACCAATCAGTTGTTCCATATCCAGTTCTAACTGTAGCTTCTTGTCCCACATAGAGATTTCTCAGGAGACAGATGAGGTGATCAGGCACTCCCATTTCTTTAAGAACTTGCCATAGTTTGCTGTGGTTGACACAGTCAAAGGCTTTTGCATAGTCAATGAAGCAAAAGTAGATGTCTTTCTGGAACTCTCTAGCTTTCTCCATAATCCAGCGCATGTTTGCAATTTGGTCTCTGGTTCCTCTGCCTCTTCTAAATCCAGCTTGCACTTCTGGGAGTTCTCAGTCCATATACTGCTTGAGCCTTCCTTGTAGAATTTTAAGCATAACTTTCTAGCGTGTGAAATGAGTGCAATTGTGCGGTAGTTGGAGCATTCTTTGGCACCGCCCTTCTTTGGGATTGGGATGTAGACTGATCTTCTCCAATCCTCTGGCCACTGCTGAGTTTTCCAAACTTGCTGGCATATTGAGTGTAACACCTTAACAACATCATCTTTTAAAATTTTAAATAGTTCAGCTGGAATACCATCACTTCCACTGGCCTTGTTATTTGCAGTGCTTTCTAAGGCCCATTTGACTTCACTCTCCAGGATGTCTGGCTCAAGGTCAGCAACCACACTATCTGGGGTGTACGAGCCATCCATATCTTTCTGGTATAATTCCTCTGTGTATTCTTGCCACCTCTTCTTGATGTCAAGACATCAAGAAGAGTTTGGATCTTAAGGTTTCTAAATATAATAGTTTCTCAGAACATTCAGCTATTGAAACTTCTCGCCTTATTAATTCAATTGAAACTCATTTTCTAAAAAAACAAAACACCAAAAAAGATATGACCTATAACTTATTTGTATAAATTTTCTTAATGCTCATCTGTTTGCTTCCATTTTTCTGTAAGTCATAACATGTGTGTTTGGTTGTTGTTGAACTTCATAGGGACCTCAGCTGGTGCAGAGTCTTGCTTCTAGAAACATTGTCAAGATTGCCGCACATTCAGACGGCCACCACTACCTTGCTCTGGCAGCAAGTGGTGAAGTTTTCTCTTGGGGGTGTGGAGATGGTGGGCGACTCGGCCATGGAGACACTGTGTAAGTATCCTAGAATAATGGTGACTTATATGCATAATGAAATAAAATAGAGTAGGATATTTGTTCTGCTTCTGCTGTGAATTGGGTGGCATTCCTTTTAAAACTTCATTTTGCTTGGGTTCCCCCCCCCATCACCCCTTTCCCCATGTCTTTTCTGTATTGAGCATGCTAAATTGCAGCTGTCTCTTTCTTTTGTGGTTCTGATGCATATTGATCTACAGTAGACTCACCAGGAAGCCTTCATTTTGAATGGCTCAATAATCCAGTAGCTGTCAAATTTCTATTTTCTTTGTAGAGAAGAGGTAACAGTCTGGAAGACAGCTAGCCAGACAGAGAGTGAGTGAATGTGTGTGTATGTGTATGACTAAGTGATTTTGATGGCTCAGTTGATATTTCAGCTTGATAGTTCTGCATTCATGGGTTGTTCTGATACCACCTTTGGCTTCCTTCCTTCCTTCCTTCCTTACTTCCTTAATATTGGTTAATTATATTTCTATTCTGCCTTTTCTCCATGAAGCTCAAAGCAGTGTACATGAGGTCCCCCACCCTTTTATTTTCATATCAACTCTGTGAGGTAGTTTAGGCTGAGACTGAGTGACTGGCCCAAGATTGAGTAGGAATTTGAATTTGGTCTCCTCACTTTAAAACTTGCTCTCTTCTCTGCACACTGTGTTTAATCTCAGGAGTCTTCAGTCAATTGTGTTTTTCTGTTACATCCAATCCATGAAATGATGCTTCCTGGGTTTGGAACAAGCTAGAATCCTTGCCTGTTCTGAACCCAGGTTCTATAGTTTCTTGGTTCAGACATAATGGGAAACTATGTTTAACTGAAATCTTCTGAAGCTAAACGTCTCGTGCTAAGGAAGGAAAAGAGACTCCCTATGCAAGCACGAGACTTGTTTATGTCTTAGCTTCTAAAGCCAAAATAGGGCCATTGGCCCATTTGTCTGGGCATCTCAGTGGCCTGGTTCAGACGTCACTGTAAATTGGGGGTGGGTTGATTTTTCTGTACCTGGCACTTGTGTACATAGTATATATTGCCTTCTTACAATAATGACTTTCAATGCTTTCCTGCCCCCCCCTTCCCCACAGACCTTTAGAAGAACCGAAGATGATTTCTGCTTTGTCTGGGAAGCAAGCTGGAAAGCATGTTGTACACATTGCCTGTGGAAGTACCTATAGTGCTGCCATCACTGCTGAAGGAGAGTTGTACACATGGGGGCGAGGAAACTATGGCAGACTAGGTCATGGTATGTGCTCTTCTTTCTTTAAATTGTTTAAGTTGTGAAGTCCCAAGGTTTAAACCTGTCTTGGTACATAACTAGCACAGAAGCATCTAATTTTTATTTTGTTCCAAAGGCTCCAGTGAAGACCAAACGATCCCAATGTTGGTTACTGGGCTGAAAGGATTGAAAGTCATTGATGTCTCTTGTGGGAGTGGCGATGCTCAGACTCTGGCTGTGACTGAAAATGGTTAGTGGAACAACCAATAGCATCATTAGCCTTACCAGCTTTTAGTTACACGTGGGATGTTTGGGAAGCCATGTGTCTCTTTCCTGTTTCCGTTTGGATTTGTGTGCTAGCTTGAACTGTGTGCCCAACTGTTAATAAAATTGTTAGCCAAATATGCACAATGGGTGCCAGATTAATTATCTCTATTCTCAGAATATTGTGAAGCCAGGTGTGCAGTATTAATTTCTAGCTGTCTATCTGGGTAGATTATTTCTGTTTTTTATTCCCCCCCCCCCCCCCGGTATGTTTATTTTGTTACGGCTCATGGTCTAAAGATACAAAGCTGTTGTTATGTCTAATGCAATCTACTTTTCCAGGTCAGGTGTGGTCTTGGGGCGACGGAGATTATGGGAAGCTGGGGAGAGGCGGCAGCGATGGTTGCAAAACTCCAAAACTGATAGAAAAACTTCAAGATTTGGATGTTGTCAAAGTTCGCTGTGGGAGCCAGTTTTCCGTTGCGCTTACGAAAGACGGGCAGGTCTACTCTTGGGGAAAGGGTGACAATCAGAGGCTTGGGCATGGAACAGAGGAACACGTTCGATATCCCAAACTGCTTGAAGGTTTGCAAGGTAGGTGAAGAGGCAACTACCAGCCGTGTTAACTAGAATATTGTAATTTTGAGAAAATGATGAGGTTAGCACCCATTCCGTGCAAATTGGTGGGGAAAATATTTTTAATATTTGAACCTTGGTCTCCCAGATCCTAGTCCTGCGCTTGAAGCACTACACCACATTGTCTTGTGGGCTTCTTGCTGGCATTTGATTGGCTTCTGTGAGAACAGAATCCTGGACTAGGTAGGCTTTTGACCTGATTGAGAAGGGCTGCCCTTACGTTAACTTAATTTTTTAAAAAGGGAGACACTTGGAAATTTTCGTTATTGGTGCAACAAACACCACCATCCCTTGCTGATTTCTTCTTTTGTAGACATTGCTAAAGAGAGAGCTCTCCTCTTCTAGCCAGGCTTTCAGATGCGGCTGCAACACTGATCTTTCTCATTATCTGTATGTGTGTTTCCTCCCCCACCCCCCAGGAAAAAAAGTAATAGATGTAGCAGCTGGATCCACCCACTGTTTAGCACTCACAGAAGACAGTGAAGTATATAGCTGGGGAAGCAATGATCAGTGCCAGCATTTTGATACTCTGAGGATCACTAAACCTGAGCCTACTGCTCTTCCGGGACTAGATTCTAAGCACATTGTTGGCATCGCTTGTGGGCCAGCCCAGGTAGGCTTCAATTTTACTGGTTTTTTATATATCTTTAGATATATAAAAATATAACAAAAAATATAAAAACATAAAAATATCTTTAGATATTCCCATTAGAGTGGGAATCCTTGATTGTGATGCAGTTTCTCTTCTCAGTTACTATTTGCCTTTAATTCTAGCCCCCCCCCCCCCCGCTTGGTCTTAAGTGTAACATTGCTGCATATCTTTTTGTATTTCCTTCTAGAGCTTTGCTTGGTCATCTTGTTCTGAATGGTCTATCGGTTTACGAGTGCCTTTTGTGGTAGATGTTTGCCCAATGACGTTCGAACAACTGGATCTCTTACTGAGACAAGTGACGGAAGGAATGGATGGCACTTCGGACTGGCCCCCTCCACAAGAGAAAGAATGTATGGCTGTGGCTACTCTGAACCTTCTGAGACTTCAGGTATCTTAATGGTTGCTGAACTAAGACTGAAATTACAAAATCTGAAACAATTGTGCGGATCACATTGACTTTTAAAAGTGCAATGGCCATTGTATTTTGTGTTGACTGTTGATTCATTTGTTAGGAAAAAACAACAACCCCTGTAATTTGCCAAATACTTTGCAGTGCTGATCAAATCAGAAAGCGTTGGTTGTTACTCCAGTTTTCCTTTCTGCAAACTGCAGTTTAATTAGCAGTGAGTCTATGTTCAGCCAGGGAATTTATTACTGAGCTGGGATTGGAAGCTGAACCTAGATCTGCATAGCTCAAGGATAACACTACGTTTGCTTTACCATGCCTTACTGGACAGTTTGGAGATATTTTGCTTTTGTTTGCTAAGTAACTTTTACAGACGAAGGAAATATATATTTGGTGCTGCCAAACTGTGGTGCTTCAGCAAGTGTATGAAACTTGGAAATAGAAAATGCTTCAGAATACTATTTCATTCCTCCCTGAATGGGTTTCAGCTTTATCACTGATAAAGAAGCCTCTCTGTGTTTTGTCTTTCAGCTTCATGCTGCAATCAGCCACCAAGTGGACCCGGAATGTCTTGGTTTGGGATTGGGCAGTGTCTTACTCAACAGCTTGAAGCAGACAGTAGTGACTTTAGCAAGTAATGCAGGTGTGCTCAACACCGTTCAGACAGCTGCCCAAGCAGTGTTGCAAAGTGGGTGGTCTGTGTTGCTGCCAACAGCCGAGGAACGAGCGAGAGCTCTTTCGGCGCTTCTACCCAGTGCAGGTATGTTTTGTGCATGGTCACGTGGGTGGGGAAGGAAGATGTTGCCTAAGCCGTTTTGTGCTCCCTCATGTGCACGTGTATGTGTGTGTTGACATTCTATTCAAGTAAGAGTTCTGTCAATGTTTAGTTTCAGGGAATGAAACAAATGTAAGTCCAGGCCGTAGATTCATGATTGATCTTCTGGTTGGAAGCTTAATGGCTGATGGGGGTCTTGAGTCTGCACTGAATGCTGCGATCACTGCAGAAATCCAGGTATGCTTACTTTGTACAACTTGTACATTCTGATGAAATGGAAAAGATTACTGTTGGAAACCAGTTAGTTTCAAACAAGCCCCTGTTCTTTGTTTAACGGTTGTAATACAAATGTGAATATTTATTTTGTTTTGAAAGGATTAGAAAAGACTGCGTAAGTAGGTGGGCATTTCATGTAGTAGATTAGAAAGCTGGCTGTGTCATTCCAGATCAATCTTTCTTTTCTATTGATTGAAAATATCCAGAGGTAACTGTATCACTTGTAACTTTTTGTTTAAGAGTAGTCTGTATAGAGTAGTCTCTGTGTAGTCTGACCCTGCCTAGAATTTGGTGCCTCAAGCCCTCAAAAGTTTAGACTTGTGCATGAGGGTAATAGGGTAATAGCCATGCATAGCTGCATATTACACATAGCAAAGCCTCTTCTGTAGCTGCTTTGAAATCTATGAAAATATCACTGGCATTGCTGTGTCTTGTGAGGAGGGAAATGGCATCTCAGCTCTATCCTGCTGCTTTCTTCCTGAATAGAAGAACTTGGTCATGACGACTAATAATAATAATAATAACAACAAAAAACATGGATAGTAGATCAGTAATTCTGAAAATCTTAACTTCTTATGGCCTGGATAGTTGATGTTGCCCTATAGTGGAAGGCTGTTTTCCATTTTCACACCTCTTGTTGATATTGAGAAATGTGTGGCTTATAAAACCATAGCCATCATTCTTCAGATGAAGAAATTAATGCAGCTATCTTTTTGGACAAGTTTCTCCATTACGTCCATATAGTTCACTTTGAGGAAGTGATGGGCAGTGGCGTAGCGTGGGGGGTGCAGGGGGGGCTGGCCACACCGGGCGCAACATCGGGGGGGGGGCGCTCGCACTCGCAGCTCTCTGCCCCTACCTGGCTCACTCACTCTCCACGGGTTAGGGGGCACAAATTACTTGCCTTGCCCCGGGTGCTGACAACCCACACTACGCCACTGGTGATGGGAAAAGATGGGACAGCATCTTTTCAATGACAAATAGTTCCTTTGTGCCTGATGCTTTCATTTCCACATTTATCCAACCTACATGGGTTCAGGATTCTTTTAGCAGCAACTTATTCATTATTTTTGTGTCGTTGGGTTCAGCTGTTCATTCTACTCAAATTATTTCCAGTGCAGTCTCTATTGCTTTCTGTTCCATGAACCAGCCACATGGTCCCAATACCAGTGCCAGACTGCTAACTTTACTGCAGAAGGAAAAATCCAATAGAATATACTGTAGTGTGCAGGAATGCCATTAATTCAGGCTTACGTGGCAGAACATTCTGTGTCTTTTTTTAGTGGTCACGACTCCCAATCATTTCAGCTACAGTATAGAATGTTTGCTGGTTTCACTTTCAACTTTTCATTTTGTAGGATATAGAGGCAAAAAAAGAAGCCCAGAAAGAAAAAGAAATTGATGAACAGGAGGCAAATGCATCAACACTTCACAGGAGTAGAACACCATTGGACAAAGACCTCATTAATACTGGGATCTATGAATCTGCAGGAAAGCAGAGCTTACCTCTGGTTCAGCTAATTCAGCAATTGCTAAGGTAGTTTTTCAGCAAGGCTGTTTACTGAATCATTACCCCCTTCCACATTTTATTCTTTTAAAAAACAAAATAGAAAACCTCTGTTCTCTGTTTCCTCCTATGCTGCTTTTTTGTTCCTGGGCAGTCTTTTTTCTTCTTTTTTTTAAAAAAATGTTTACTGTGTGGTAATAATCAAGGTATAAGAAACTTAGCACGGAGAAACAGCAGACACATTTGTGAGCACATATTTAAGGGAGTATGTGCTAGCCTGCCATTTTGAGTGGCAAAACCGCATGGACAGTTTTCTTGCTGCTTTTGAAACAGAGAGGATTTTCAAAAGCAGATTGTAATATGGTATCAGGGTTAGCCGTTTTAAAATGGAAGAACTGTTCTGAGAATAGCCAAGCCCTTAAGCATACCTAAAGTAGCTTTTTGGCTTTTGGCCAGTGTGCTTTATATTTTCTAGTTTGATACTATTTTATACCTAAGAACACATATCCTACATTAATGCAGTAGATTTAAGTAAGAATATCATATTGCCCAACACTTCAGCATAGTACTTCTTTTACAGCAGCTTATTTTGTCAACACCGATGGAACTGGGGATGATGTAGAAAAATAGATAATCTTCATTTTTTGAAAAACGAAACAAATTGCTCTTCTGAGACTGTCATGGTGCCAACGTAGCCAATCAAAATGCATGAGCTTCCTGACCCCCAAGAATCACAACAAAATTTTAGTTCATGCCTAGTTAGTTGTTGCCTGTTCATTCAAGATGTCTTTTAAAACCTTCTTTAAAACATTATTCCCATCAGAAACATTGCTTCCCAGACGATAGCTAAACTGAAAGATGTGGCTCGCCGTATTTCTTCCTGCTTAGATCATGAACATTACAATAAAGAGAGGTCTGCTTCTCTAGACTTGCTGCTGCGTTTTCAGCGTTTGCTTGTGAGTAAGCTGTATCCAGGCGATAGTGTTGGCCAGATCCCGAATACATACAGTAAGTAGTACTTCTTTTTTTTAATGGCTATTGCTAGCATGCTGTTGACGTCCGTTTAAAAACTGTGTTAAATAGCCTTTTCAAATTGCTACTTCACTCTGCAAGTTAGCTGTGTTTAAATGCTTTAATAGTTAATAATAACAAGCCTTTTTCAGGTTTTGACTTTCCAGATGTTGCTTATGATATTTAAAAATAAAATGGTTCTTTTATTTTCTGACAGGTCCTGAGCTTTTAGGAGTTGGTTCTCTGTTGAAGAAATACACAGCCCTTTTGTGTACACATATTGGAGACATACTGCCTGTAGCTACTAGCATTGCATCCACCAGTCACAGGCATTTTGCAGAAGTATCTCGCATTGTAGATGGAGACCTAACAGGTACTGACTCGTCTTGTCCTTTGTTTTGGAGCCTGTCTACAGGGTTAACGCTTCCAGAGTTTTGCTGAACGTCTCTATTTCCCCTTAGGTGTCCTCCTTCCAGAGTTGGTCGTATCTATAGTACTTCTTCTCAGTAAGAATGCTGGGCTCATCCAAGAAGCCGGTGCGATTCCTTTGCTGGCTGGTCTACTAGAGCATTTGGACAGATTCAACCATTTAGCTCCTGGTAAAGAGAGAGATGACAATGAAGACTTGGCTTGGCCAGGAATAATGGGTATGTTCTTCCTTGCAAACGTTTAGAATACTTGCTGGATCTTTCTAGCAGAGCTCCTAGCTTGTCTTTGCAGGTAGGCTTCAAAAGCTTTGTCTTGGCACAAAAACCACTTTGGACAGGTCACACAATTATGTAGTATTTTCCTTGCTCTTCGAATCCTCACTCTTTTGGTTGGACCTTTTGGTTGTGAACCATAGCAATAACATGTATTTTTTTCACCTGTTAGGTTCATTTTTTACAGGACAGAATTGCAGGAACAACGAGGAAGTGACACTAATACGGAAAGCCGACTTGGAGAACCACAATAAAGATGGCGGCTTCTGGACAGTGATTGATGGCAAAGTGTACGATATAAAGGATTTCCAAACCCAGTCCTTAACAGGAAGCAGTATACTCGGTGAGATGTCACTTTGCTAACAAAACATATACCAAACAGAGTCCTATCTTGTTCGGTTGCCTCCTTTAACAGTTTGTTCCCTGGTTTCTTTTAGCTCAGTTTGCTGGAGAGGACCCAGTCGTAGCTTTGGAAGCAGCTCTGCAATTCGAGGATACAAGAGAATCGATGCATGCCTTCTGTGTCGGCCAATATATGGAGGTAAGAGGGTTTCCCAAACAACTGCTAGCGGGCACAGAGGACACCACCAGGTGGAATTGTGTTCCTCCTGTTGCTTGAGGCAGGGTCTTTACACCTACTCACTCTTAATCAGGGCTTTTTTTCAGCCGGAACTCACCGGAACTCAGTTCTGGCACCTCTCAGGTGGGCGCCATTTCCATTATAAGAGAACAAGGGAAGAGTTCATGGTGAGTTCCGGCACCTCTTTTTCTAGAAAAATAGTACTGCTCTTAATTAATTACCTTTGTGATTAGACAACCTATCCAGTTTTTATGAATTCCTGATGTTGAGGTCTGGTTTTTTTCCTTAGTTTTTAAGAAAGGAAAGACACCCCCCACCACAGCCTTTCCCAAGCTGCTCGTTGATTTCCCTCATAGGCCTGTACAAAGACAACACAGCTACATTTCTAGCGTTCAGCTGTGACTGTGGGGTAGGACAGTTATTAGTCTTTCTCTGTGGTTGGATCCCTTCCAGTCCTTTGCCCTTCCTGTGTCTCTCGCACATTACAATTGAATACCATGTCCAGGTTCCTGATGATGTTTTTGTTAAACTCAAAACTCTTCAAGTAGCTGCACATCACTTGATTATGAAGAGGGTTTTTTTTCCCATGGATCGGGAAATTTGGTATCAGTCTTTAAATCTGTCGTTCAGTATGATATCACAGCTCTTTTGTTCTTTTCTTTTTTTTGTTCTAGCCTGACCAAGAAGTGATTACTACGCCAGATACTGGTAGTCTATCATCGCCTCTCATAGACACTGAAAGAAATTTAGGGCTGCTTCTTGGCCTGCATGCTTCATATCTGGCAATGAGTACACCCCTTTCTCCTGTGGAGGTTGAATGTGCCAGTAAGAATATCTTTATTCCAATTAAATGTAACTAATATGAAATTGAGGATGTGCTCATAGGTCCATGTTTTAATGTTAACCCTCTAACCACAGTGAGTGATTTAATGCTGTACATCAGAGGTTTTCAACCTTTTTGAGTCCATGGCTCCTTGGAACAACTACATTCTTTCTGCAGCACCCCTGTGGGGCTCAGGAGCCCAGTTACGTCACCCCTTGCCTGCAGAGCTGGCAATCTCTCACCTTTTTTTGAGCACCCTTCCTTGTGGAGTGTTCCTTTAGTCTCCTCTCCCCTCTCCTTAGGAGTTGTCCGGACAGCTGCTGCAGCCTTCCCTGGTCTCTGAGCTGCCCCCCACCCCGTCCCAAAGAGAGGTGCCCCCCAGAGGCCTCATTTGCCTGAGAAGCTTATAGCCAGGGCTGCTGCAATAAACAGCTGTGCAAGCCTTGGGGAGGCAGAGATGCAAGAGGGCATCAGAGGAGGGAGGCAAAGAAAGAGGGACAGAGGCCAGTGTTGCCTGTGGCACCCCTGACCATCATTCAAGGCCGTCATTCAGAGTGCCATTGAACACTGGTTGAAAACCGCTGATATGCATGCTTACTCAAAAATAAGCCCCACTGAGTTCAGTGGAACTTACTCTGGGGTAAGTGTTTATAGGATTGCAGCCTTTATAACACAACTTGCCCATCATTTTTGTGGGCCAGTATGTAAAGCTGCAAAACAATTTCTATTCGAAGCATAATTCAGTTCAGTATTTTTTTGGATAGAACTCTGTGTATGTGCAACAAGTTATGTACTTACGTAATGAAGTGAAAGCAAGAAGCAAACAATCTTGGAGAAGGATAATTCTTCCATAAACTGTTAGTATACTACTTTGTTTCAAAACTGGCAGATGGTCTGACTTGGGAGAAATTATTGCTTTCCATGCATGAGTAAATGCATGGGCAAGGCTGAATAATGAAATAACAAGTGTCTGATCCCCAAAAGTAGCTTAGTTAGAGTACAGTTTGATGTGCATTGCTGCTGTCTTAACATTTTTTAAAATGATAGTTTGCTTTTATTGTATTTTAAATTTTGTGTGCCACTTTTTATGCTCAAGGTGGAGTAAAATAATGTGCTAAATTTTGTTGAAAATATGGGGCTAAATTACATCTATTGATTAAGATGAACTATATCAAGGTGTGGCTGAAGCTCAGTAATGCATTTGCTTTGCTTGCAAAAGGTCCCAGTTCAGTCTTTAGTATTTCTGTTTTCAATAAAACTTACGTTCAGGTAGTAGGGAAAAGACCTGCTGCCCAAGACTGGAGCGCACTGCCAGTTGGAGGAGATTTTATTGATCTAGATGGGTTAATTATTTTTCTTGTTTAGTATCTGGAACTAATTATTTTTAAATTATTTGAGGCAAAAAGGGAGCTTCCACAAAACTGTTTCTGAAGGAATCCTTTAAAACATGCATGCATCAAATATTGCCTATAACTTCAGGGTAGACCACTGAATCCTCTTTTCTTAAGCAGAAGAATTACTGCAAAAGCAATGTGCTTCAATGTCCTCCTATTCCTTTCAAACTATTCCCTTAAAAAGTATGCTTGTAACACACTATTTTAATGTATTTCTGTTCTTCTTGTAGAATGGTTGAAGTCTTCTATTTTCTCTGGAGGCTTGCAAACCAGTCAAATACATTACAGTTACAACGAGGAGAAGGATGAAGACCACTGCAGCTCTCCTGGCAATACCACCCCCAACAAATCAAAGCTGTATTCCCATCGACTGACCTTGAGTGACCACTCACAGCCATTTCTGCAAGCGATTGCAGACAACAACATCCAGGACCACACAGTGAAGGTAACAGTGCACCGTTTGAAGACATAGGCTGATGCTTCCTAACCTTCCCAGTGGCCATAGCCCTCTAAGTAGACAAAGTTGGATGGATTATCTCACTCTAGGTAGTGAAATGGTCAGTGGGATTCTTGGCAGCTGGGAACCTTGAGTCTCCTAGTTTATAGGAATACCAGGGATTATTATGCAGTTGACCTCTGTACTCCTGTCCAGGGCCCCAAGGCAAGAGCTCATTGGGTCAGGATCTGCACTTTATCAACCGGCAGTGGACTTTGTATTTGGGAACATTTGACTCTCACTATTTTTTATTAACCAGAGACGGGGAGCCTGAAGCCCTCCAGTTGTTATTTAGCTGCCATTATCACTGACAGTTGGCTTTGCTCGCTGAGGCTTATGGGAATCCAACAATCTCAGGGGAAGGCATGATTTTCCACTCCTGCTAATACAGATTTTTGTTACTTCTCTCTGCATTGTGAGCTGAGTAGTTCCTGGCCTCCTTGTCAATAAATCATAACAGGGCAAAGTGTTACCTTGCTAATAGAAATAGGAACACCTGAATAATTCAAATAGTGTATGTGTAGCAAATCATATAAAAGGCCTGATGCCTCTGGTTGGGTTTTTCTTTTTCCTATTTCTCCTCAGGGCATTTTTCAGTTCTCTTTTTGGCTGGCGGCTGCTTTTAGTTTTGCTGATTGTTGCCTTGATCCATACTACTCATTGAGGGTGTTGGAGTTACTGCAGCAGCTCTCATTCATCTCTCCTCCCTCCCACCCCCAAACCCTTTCTCTTCTGAGTATGCCAGGAAAATAGCATCTGCCTTCTTAAAAAAACCAACAACACCAAACCAACCACCTCTGCAAAATTCTGCCGAATAACATAAATAAAACCATGTGTGAAATATGAAGTACGCTGCTGTTCATCTAGCTGCCACTTTTTCCTTATGTTCGGTGTCTTTGTGTATTATATGAAGGAATGCAGTATCTTTTTATCCTCATTGGTTACCAGTGTGGCTTGTTTTGGGTGAGGAAAAATGGACTGTGGATTTCCCACAGATGGAGAATGCATCTAAGAATGCTTCTTAAGTAACGCCTGGAAGAAATATTATCTTTTGGGATTATGCCATGGGTAGGCAAATTAAGGCCTGGGAGCCAGATCCGGCCCAATCGCTGCCTAAATTGAGCACGCAGATGGTCCAGGAATCGGCGTGTTTTTACATGAGTAGAATGTGCCCTTTTATTTAAAATGCATCTCTGGGTTATTTGTGGGGCATAGGAATTTGTTCACACATTTTTTTCAAAATATAGTCTGGCCCCCCACAAGGTATGAGGGACAGTGGACCAGCCCCCTGCTGAAAAACTTTGCTGACCCCTGGATTATGCCATAGAAGGCAAAAGAAACTAGCATTGTGTGGCATACGAGGGATGGGTTATATTAGTAACTTTTGGAGAAGCTTTGCCTGTTAAGACTTGTAGCTTTGTGGAGCCTTTATTTGAAATGACCTTATTCGAAAGTATAGTATACAGAAAATGTAAGAAGAGGAGCTGATATTTTTGGCTTCAGGACCAGGCCTGACTTTGGCCATCCATGTTCAAGTGACCTCCAGGTTTTACTTCTGCAATACAGCATAGGTGCACTGCCTCTTGAAGACAATCCAGAAACCTAAATGGTTTCCAAATTTGGCTTCCAGCTTTTTGACTCCTTGCCCACTTGCTCCTGGGTTCAGTCAGCTCGTCAAAGTCCTAAATCGGGTTGGGGGTGAAAGAGACTTTGGTTCTCCAGAGTTTGCTGAACCACAACTCCCATCAGCCCCAGCAAGCACAGCCATTCAGTGGTAGGGACTCTGGGAGTCATAGCTCAGAGGGGCCAAGGGTGCCCACACATGATGAAAGGTTTGGGGCAAAATATTTAAAGAATCTCCTCCTCCTATATGAAATTGCCTGAGCGCTTCATTCTTCATTTAAGGCCTTGCTTCAGGTAGTGTCATGATCAGAAATGTGTCAGGTGGGTTATCCAAATCTTGAGAGCTACCACTGGAAACACCTATCACTGTCTGTATTTCATCATCCTGTCAGAAGAATTTGGGGCTGTTACAGAATACTGCCTTTTGGGGGGCGGGAGACCTGTGGCCCTCCAGATGGGCTCCATCTCTCAACAGACACATTCAGTGCTGCCAATACTCGTGAATGATGAGACTTGTAGTGCATCTACATTTGGAGGGCCAAAAGTTCTCCACATCTGCTTTTATAGTGGTTTGATGTTGCTCCTGTTTTCAGTTCTTTCTCCTCCTTTTCTTAAGCTTGCGTTGTTTGCAATAGGGTTTCTTTTTTGCCCCACTGTTTTACAGTATTTTCTCTCTCTGCATGTGTCTACCTGTGGAGGATAATATAGATATCTATATAGATCTAGATCTATATATCTCTATAGCTATCTCTAAATCTATCTCTCTACTCTCTATACTCTCTCTCTCTCTCTATATATATATATGTTTATCCCACGGTAAATCTTCAGAATGCCACAACTCTTTGCTCAGGTTTTTCTTGTGCAGCATACACACAGCATTATAGCACTATCAGGGACTCTTAGTAGCTCATAGGGACAGAGTTTGAAATGGTTTGCAGTCAGAACAAGCTTGCAAATATTTGTTAATGTTTTATTATTGTTATAAAAAGTAACGTCTGCTGCAATGCATGGATACTGCAGTGATAACTTGACTAAATGTGTTCATTTTTGTGCAGGACTTCCTATGTCAAGTGGAGAGGTATTGCAAACAGTGCCACTTGACAACACCAATTACGTTCCCTCCAGAGCACCCAGTGGAGGAAGTAGGACGTCTGTTGCTATGTTGCCTTCTAAAGCATGAGGATTTAGGTATCTACATTTGACACACAATTGTTCTAAAATTCTTACTCTATTATTTTGATTTTTTTTTTCTCCAATGAGATCTCCTCTCTCGTTCCCCCTCTTAAAGGTCATATAGCACTCTCGCTTGTTCATCCTGCTATGCTAGGAGTTGACCAAGTTAAACATCGTGTACTTCCAAAATCTGTAGCAGATGTGTGTCGTGTTGTCTACCAAGCAAAATGCTCGCTGATCAAGGTAAGCATCAGACCAAGGAATCACTGGTACCCTTTCTTGAGACATTAGGTGTTAGTGTTACCTTACTAACAGAGGGATCTGTTTGCATTGTCGTTTTAAGACTCACCAGGAACAAGGAAGATCTTACAAAGAGGTTTGTGCCCCTGTTATTGAGCGTTTGAGGTTCCTCTTCAATGAATTGCGTCCGGCAGTGTGTAATGACCTCTCCATTATGTCCAAGCTTAAAAGTCTAAGTTCTTTGCCCCGATGGAGAAGGGTAGTTCAGAAGATAATTAGAGAGCGAAGAAAAAAGAGAGGTAAATGTTTTGAAATACAATTTCTTGTTGAAGGGAAAGAGACTATTATGCATTTTGTCAGTTTGCTTGTGAGGTAGAATACAACAGATGCTTGCTTGCTTCATTCTCAAGCAAGACTTGCATCCCATTAAAAAAAGATTCCATAAATATATATCTTGCTAGATCTCACTTAATACTATGTGGGCTCTATCTAATTGCAAAAGACATAGTGTAATTAGGAATTGGAGGGACACAGTTCAGGGAGAGGGGAAAAGAAGGGGTGTCTACTTGCAGTTGTGCGTCACTCTGAATTCTTTACATTTTTGTAAAGCAGTGTTTTCTATGGAAGCTCCCATTTTTCTTGGTAATTAAAAAAAATAGTTTTGCTCATGCTTTTGGAAGTGGATAAAGGTGACACAAATTTGATGTACAGTGGCACCTTGGTTCTGGAACACTTAGTTGTCAAACAAATCGGTGTTCTGGTTTGTGAACGTTTTTCGGAAGCCAAACATCCGACGTGGCTTCTGCTTGAGTGCAGGAAGCTCCTTCAGCCAGTCAGAAGCTGCGCCTTGGTTTTCGAATGGTTTTGGGAGTCAAACGGACTCCTGGAATGGATTAAGTTCGTGAACCAAGGTACCACTGTATTGAAGTAACATTTTAACTATTTTGAAACTGTATGTAACCCACCCCTGGGGCCCAAGGGTGAAGGGGAGACTATAAATATAAATAAATACATTTAACATGTTTCCTTTGTGTCTTGCTGCTAGTCCCTAAAAAATCTGAGCCGTCTGATGTAGAAGAGTCCAAAATTGGGAATGAGGAGAGTGATTTGGAAGAGCCCTGTGTCATACCTCACAGCCCTGTGACAGCTGATAAAAGGCCCTTGTCAGCCAAATCGCCCAAGGTATGCAGAGTATCAGGTACTAAATATGAGCCAGCTGCACAGTAGCTAACGACCATTCAGAATATGTGAACGTGGCAGCTGAGTGTCAGGCGGTATGTTTAGCAGAGTGGTAGTCATGTTAGTTTGTCGCTGCGTAAACAAGTGCATTAGTCTGTTGCTGCAAAAGCAGCTGTGCAAAGAGAGAAATGAATTACATTATTAACAGTGGTCGTTCACAAAACAGTAGATAACACAATATGTATGCATCTTTGTGGCATACGTGCTGTACTGATGCCCAGTGATTTCGCAGGCACTCTCTGTAGAGGAAAGTTGTGCATTTGGATATCCTTGCTGAACCTTACTTTGTATATACATGATACGCAAGTGTGTAAGACCTTCCTCACAGTCACACAGAGAGGATCTCTAGTTGGGTGTTTAAGTGAACTGGCTCCAAGTCTTGGATGAACTTCCTTTGTGTCATAAATGTAGATTTTAAATGTCAGCATTGGCCTTCCTTTGTAGCCAAAGGTAATTCCTTCTACCTGTTGAATTCTCCCTTTTTAAGTTAAAAAGTGTCGCACATGAATAAATGCGGTGTACTTAATAGGTCACATTTGTAAAACCTTTCTTGGTTGTAGAACTTAGTGCTCTAAATTTTTCTATATTAACGTGCCACTGTGGGGCAAGCACTATTTTCAAACTGATTTCTTAGGTTATTAAGTTGAGGGTAAATGTGCATTTTGTTTTTTCTAGGATAAATGGCAGCCACTGATGAACACAGTTACGGGTGTTCACAAATACAAATGGCTGAAACAGAACGTCCAGGGCTTATATCCCCAGTCTGCTCTTCTCAATACCATAGTTGAATTTGCTTTAAAAGAAGAGCCCATTGATGTTGAAAAGATGCGGAAGTGCTTACTAAAGCAGGTAAGGCATGGCTCACTTCATATGGCAGGGCCTTGCTGCGTAAAGTTCTTACATAGATAAAATATTTACCTCCCTTCTCTCTTGTTTTGTAGCTGGAAAGAGCCGAGGTTCGTTTAGAGGGCATTGATACAATCCTAAAGCTGGCAACCAAGAGTTTTCTGTTGCCTTCTGCACAATACGCTATGTTCTGTGGATGGCAAAGACTTATTCCGGAAGGAACCAACATTGGGTAATTTTCGTTCTCCCTTGCATCTCACACTTTTGCTTCTTTATACCTAATCTGGCTCTTTGTTGTGCTGTTTAGGTGAAACATAGGGGTTTCACAGGGGGACCTTGGGAACTATGACGGTGAAAAAAAGCTCCAGTATGGCACAGGTGGAGCACTAGGTGATGATGTTCATGGTCCTGGTGTAGCATTTATGTGTCATAGGAGCACCTTGTTTCTTATAGTAGTAGTGGTGGGAAACCTCCAGCCTGCCAGGCGTCCCCCATTTGGCCTGCATTGTATTTTGGCTCAAACTATAGCCACTTGCCCATCACTTTGACATCATATAATGTCAGGCGCAGGACAGATGTAGCCGCAGCACCAAATTCCAAAGTAAGAGTCTGCACCCCCACTTCTTCCTTTGCAGTCGCGGGTTTAAATTTGAATCTCCAGATGTCATATGACATTAGGTGATGGTCAGGTGGGGGCAGCTGCATGCAGAGTGGTCCAGATCTGGGTTCAGCCCCCTGTCCAGATCCTACCCTTCTCCTTGAGTTAATGCAAATGTGTACAGTGGTACCTCAGGTTAAGTACTTAATTCGTTCCGGAGGTCCGTACTTAACCTGAAACTGTTCTTAACCTGAAGCACCACTTTAGCTAATGGGGCCTCCTGCTGCTGCCGGAGCACGATTTCTGTTCTCATCCTGAAGCAAAGTTCTTAACCTGAAGCACTATTTCTGGGTTAGCGGAGTCTGTAACCTGAAGCGTATGTAACCTGAGGTACCACTGTACTGGGAAAGTCTTGCAAAGGCACAGAAGGTGGGGTTCTGAGAGGGTTTGAACAGCAGGTGGGCAGCTTTTTCTGGCTTGCGTGTGGCCCCCAACACTGTTGACGTCCTTTGCAGCAGTATCCGCTTGCGATGCAAAATAGGTGTTAAGGTAGGTTACCGTTCCGAAAACACTGGAAATCATGGCTTGCTTGTTATCCACATAGGGAACCCTTAACGGACTGCTTAAAGGATGTGGATCTGATTCCGCCCTTCAATCGTATGCTCCTGGAAGTTACTTTTGGGAAGTTGTACTCATGGGCTATTCAGAACGTTCGGAACATCTTGCTTGATGCTAACAACAGGTTCAAAGAACTAGGTGAGTATTACCAATACTCTTCTGTAATTTAAAATAAAAACTCCAATTCGTTTACTTTTCTTTTGTGTCTGTTAGTTGGGTGCAAGTTGTTGAATTTCCACCAAGTTTCAAAAGTATTTTTTGCACATCTTGCAGCCACCAAATCATGTATTTGATGCTCCTTTCTCTCCCTAACCACCTATCCAAAGCTGGCTGTGGGACGTGGCATATTCAGGGATGTTTTACGGTTGTACTTACGCTCTTCCATGTTGCTTCTGGGGACTTTAATTTCTTTGGAGGAAGATGGAAGGAAGTGAGCCCTCTCTTCTGAGGTGCACATTCTGGGTAGTACTTGTAGCTTTGGCTCATAATCTCATTCCTTCTTTGAAGATTTGGCTATCAAACAAATCTTGTGAGTGGCCATACATCCAGTGAAATATGGTTTTGTATTTGCAAGCTTTACTTAGATGAAGTGCTGTCAGGTGAATCTGTTCTTTCCTTGGAGAGACTTCTGGGAACGTCTGAAAACAGAGGCAACTTAACTAGTAAACCAGTTCCAGAAGCAAACTAACAGTCATCTCAAGGTCATTTACTTGAGCCGATAAGCAGCCATTGCCTTGTGTGTGTCTGTTAAAATATATCCTATTTCTTCTAGGAATCCAACCTGTTCCCCTGCAAACCATTACCAATGAGAACCCTGCGGGACCAAGCCTTGGGACTATTCCACAAGCACGTTTCTTATTAGTCATGCTTAATATGCTAACCCTACAGCATGGTGCAAACACCATGAACCTTCTTCTCAATTCTGGCATGTTGGCACTGACGCAAACCACGTTGCGACTGATAGGTACGTTTGCTACTTGGGAAAGACCCATTTTACCTGTCAATTCACTGTTGAGAATAGAATGTTTGGTCTGCTTTAGAACCCTTAGAATATTTCCTATCGGAGGTGGTCTTGTTGTAAGGTTAAAGCTTACTGGGAAATGATGTACAATGAATTGAAAAGGATGTTCAAAATACCTTTTGTAAAAAAACCCCAGAAGCTTTTCTTTTGGGAATTATAGGGACAGAACTATGTAAATTGTATAGAAACTTATTCATCTATGCTACTACAGCAGCAAGAATGCTACTTGCCCAAAGGTGGAAAGAAGCAGAAGTCCCAGTAAAGAAAGAATGGATACAAAAACTTATGGAAATGGTGAAACTTATCGGAATAAGAAATCAAGATAACAAACTTTTTATAAAAGAATGTGGAAATGGTTTATAGAATATTCACAGATAAATTGCAAACAGACGAAATCATTAGCAGGATTATTGTAATAACCTGCAGTTTCATAAGAGTATATATTTGAAGTAGATCATTAAACGAGCAAAGTAAATGAATTTGGATATGCAGAAGATATTAAAAAGTAAATTTAAGGAACTGCAGAAAGGAGGAGGGGAAGGAAGTCAAACTTTGAAATGTTAAATTGATTGGAAAACTAATGAAATGTATAAACTTGAAAAGTATAAATAAAAACTTTTTTAAAAAATTTAAAAGTAGAATATTTCCTACCGCTGAACTATGCCTCTTCGGCTTTGCACATTGAACAAAAGTATTACATTCTTGTGGAGACTGCTTTGGAAAGCTGGAATAAGTTACTACTTTTGATATTAGTTATCTGTTAACAGCTGCAAGATCTCAAGATACCTCTCATTAAATTAGGGCCTAGTTCGGACAACGTCGAGGAAGATATGCTTGCTTCGTCTCGTGGTGTTTCTGCTACAGTCCTAGAAGAGTCCCGGAAGGAGACCACTCCAGTTCAGCTTCCTGTATCAGGGCCAGAGTTGGCAGCCATGATGAAGATTGGCACCAGAGTGATGAGGGGGGTGGACTGGAAGTGGGGAGATCAGGTACTGCTTGCCTATGTCTGTCATATTTGCTGGATTTCAGTTCACTCTATGATCTTAATTATTGGCCATATGTTTTTAAACTTTCCTGTATTTCTGCTGCTCTTCCCTTCAGGATGGCCCTCCTCCAGGCTTGGGGCGCGTGATTGGAGAATTGGGTGAAGACGGCTGGATTCGAGTTCAGTGGGACACTGGCAGCACCAATTCTTACAGGATGGGGAAAGAGGGAAAATATGATCTCAAGCTGGCTGAACCACCACCTGCTTCTCAGCCTACAACAGAAGACTCGGACACAGAGGATGATTCTGGTAAGGCTTTTTTTGTGCTGAACAAGTGGTAATGTAGCTCCCAAGCAGTAAGTAAGTGGTTTGAACAAATAGGCCTTGTTCTACTCACACCTCGTTTTTCAAGAAAGAGATCCAACTAATTTAGAGAAGCCAAACACTTAGTAGTTTTGTAGTTATAGGTATTCCTAGAACATGCATTCTCCTCTTCCAATCATAAGACATAAGGGATGCAGAGAGGTTAAAAACCTAGCTATTCTGGACATTGACATTATAAGAGTGGATGGGGCAACCCAGCCAGATGGGTAGTGTTTAAATAATAACATTATTATTATTATTATTAACCACCTTTTAACTTTCTGAACTTTCTAACATTGCTCCAGCTGCTGGGAACAGAATGTGGGGCTTAATTTATTTTGAGTTAATTTCACTTCCAGTGCTGGTATTTGAGTGGCATGTTGGTATACAGTAGCACCACCTCTTGCATGCAATTAACCTGTGCAATTTCAACCTAGCTCAGTTGGAATCTTGCAGATTAATTGCACACAAGGCGGAGAGCTCAAAAAGCTTCTTTTTCACCGGGTGTTCCTGGTGCTCAAAGAGCTTTTAACCTTTAGGCTTGCTTACCAAGCTCTGGAAGGCTCTCGCGAGAACTTGTGGAAATGTGGACAGCCTTGCAACATCTTGCGAGAGAACATTCCAGAACCCAGTAAGCTCTTGAAAGCTCTCCGCCTTGCTTGGAAGGTAAGGATGGCTGTGTGGTAGCGGTTCAGGTGTATGCATTTCTATGTATGTATGCATGTCATCCCCGCAATGTAAACCTCCACTCAATACTGTAATATTAGTCCACTTATGATTTTTCCTCATTGTGCCATTCTGAAGCTGTGGAAGATTAATTTGCCTGGAAAAACAACATTAAATTGGATATTTCCAGTTTCTCTCTTTTTTTTACCGGTTTGTCCAAGGTTAAGGAAATTCTGGCATTTTTAAAAATACTCGTAGGTTTAAAGTGAAAGTCAATATCCAGGGGTGTCTGTCCACCAGTGGAACAGGCACAATTAGTGGAATGGATTCTCTCCTCCCTCTTCAGCCTGTTGTGTGTGCCTTCCAAATATGCACACAGAAGGGTTGGCGGGGACGACCCTCTAGAACAGATTTGGGAGCAGTAGGGTAGGGCCGTACTGGGAGGGAGGGAGAGAAAAGGGAATCCCTGAGCTGAAATCACCTTGCACGGTGCTTGCTGTCACCCAGCGTTTAGTTGTGTCCAACTCTTCATGACCCCATGGACCAGAGCACGCCAGGCACTCCTATCTTCCACTGCCTCCTGCAGTTTGGTCAAACTCATGCTGGTAGCTTTGAGAACACTGTTCAGCCATCTCGTCCTCTGTCGTCCCCTTCTCCTTGTGCCCTCCATCTTTCCCAACATCAGGGTCTTTTCCAAGGAGTCTTCTCTTCTCATGAGGTGTCCAGAGTATTGGAGCCTCAGCTTCAGGATCTGTCCTTCCAGTGAGCACTCAGGGCTGATCTCCTTAAGAATGGAGAGGTTTGATCTTCTTGCAGTCCATGGGACTCTCAAGAGTCTCCTCCAGCACCATAATTCAAAAACATCAATTCTTTGGTGATCAGCCTTCTTTATGGTCCAGCTCTCACTTCCACACATCACTAGTCACCCAGCGTTAGGAGACCTGAATTAATTCGCTTGTGAAAATAAGGAGCTTGCAACGGAGCGCATCAATTTCATTGTCTTCTGTCATTTATTTTGACTCTTGTTTCAGAAGGAGAACAAGTTGAAAGAAATCTCCACCCCACTTCCATGATGCTGACAAGCACAGTGAATCTGCTGCAGACTCTCTGCCTCTCAGCTGGGGTCCACGCTGAAGTCATGCAGAACGAAGCAACAAGAACTTTGTGCGGGCTGCTGCGCATGCTAGTTGAGAGCGGGACCGTAGACAAATCAGGTAGATACCTGCACCAGATCAAAGTCTTGTTTTGTGTGCCGAGTCCTTCATCCTCAGTGGAGCCTATTGTGGCTCCTCAAGTTAGAATGATTTGCCTCATCCCATGTCTGCAGCAGTGCATTTTAAAAAGTATATTTAAAAGAGCTTCACCATTTTTTACCAGAGCAAACAGGCCTTTGTTGTAGAGCGATTTTTGGTGCTTTGCTTTCTCCTGTGTTTTGTTGTTTTCCTTAGGTTTTCATAGTTATCCTGTTGAGTTCAACTAAAACAGGCAAAAGTACATGATATTGCCCATGCTTTCTGACGCTGATAAATAAAATGAGCTATTGTTCTATTCTGCAACATGAAAACTGTTTATTCTAAAAAGCCGGTTTAACTTTAGGTGCTTTGAGGCAAATAATTCAGGTGTAAATGCGCAAATGTAGTAATTTTAGGCAACTAAGAGGACTTAAGAGTGTTTCTTTTTTTAAAATAAATTCCAGCTTCTGTACCAAATACATTGGTTAATAAAGAACAGCACAGGAGCTGGTGTTCACTGGGATTCATCCGAAGTATAGCCCTCATGCCTCAGATGTGCAGCACTCTTAGTACGTCGCAATGGATAACTCTCCTAATGAAAATCGTCGAGGGACATGAATCGTTTACTGCTGCATCTCTACAACGACAGGTAATGCCTTTCACTGGTGGAGATATCCAGTGGGGTTTTTAACCCACTACAACTGAGTCATAATAGGGTTTGAAAGCCACACTTCATGTCTGTGGCTCGATTCAAGATCAGACACCTTTCTCTTGAAAGTGATGAAGCAGGAAGAAGACGCAGAATGGTTTCGTTGCTGCATTTTGCCTAGATGTGAAAGAGGAAGTGGAAATGTGGTTTGTTGGGTCCCTAGCAGGGGATTATTTTGTTTCACACAGTGGGTTGACATTAGGCAGTTATTTACAGCTTATATGCATAACATTACAGCTTACATTTTAGGGAAGCTTTTAATGTTTGATGTATTACAGTATTTTAATGTTTTTTTGGAAGCTGCCCAGAGTGGCTGGGGAAGCCCAGTCAGATGGGCGGGGTATAAATAATAAATTATTATTATTATTATTACATACCTAAAGTCTTTTTTAATAAATCATTTTGAATCGTAACACATGAGAAAATGGCTCCATGTTTTTTAGAAAGAGGAGCATTGGTGGTTATTTTGTGCAAGGAGGCATAAGAGTGTCTGCCTACTTGCAGAATTAAGTGTTCTTTCCTACTAACTTGAGAGACTTCTTTAAAATAGATATGTTTTCATCTTTTAGATCCTTGCAGTGCATTTACTACAAGCAGTCCTTCCTTCCTGGGATAAAAGCGAAAGGTCGAGGGATATGAAATTCCTGGTGGAAAAATTGTTTGGTTTCCTTGGCTGCCTGCTTACCACTTGTTCTTCAGATATCCCACTGCTCAGAGGTAGGAGAATATTATGCCTTCAGTGTTGTATTCTTATATTTTTAACCATATTGATGTCTGTCTATGAGTTTTCCTCTTTTTCAAATTTCCCTTTTTTTTTTGGCAGAATCTACTCTGAGGAGGAGGAAGGCAAGGCCTCAGGCCTCTCTCACGGCCACTCACAGCAGTACTTTGGCAGAGGAGATAGTGGCACTGCTGAGGACATTGCATTCACTGAGCCAGTGGAATGGACTCATAAACAAGTACATCAACTCTCAGCTAACCTCCATCACCCACATCTTTGCAGGAAAACAGTCAGAAGGGGTAGTTCCCGCATCTTAAAATCAACTCATTTTTGTTTTAAATCTAGTAATCGTTAATGGATTCTGTCAAACTATTTAAAAGCTATGATATATTTTTGTGAAGTGATTGCCTTCTTTAATGTAAATTTGGCTGCAATATCAAATATTATTGCATGTTGTTTTTCTTGAACTGCGAATATTTTCCAAAGGGAAGTCCTTGCCACAGTTTCATTGTGCCTGTTCTCTTTTTTTTCCTAGGCTGTTTTGGAAGACTTCTTTCCCGACTCTGAGAATCCAGAAGTGGGAGGCTTGATGGCTGTCCTGGCAGTCATTGGCGGAATAGATAGTCGCTTGCGGTTAGGTGGCCAAGTTATCCATGATGAATTTGGAGAAGGCACAGTGACACGAATCACCCCGAAAGGAAAAATCACAGTTCAGTTTTATGACATGAGAACCTGTAGAGTCTGTCCCCTCAGTCAGCTAAAACCAGTAAGTGTATTAAAGTGACGCCTTGCTTAAGGTGTAAGCTGAGTACGATGCATTATACGTGGACTGTTTGTTTGTTCGTTTTGGGAAATATTCTAATATTCTCCTGGCTGATGAGCAGCAATTTGTGCATCCCAAAAAAGCTGATTTTTTTTCTTTCGAGTGTCATGCATCACTGCTCAGATAAGGTAATATGTTACCAATATTTGAGCAGCTCTTGTACAAGTCACCTTCAGTTCCACATCTTTTGGGTAGAACTTTTCTGTTTGCTTTACCTCACTGTTGTTTCGCCCTGGGAAAGCAAATTTTGACAGCCCCTTCTGCATTGGTCTAGGAGTGCTTCTACCTTTTACAAGCACCCGGAGAAGGGAGGGAATTCTCTCAGGTTGGAAGCAAAGAAATGAACACAACTTACAAGGAATTTATACTAAAATATATATTTAAAATGTCTGTTTGTCTATAGCTCCCGGTCATTCCTTTTAATGTCAATAATTTGCCATTCACTGAACCAATGCTGTCTGTCTGGGCTCAGCTGGTGAACTTGGCTGGAAGTAAAGTTGAAAAACACAGAATAAAGACTCCAAATCAGGGTGTTTCAGGTATGTTTTTCTTGATTTATAAATACTATGCTCACTCTAAAAGGATGCTACTCTTAAACAGATGATGTCAAAGTGTGCTGATTTGAAGAATGTTTCTTAATTGGTAGGTGTTTTATGTTTAATTTTATCCCTATTGTACCTTTATTGCACACCACTTGGAGACTTGAAAACATCTGTTTTCAGTCAATAGAGCCTTAAGTTTGTATTCTGAATGATAAGAATGCATGGAAGAAGTGAATGGCATTAATTATGAATATATAAAACTAACACTGGGCTAAAGCAGTAGTGCCTCTTGGATATGATAAAAATACAGTTCAGTATTTCTTTTTTCTGTTTCTTCATATCTTCAAGCTTTATTTTAACTGTGTGTTAAAATATAAAGAGTTTCTACTAATAAGCATTCCAGCAGGAATGGGAAGAAACAAAAAAGCACTGGTGATTTTTAAATGAACAGTGTAATTTGTGAGTTTTAGGGCTGTACACTCCAACCCAGTGGTCCAACCTGATCTGGGGAACACTTGACTTGGCCCCAAGTCAATGGGTGTGTGTGTGAGAGAGTGAAGTCATGCCAAAGCCATGTTTCAGCCTACCATCTTGATCCAAAATGGCGCCCAGCATCCAAATGCCAACCAAGACTGCTCCCCACACCTTGGGATCTCTTGTGTCAAGTTTGGTAATGATATATTGAGAGCTGGCAGAAACTATGCCCCCAAATGGGCAAAGTCATGCCAAAGCGATGTTTCAGTCCACCATCTTTGATTCAAAATGTTGCCACCGGTGTCCAAACACCAATGAAGTCTGCTGCCCCCACATTGAGAACCCTTGTGCAGAGTTTGGTGATGTTATCTCAAGAGGGCGGCTGAGCAGACAGACGGACAAACCGCTTTCTAAAATAGATATTTGTAGATCAATTCTTCCTATTTATTTTGCTAAGAAATGCCTATCATATGTTTTGGACAGGCCAAATAGACTTGGATCTGCTCAGATGCCAGCAGTTAAAACTGTACATACTAAAAGCAGGTCGAGCTCTGCTTTCTCACCAGGATAAATTAAGACAAATCCTGTCTCAGCCTGCAGTGCAAGATGGCGGCTCACTTCCCACAGGTAATAATATTCTGCTTGATTACAAGGTTGATAAGGATTTTCTTACTTTTTTCTACTGTTGAAGTAGGCAGACGAACAGAGGAAAGGACTGGTTTTTTGTGCACGATTGTCTTGACTTACCGTGAGTTCCTTTCTGGCAGGACATACATGGTGTTTTTTTTAATGTTGAAAGTCAAAAAGGTGAAAGAAGAAGTATTTTCCGTCTGTAACAAGCAATTTCTTCCGAGCAGTAATGTTCTCTATATATTTTCATATGGTTTAATAATTGCATCTGAAAGCAGATACCCTGAAAGGATAGAGCAATAAAGAGAGCCACGCAGGGCCCATTTTACTTCTAGGGAATTGATATTCTTGTGTTTTATGTGGAGAGTATCCAGCAATGAGTTACCCTGTTCCACTGAAACTAGGAAATTAATACGTCTTCAAGAAATCTGATACTTACCCAATGTTAGTGATGATTGTCTCATTGCCTGTTAATTGCCCTAGATTATTATTTTTTTTAAAAAAATAATTGAATAAAATCTCAGATGGTATAAACCCATCAGTGGTTATTTGAAATCTTCCTCAAGCTTTCGCTGTGCTTAGCGATTTCAGTCACTCGTGAGTAGATGTTATAAGTGAGTTGAAGCCCTTTTTCCATTTCAGTTTTAACATTTTTATGTAACGACGTAATAAAAAGAGATAATGGTAGTTCTGGAGGTAGACATTTAAATACAAAACATCTCAGAATTCAAAGCTTCATTTCTTTGGAACAGAGAATGTGATGTACATGTTCCTTTTTTAAAAAAGAAGAAGAAGAGGGGTTTGCATTTGAAGTGAGACACCATTGAAAAGTAATCTGTTATTGGAAGTGTATTTCAGTTTCTGGTTGTTTCTGAAACTTAAATCCACTTTCCTTGGCTTAAGATGATGGCGTAGTGACATCACCTGATGTTGGAGACTTGTCTCCTGAGGGACCTCAGCCACCCATGATCCTCTTGCAACAACTGCTGACGGCAGCAACACAGCCATCACCTGTGAAGGCGATTTTTGATAAGCAAGAACTTGAGGTAAGATCTGAGCATTCTCCCATTAAGGAGAAACAGTTATTGTTTTATTTAGATAGACAATAATAGAATAAAAGCTTTCTGCCAAGGCAATTCATAGTTTAAAGCAGTGGCTTGTAATATAATAAGCTTTTCCTTCCTGATCGTGTTTATCTCAGAGACTGCCTACTGCCTCTAATCACAGCGTCCAATGCTGGTCACAGCTTCAGACTACAAGGTTCCTGGGTCAAGCCCTAGATCTCCTGGTGCTTTGTTAGTTTGAATGTGCCACAAGACCTGGCGTAAATAATAAATCCTATTAATGTTGTACAGTGGTACCTCGGAAGTCAAACGGAATCTCTTCTGGAAGTCCGTTCGACTTTCAAAACGTTCAGAAACCAAGGTGCAGTTCCTGCAGCCAATCGGAAGCCGTGTCGGACAATCAGATTCCAAAGAACGTTCGCAAACCAGAACACTCACTTCTGGGTTTGCGGCGTTTGGGAGCCAAAACGTTCGACTCGCAAGGCGTTCAGGATCCAAGATACGAACTGTACTTTGTAAATGTATTACAGTTGCAAAAAGATTTGTGTATATCTTCTTATAGGCTGCTGCACTGGCTGTGTGTCAGTACCTGGCAGTCGAGTCTGCACATCCCTCAACTCCAGTCTTTGAAGACTGCAGCTCCAGTGAAGCCACAACCCCTGTTACAGTCCAGCACATCAGACCTGCAAAAGTGAAAAAACGCAAAGTATCCCCTATTCCACCGCTTCCTATTGTGGTGCAGCTTATGGAAATGGGTTTCCCCAGGAAGAATATTGAGTTTGCACTGAAATCACTTTCGGGGACCTCTGGAAGTGCTTCTGGGTTACCAGGTACTTTGCTTTTGTTTGTTTGAGGTTCAAGGAAGAACACGTTGCATTAAGATTTTGAGAAGCTGGAAAGTGCTTTGACGTTCAGTGAATGAGATATTGTGGAAATAGGGTAATATGATGGAAAAGAGAATGTGAGAAAGGGAAAAGGCAGCAAAAAGGACTAAATTGCAGGTAGCCAGAAGGAAGGAAAGAAAAACAGATGACCCCCAAGGTTGCATACCTGAGAAACGGAACTATAAGGGTTAACCAACAGTGAAAAGGGATAGGAGGATATCACAGAAAATGCACAGGGCTACACCTTCCCCACATTTTTGATGTTGAATGATTGCCAAATGGTCTTAAGAGATGAAATTGAAGAGAGGTTGTGAAAAATCGCCTGAAAAACAAGAATTGAATATTTTGTTTTTTAAATCTGGGGGAATGATTTGGTGCAGCCAAAGTTGACTGTAGGGTCGGTGAAGCACAAGGAGAAAAGTTATTTTTTCTTGAACGTCAGGTCAAGTGAATAATACTGTTGATGTCTGTATTTATTACGTCTTGCTGTAGGAGTAGAAGCCTTGGTGGGCTGGCTTTTGGACCACCCAGATGTCCAAATTACTGACCTCTCAGATGGTGACACTGTATCTGACGAGTATTCAGATGAAGAAGTAGTAGAGGATGTCGAAGAAGCAGAAGCTGCATATCCCGTGGTAAGCGTTAGGAATGGGATCTTAGGATTCTGAAACAACATGTAGAGAGGCCAGTGTTCCTGATATGTCAGTCACAACTTTGGGCCAGGAAACCAAAATGAACATTCTTTGCAATCATTTCGGGAGTCTACATTGCAGAGCACTTAGCATTTATAATGTGCGTCAGAGTTATGGATTTTTAAATTTTATTTTATTGCAGTCTACTGGTGCCGTTGTAACAGAAAGCCAGACTTACAAGAAGCGAGCTGATTTCTTAAGTAATGATGATTATGCTGTGTATGTGCGAGAGAACATTCAGGTAAGCTTGACTACGAAGCCTGCATTTGAACTGTAGTGTTCTCTATTTGAAAAGGATGATATTGATGCAGCTGAAATGCTGACGTGGATGCACGTGGGAGGAGGAGATAAACACGGAAGCTGCAAATTGCTTTGATAACTGCAAAAAGCTGCTTTATTTAATCTCCCAGCTGTTGCAATCTGTTGTTGCTTTGCTCTATTCATAGAAGGCATTGATGGTCTTTGTTTCATGGTAACGTCAAGGGGCTACTTCCTCCTTCCACAGTGTGTTTTCAGGGATGTAACTGACTTGTACAGCATCTGTTTTACATGCAAAAGGTTCCCGTTTCAAACACAGACATCTCCTGGCAGAGCTGGAAAAGACTCATGCCTGTAATCCTGAGCGCCACTACCAATCAGTATAAAAAGTACTAAGCTGGATGGACGACCTCTGACCCTGAATAAGGCAGCTTCCTGTGTTCCTAACATTTTCATTGGATTAGAAAGCCATTAGCTTGCGGTCATCATAGTATTGTGTGAGGTGCTCTCGCTAGGCACCAAGTATAGGCCTGAACAGATCCCATTTGGCTCTCCACCTCTGGAATTTGGATGAAATCTTCAACCCAAACTCAGAGCTGGAGTCTTCCTTTTTGCCCTCCAGCATGTGGTGTGGTTTATAGACTGAAGCCACATTGGGATGATTCACACAATGCTCCGAAGGCGTTTGCTTGTGCAGAGAGGGCATGTCTGACTTGCAGACCTTGGATGCATTGTTGTACGTGTGAACTACAATACATGATCGTCCCCTGTTTCTTCTCCAGCTTTTTTTTTTTTTTTTTGAGGGCAGTGATTGTGTGGATCATTGCATTTTACTTGTGCAGGCCTGGTTCAAAATAATAGAAGCAAACCATGCCCCCAGTTTGCTTGTATAAGCTAGGAATCGTGTGCCCCCCCCCCAATGCACTAGCAGGGAGGAGTACAGAAGGCAAAATTACAGACTGCCTTCAGATGTCTTTAGAAGGTTTTGTGGTTGTTTATCTGTTTGACATCTGATGAGAGGATGTTCCACAGGGTGGGTGCTACTACTGAGAAGGCCCTCTGCCTGGTTCCCTGTAACTTCACTTCTTGCGTGTTCACGGCACGCTATTAACTGGGCCAGTGATTGCAAATTCTCCTAAATCACAGGGTAGTCTGTCTTGTTCAGGGTAGTTACTTTGATACTGCATTTCTGTTGAAGCTTCAGGTGGTAAATATTGATCCATTTTTTCCTCCTCCTAGGTGGGAATGATGGTTAGATGCTGCAGGACATATGAGGAGGTTTGTGAGGGCGACGTGGGCAAAGTTATCAAATTGGACCGCGATGGACTGCATGATCTCAATGTGCAATGCGATTGGCAGCAGAAAGGTGGCACTTACTGGGTCAGATATATCCACGTTGAACTTATAGGCAAGTCAGTTACTTCATTCATTCATTCTTCTAATGCTGTCTTTTACACGCTCAAAATCCAAAGACATTAATTTCATTGCGTTTGCATTTTTTAAATAGGATTCCCACCACAGAGCTCTCCATCACACATAAAGATTGGCGACAAAGTGCGAGTAAAAACCTCCGTGACTACACCCAAGTACAAGTGGGGCTCTGTTACCCACAGGAGCGTGGGAGTTGTGAAAGGTAATGTGTATTCTTTAAAAGAAAAAGTTTGTTGGATGGGTTTCACAGAATTACGGACTTTGTTGTTTGTAGAATTGTTGCCTGCAAGATTAATATTGAACTGTTGGAATGCTTAGCAAATTCTGATGAACAGGAAGTACAGTCGTACCTTGGTTGTTGAATGAAATCCATTCTGGAAGTCTGTTCGAATTCCGGAAATATTCAGAAACCAAGGCATGGCCTCCAATTGGCTGCAGGAGCTTCCTGCACTCAATTGGAAGCTGCGTTGGACGTTCAGCTTCCAAAGAACGTTCACAAACCAGAACACTCATTTCTGGGTTTGCGGTGTTTCGGAGCCAAAATGGATGAGTGCCAAGGTTTTCAACAACCAAGGTACGACTGTATTGGCTTGGCTCTAAGTATGTCGTTGTGCGAGCGGGAGGCACTTCTGCCCATGTAAGGTGGCAAATGTCAACAGCATTTGCCAGTTATGCTTTCCCATTGCAGCTCTTCATGGCATCCCTTGCACTGTCCCAAAGACCTGGTTCGCATGTTGCTCTAAGCCAAACTATGGCTTAGTGTGAATGCATGCGTTCCCAGGAAAGAGGTCCGAGAAACTTCACTCCTCCCTTATCAATTTGCTGCCTCGCTATTGTGAGCTAAGCCATAGCTTAATGTAGTGTGTGGACTGAATTAGGGCTCATGATTGAGCTCTGCATAACCAAGAGCAAACTTCCCCAGGAGCCTGTCTGCTCATGCTAAGTCATAGTATGGCTTAGTGTCACATGTGGACTAGGCCACTGTGTCTCTGAATCCTCAGGAACAGGGTGTTTTTGGGGGGGTGGGGAATAGGGACCAGCAGCAGGAAGCGGGGAGGTTGGAAAGCCCTGTTTTGTGAGCAATGCTTCAGTCACAGAATTTAGGGTCAAAGTTTTTTGGTAAACAATCCTGACATAAGACATACCTGTTTGGCGGGTTGCGGGGGATGTAATGGAATGGAGCTTGCTATTTCCATAAATTGATATTCCATTTTCATATGAAGGAGCTGTTAATAAGGAACACTATAGCCTTAAAAGTTACTTGGTCATTCTGAAAGTCATGTTGTGCTTTCCTCCACCTGACAGTTCAGATTGCATCAGGAAAGGGAGGGCAGTTTGTTGTGTTTTTGACACGAGCTTTCAAATAGAGGCAGAGTGTCACATATGCCTGCTTCACATTTTGGGTTTGATTTATTTTCAGGATAAAGCAATAGCTATTACTGTTAATAATAATACTGTTAATAAACAGCAATAGCTGTTCTCGAGTGAGAAGTGCTAGTTAGTGGTCTAAAAATCTGGATTAAATACTGGTTTTCAGGTTCACAGAAAGCTCGTTGTTTTAAAGCAAGGAATTGAGTACACCACTAAATATTTTATACCAGAAGTTTCATAAGTAGGAAATATCAGTACAGCAGTCACTGAAGTATGTGTATATCTCACAAATACTTTTTATATTTCCCATTTCTTCTCTTGTCACAGCTTTTAGTGCCAATGGTAAAGATGTCATTGTTGACTTTCCTCAGCAGTCTCATTGGACTGGATTACTGTCAGAAATGGAACTTGTTCCCAGTATTCATCCAGGGGTTACGTGAGTGTGTTTTTTTAAATAATAAAAAGCCCTTTAACCATTTTATTGTGGCTTTTTCTTTAAGTTGCATCTTTTTTCTTATAGTGTTTCTATAACATAAAACATGGCCTGATTCCCCCCCCCCCCCCAAGATGCAACAGGTAAAAAAACCTGAAAGAGTAGGCATTTTTGTAGTAGACGGTATAGAATGAGAATTTGTTTGGATTAAATTATGTGAACGGAATAGAAAAGCTAATGTGATAATTGAATTTTTGTTTCAATTAGGTGTGATGGCTGTCAGATGTTTCCCATCAATGGACCCAGATTTAAATGCAGAAACTGTGATGACTTTGATTTCTGTGAAACCTGTTTCAAAACCAGGAAACATAACACACGACACACTTTTGGAAGAATAAATGAGCCAGGTATTATACGTTATAGCTTAATGAAGTCTGAGACATTTCTGCACAACTCTTTGTTGTGGGTAAAGTTTTTGGAAACCCCTGCTTCTGATTAACTTTCATTGGACCTCCTCTTTCTAATAAACTCAGCAGAATTCTTTATTGTGAACAAAGCTTGTAGGAAGAGCTTTGTGCTGTGTTTTAGTGTTTTTTATTGTATTTTAGTGTTTTGTTGGAAACCGCCCAGAGTGGCTGGGGAAACCCAGCCAGATTGGCGGGGTATAAATAATAAATTATTATTATTATTAACTCTACAAATACAGTTCAGTATAATGCTCCAGCCTTTAGGATAGCATGCCCCTGAATTAAATAGTTGTCTTCAAATCTACAACACTAACTATTTACAATAGGTCAATCTCCAGTATTTTGTGGCCGCTCCGGAAAGCAACTGAAGAGGCGTCACAGTAGCCAGAGAGGGATGCTACTGGATGATTGGTCAAGAATCGTTAAAAATTTGAATGTCTCATCTTCCGTGAATCAGGCCTCACGTTTGATTGATGGTGGGGACCAGTGCTGGCAGTCTTCTGGCTCCCAAGGAAAGGTGAGTTTTAAAGAAGTTGTTCGCGAGCTTCCCTCACATTTCAGTGTAATCTCCTCATTGCTGTCACCATCATTTGATAAAAGTAGAACTATACCTGCAGATATATATTTTTAAAAAGCAATACTGTTTTTATTATCTGAAACTACTTGCAAGTATTGTATTCTAAGAAGTAGTAGTCATGTTCACATGTAACTGTAGTCCACCGTGCCTCCAGAGAATTTTAGATAATTGCAGTCATTTCCCCCCCAGCACTGGATCCGTTTGGAGATTTTCCCTGACGTCCTTGTACACAGACTGAAAATGATTGTGGATCCTGCAGACAGCAGCTACATGCCCTCGTTGGTTGTGGTTTCAGGTAGGAGACTGTCAGTTTTGACTACAGGGAATTGGTTTCATTATTGAGCAGCTTGTTTTGTTTACTTGCAGTATGGTAATACAGGCAGTGTCTGTTTTAGGTGCTTCCGATACGTGTATTCCAAACCTGGAAGTGACCTGAAAATATCACAAAAAGGGGTGGAGCAGGGCTTGGACAGATCAGGGTGTTTAATATAATAATAATAATAATAAATTTTTATTTATATCCTGCCCTCCCCAGCCGAAGCCGGGCTCAGACTGGCTAACATCAGTCAAATAATACAACATTCTAAAATCATTTCATTATAAAATTAATTCAAATCAGATCAATGGCAACCATTGGGCTAGAGTTCTGTGAGGATTGCCAAAGGAGGGAGGGAGGCTGTGCCCTGGCCAAAGGCCTGGTGGAACAGCTCTGTCTTGCAGGCCCTGCGGAAAGATGCCACAAGGCCCTAGTCTCTTGTGACAGAGTGTTCCACCAGATTGGAGCCACAGCCAAAAAAGCCCTGGCTCTGGTTGAGGCCAGCCTAACCTCTCTGTGGCCTGGGACCTCCAAGATGTTTTTGTTTGAAGACCGTAAGTTCCTCTGTGGGACATACCAGGAGAGGCGGTCCCGTAAGTACGAGGGTCCTAGGCCATTTGCAGGCTTTTACAATGGTTTCAAATATACATGATTTCACTTAACATGCGGTGCCTTGGAACATAACCCCTGCATAAATTGGGAGTTGCCTGTACTGAAAAACAACAACTCCCAAATTAAAAATAATCCAGCATGCATCTCTTTCCTTATGCTGCAGGTGGAAGTTCTTTAAACAACCTCATAGAGCTGAAGACAATCAACATTAATCCTACAGACACCACAGTTCCTCTTCTCGGTGATTGCACAGAGGTAGGTTATTGCTGCTTATAGGGAAGACTAATTAAGAAAGTTGTGCATCAAACCCATGTAAGATGTCCCGTATTTTTCGCTCCATAAGACACACTTTTTCCTCCTAAAAAGTAAGGGGAAATGTCTGTGCGTCTTATGGAGCGAAAATGTGGTCGATCGCTGGCTCCCTTTCCGGCCCCGTCCCCTTGCCCAGGCCTCCATTGTTGAATGTTCTGCAGATGGAGGCTGTTTGTTTCCCCAGCGACATGTGACTGGCTAATTAGTATCTGTCTGGAAACTGTAGAAACCCTCCCTTTCCTTTCCTAAAGAAGCTTTAGAACTGTGAGTTGAACCCCATAAAAACATGATTTTTTTCCCTTTGCAAAGTAAGCTCAACAACTTTGAGCTGATCCCCCCCAAAACGGGGCTTTCCCCTTTTCCTCCTCTAAAAACTAGGTGCATCTTATGGTCAGGTGCGTCTTATGGAGCGAAAAATACGTATTTTCTCTGTGTTTCCCCCATGGCTTTCAGCTACAAGGTGTCAGATTTAAATTCCCTGCTGTTATTGTGAAGTTTCTTTTGTCACATTCTTTTTTGAGCGCATGAGGAATTTTTTTGTTTGCCAAGAAACCATGCTGTGATATCTCCACAGCAATGTTGCTTAATGAGGACACTGGCTGGAGTTTATGTATCTGTTGTTTAAATCGTGAACAAAATTAATGTTTTTGTGAGCCCCGTCCCCTCCTTTTGTTGGGTATAGTTGCATATGCATACAAGGCAGATGCCGCGTGTAAAGAAAAAGTAAAAATCCATTGGAATGCAGGAAGACACTTGTCAGAATCCCAGGGGTCTGTCAGAGGTTAGACCTATTATGTGGGTGAGGGTCTCGCTCTGAAAAGTAAGAGTGCCTCAGGTTTACCCAAAGCAATAAAGGTCTTACCAAGTTAGGATGGCTCATTACAGAGCACACCTGAGCAGAATTAAGAACAGGAGAGGTTCTTTCATTTATTCAGGCTTTTTATTATTAAAAAGATTCCCTTTTATATTAATAAAACAGGAGGGAGCAGAAAGGTCAGAAGTAGGTAAAAATGGATACAAGTCCATACATATATAATTAATTCATTTCCCTTTTCATAGTCTCAATCATAATATTAAAGCAGGCAGGCAGGCAGTTCTCTAGAGTCTTCTATCCTTTTGTCACGTATTTTCTTAAATTTGTGGCATTATGTGTTGGTTCTTACTATACTTAATCCTTTTTAATTTCAGTATCATAGGTATATTGAAGTGGCTATAAAGCAGTGCAGGAGCTCCGGCATTGATTGCAAAATACACGGTCTCAGCATATTGGGGCGTATTCGGGCAGAGGATGAAGACTTGGCTGCAGTCCCCTTTCTTGCTTCAGATAACGAAGAAGATGAAGATGATAAAGCTAACACTGGGAGGTATGGAATATTAGAGCAAAGATCTCTTATAAAACACCACATGTAACTGCATACTGCTGAACTTGTTGGGACTTTCAAGTTCAGGATTAGGAATACTTTGTCCCAAACGTTCCTCAATTTTATTTTCTTTAACAGATTATTGATTTATTGATTAATTTCTATACTGCTTAATATATTAAAAAATATCTCTAAGCGGTGTACCAAAAACTGACGCAACAACCAGAAACTTAAATTTTTAAAAATACAGTGTTACGTATTAATATGTTACATTAGTACAAAGCTACTACATCTGTCTCAATTTCAATTCATTATTTTCACAAAAATAGTTGTGATGCAGTTGTTGCAAATAAATTGTGAATAGCTGGGTGACAAATAAAATTCTAGGGACAATCCCAATATATAAATTGGAAAGTTAACTTATTGCTTGCTTGCTTGCTTAGCCTTGTTAGAAAGAAGACGACAGGCCTGGAATCAGCAGCGACAATAAGAACCAAAGTTTTTGTTTGGGGCCTGAATGACAAAGACCAACTAGGAGGATTAAAAGGTTCTAAGGTATTGGGTGTTTTGTTTTTTTTTAATTGAAATACATGAAAACAATGTTGTGCTTCCTTTCTTCTTTGTGTGTCTCTGCGTGTGTTGCAAGGCAATACCACCTTAAATGTCTTGTCATGCCTCTTTTTTTCTGGATCATTTGTTTATTTATTAAATTTACATACAGCCCTTCAGCCAAGGATTAGGCCTCTTCTTAACAGCTGCCAGTTGCTGCGGATTTAACATCCATGCAGCAGCTTCAGCTGTGTTATGGAGGAGACCATCCTTGTTAAAAAAAACTTGGTTCTATGCAGTGGTCAGGACCGGAACACCTAAAATCCTATAAGCAATATGACATAGTAGAACGTTGTCTACTGTCAGAAGCAGTATGGCTCTGAATCTCAGCTGCTGGGAAGGACAAGCAGGGAGAGCACTTGTATTCACTCACTGCTCGTGGGCTTGGCCAATAGGAGTACGGGATGCTGCACATAGATATACTTTGGTCTCATCTGGCAGGACTTCTGTTCTTAACAGACTTGCAAAGATGAGTTGTTGCGGTTTTATTCTTGGGCTTCTTTCGGAAAGCATTGGCTTCCATTACTTGAAAGCATATGACCCAAACTTGAAAGGTATTTCAACTAGCAACTTATTTCTACCTTGATTAAGGAACAGCTGTTCAATAGCTAGTCAATACATTGTGTGGAGTGGCTTACAGGGTCCTAGTAATGTAAACAAGATTAGCATATATCGTGTCAAGCTGGCAACTGTGCATATTTCCTGGCGGCCAGGAAATAAGCCTTTGGTCAAAAGGGAGATGTGAATGCTGGTGCTAAATGAGATGCAGGGACACTTAATTCATAACTTAAAAACCTTTTGAATAAAAAGAGTACTCTTTGAATGTGCGGCAAGCATTCACTCGATGATCAGAAGATGACAGCTAAGATTGAGAGAACAGTTTTCGGTATGCCACAGGCAAATCAGTGCTTTTGAAACACCTTACGCTTGTTTATTTTCTGTATAATTTGCGTTTTACAGATAAAGGTTCCTTCGTTTTCCGAGACCCTCTCTGCCTTGAATGTGGTGCAGGTAGCTGGGGGATCCAAAAGCCTTTTTGCAGGTAGGGGAGCTCTCTGTCACGCAGCTTTTTAAATCTACTGATATGTAAGATGTCGTGTTTGTTTTAGAAAACAAAGCTGCTTTCGGCTGTCCTAATTTCTCCGTAATGGAACTCTGAGTTTCTCCTGTCTTTTAGTGACTGTGGAGGGTAAAGTGTATGCCTGCGGAGAGGCCACCAATGGAAGACTGGGATTAGGCTTATCAAGTGGAACTGTTCCCATTCCCCGGCAGATTACTGCTCTCAGTAATTATGTAGTCAAGAAAGTTGCAGTTCACTCAGGTACCAAATCTGTCCTTTCCTATCTCTGGGAATCAGTAAGATTATTATGTCAAATTGAAATAGGCTTCTTATCCAAACTACTTTGGATGTCAAAATTACTTTGCATGTCAGTATTCTTCTTGCTTTCTCTCTGCACGGTACTCTGCATAGGGAAGTGTTACGTGTGAAAGGGCAAGTGCCGTATCTAGTCTTAGAAACTTGTGTTAGCGGGGCACTTTCTCTGTGCTAATACTGCGATGAATATTGCAAAACTAACTGCTGAGTTTTTATCAATAGCATCTCATACAGTGGTGAATGGCACTATTTAGCGGGAAGGAAGCTCCATTGAAAATCCTCGTTATTTCATATTTTTACATGGCTCTTTATTTGTATATATTTTAAAATTTTACATACGGATGTTTTATGATAGCCTATATTTGTAATGCCTGATAAAATTTTGGTGAAGTAAGTAAGTAATATTGTGAAATGTAGATAAGGGTTTGAATGTGTGCAGCCATGTGATGGGGTGAAAGTACAGAGTGAAAATAAGCTAATTGAGTTGTTGTTTTGAGTTCCCCCCATTTCCTCATTTAGCAGGGTGGGAAATACTTAAATGTATTGTAATTACATTGTGGTGTTTGTTAGCAAACTGAGATGCTGCACACAGCGGTCTCTAGTTACTTAGACTTGCCTGATACAGAAAGGAGGCTGTCACATTCTACATACGCATTAAACCATACTTTAAAACAACGTTCACGATTGGAGCCACTATGTTTTCTGGTTGGAATCACTAAACCCAGTTTCATTTTTTTACAGCTAACCCTCTGATCTGAACATGATCTTCCTGTTCTGCTTTGGGTTCAACCAAGAATTTCAAATGAGCTGTTGAGAGTGTGTTCTGTTTTTGTGTAAAAGCAAAAATGCAATGCGGGTTTCAATCAGTTTTAGTTAGATAATTTAATATTAGAGATATACACAAGGCATTTTGTCATGGAAGGGAGTGCAGGGAAGCCACTGTTGCTACCAACTTTTCTGAAGAGGTTTCTTTCTACTGTTTGATTCTCCCTTTCCCCCCCTCTAATCTTGGTGTGTTACCTTGTCAACCTTCTCATATTCTTATCCATTCCAGGTGGCCGCCATGCTATGGCTTTAACTGTTGATGGGAAGGTATTCTCTTGGGGCGAAGGAGATGATGGGAAACTTGGACACTTCAGTAGAATGTAAGGATGCCATTTTTGCTGCTGCTCTGAGCTTGCTGGATATTGGACACTCAGTTCATTTAGCTTGTGATACCTAATTTAAAGTTTAATTAAATAACCCGACTAAACAAACACAATGTATTTTGGGTTTTGTTTTTGTTTTCAGGAACTGTGATAAACCAAGGCTGATAGAAGCATTGAAAACAAAGCGTATCCGAGATATTGCCTGTGGAAGTTCTCACAGTGCTGCCATCACCTCCAGTGGTGAATTGTATACATGGGGCCTCGGGGAATATGGTCGACTGGGACATGGAGACAACACTACGCAGCTTAAGCCAAAGATGGTAAAATCAGAATATGTTTTCCCACCTTAGGTCACTTCAGTGCATAGGCTTGCTGAAATACAGCAAAAGTAGGAAAACAGCCCAAATGCCCTCACTCAGTATATAGTAGAGGTGACATTTAAAAATAATGCTCTGGGTATCTGGATCAGAGATGGGCCTACCTAATGAGGTGTGTGAACTGTACACCCCCATTTATTGAATGCCCTCCCCTCTGAGATCTGGCTGGTGCCAGCGTTCTTTCCTTTTCTGTCACATTGCCCTTTGGGAGGGGGTTAATTTATCAAGTACAGCTGCTGATGGATGCATTGCCTGCTAGATGAATATATTGGGTAAGGAATTTTTTATCATATTGGCTATTAAACTTTGGATCTCTTACCTATGTGTTATTTTGAAATCCACCCTGAGATAATGAATAAATAAAATGGTAAGCTTCTTTCTTCTTCATTGGATCAGGAGAAGACTTAGTCAGTGTTGTTGCTTTCTTTAATTAATTGCAGCTTACACAGACCCAAGTTTCTGGATTGTTTTATTGTTGGTTAGCAGCAATCACAGATATCAAAGCGCTCAGCCACTCTTCCTTCTTCCTCTTTTAGTCTTCCGTTCTTGAGATCTGGAATGGGAGCATACAGACCTTCTTTTTGGGTGTGGGTGGGGTGGGGCTTAAATCAACTTTTTTCTCTTAAGTTCACTGTGCCAAATTGAATTTCTGGCCTAAACTGGTATCCGTAGATCAACTGTATCTCTTACATTGTGAGCAAATTGCACACAGTTCAAAATGAATGAATGAACCTGCTGTGTTTTCTGCCTTGTAGGTCAAAGTGCTCCTTGGTCATAGGGTCATTCAGGTTGCTTGTGGGAGCAGAGACGCTCAGACGCTGGCCTTGACCGATGAGGGTAAGTAACCTCTCCTCCTTATTGCCGCTTTAATACCGTATGGCCGTTGCAGCAATTAACACAAGCCTGTTTTCCTTAGGGCTCGTATTTTCCTGGGGAGATGGAGACTTTGGAAAACTCGGTCGAGGAGGAAGCGAAGGATGTAACATTCCTCAGAACATTGAAAGGCTGAATGGCCAGGGAGTCTGCCAGATAGAGTGCGGAGCTCAGTTCTCTTTGGCTCTAACCAAGTCTGGGGTGGTTTGGACATGGTATGTCACGTTTAACAAATTGCACCCCCCCCAATTGTCATAAAACCAGCCAAACTGATAGGAAGAATGGAATCGTAGGGTTGCATCCTGATCAGTCGTCAGAGACACACATAATCATCCTATCAATGTTATTGTTTCGTCTTCAGGGGCAAAGGCGACTACTTCAGACTAGGACACGGAACAGATGTCCATGTACGAAAACCCCAAGTGGTAGAAGGGTTGAGGGCGAAGAAGATCGTGCACGTGGCCGTAGGTGCACTCCATTGCCTAGCAGTCACTGACACAGGGCAGGTAAGAACCATTTGTCAGTCCATCACAAGACCATTACATGGCAGTAAGTTCCATGGGATCTACTTGCCATAACTTGTTCTGGACTGAATTTTGAGCTCCTGGCAATGAATAAGTAAGTGCTGGAGCATGGAATGCAGCAATGGAATTGTGTGATGAATCACTTAAAACCATTGCCATTATTGGCTCTTCTTCCAACAGCGCTGTAGGATGTTTTCCAGTGCAATTTACATTTCACAGTTTTTGCCACATTGTCCATTATATTAAGTGGTTCTATCTCAGCAAATGGAATCATGTTTGTCCTCTTCCTCTTCCCCTTCCCTTAAGCCAGTAAGAAAGAACAAACAGTGTGTTTTGTTTATAGTCTTCATTTAGCAAATGCAGTTATTGTAAAATGATTATCTTTGTTCGCTTAGAATATTTATGTCGCCCTCTTAATCAGTGGAATTTATGAGGCACTTGGCAAATACAAAACCACAGAAAACTTCCACAGAGGTGACATTTGGCAACAGAAACCAAATATAGTAGAAGCATCAAATAATCTTAGAAGAGTAATATATTTGGGTGCCTTAAAAAGTCAGCAACGAGGGAGCCTAATGAAGGAATAGGAATGATTTTCCAGAGGCATGTGCTGTAAAGTCCCTATTCCTCATTGCCACTCACTTTGCTTCAGAAATAGTCACCAGGAAGCTATATGAAATTATTTTGCCAAGAATTTTAATTGCATTTGGAAACACTAGAATAAATATATCAACACTGCTGGTGAAGCAGTCAGGGAGATAGATGCTAACGTGGATCACCTGCTTTTTTTGTTCCTAAAATTATTTTCATAATTGTTTGGCCTGTATTGGGACTTCATAGCGGCCAGTGATCTTTGGTCTAGTTCACATGTACACTAAGCTAGTCTGTGGCTTAGCATGAATGATTTAACATGCGCACTGCACATTAGGAAAGAATTGTGGCTGCTTCATTCTTCCCCTGCTGCTGCAATGCCAAGAGTTACATGCGGACTTGGGCTTGTCTCCCCCAACAAGCTACAAGCAGTAAGCCAAAACCAAACTGTGCTTTGAAGTGAGACACCCCAGTAGCCCGGGTTTGGAGGTAATAGTAAGCCAAACTGTGATGTAGCTCTTGATAGCAAAGCAGCAGCACCAGCAGGAGGAGGGGAGGAGGAGCAGAAACAAAAATGCACTCCTTGTTCACTCTTAGCCATGCTATAACTTGAGCCACTATGTAAAATTTTTACTACGCTGTATTTCTTTTGAGTGTAGTAGCATGTGCGATGAACTGTGCCTTTCTGGAATCATTATTCAAGCCGGTTGCTCCAGTTCCATTTAGACTGAAATTTAACCTCCATTGGGTTGAATTTCAGCAAAGATAATGGGGCGTATGGATACAAGCAGCAGCTTTTTTTGGTGGGTCTGAATGACGTGTGACTGCGGATGTGCGCACAGTGCAGAACCTGAAAATAGCCCCAAAATATCATAAAGACATCACAAAATGGGGTGGAACGGGCTTTCGTTTGCTCTTCTGATGTGTGTGGGGGTCCAGAATGTAACCCACACACAAAACGAGGATTACCTCTACACAACTGAGTTCAGAGCAAGATTCTGCATCTGTTAGATATTCCGTGGCTCAATCATTTATCCATATTACTTTGAGTGTGCTGCATGTGAAATTTTCACCGAAAAAGAGAGATGCACAGAATGATTTGATTTATTGGCAGGTTTATGCTTGGGGAGATAATGATCACGGACAGCAAGGCAATGGGACAACTACAGTCAACAGAAAGCCCACTCTGGTGCAAGGTTTGGAAGGCCAGAAAATCACCCGTGTTGCTTGTGGGTCTTCCCATAGCGTGGCTTGGACAACCATGGACGTAGCTACACCCTCTGTGCACGAACCCGTTCTCTTTCAAACAGCGAGAGACCCTTTAGGAGCATCCTATTTGGGTAATATAAATAAATAAATGACAAATAAGTGTAAGAGAGGAAAGCGGTGTGGTGGCATTGTTGCTGTTGTGTGTGTTTAGCAAAATAGTATCGCCATAGAGAGAAAGCTAGTGGCCAGACCTCAGCCTTGTGGGATCTACTGGACTGAAGAACAAAAGATAGACACTTGAGGTTGAAGAATTCTGAGCCCAGGAATTAGTTTTGAGGAGCCAAACTGTGAACCGTGTTCACCCGCCTTCCACACAAAAACCCATTCCTAGTTATCTGGTTTTAATTCCTCCCTACTTTTTTCATTTAAATCAAATAATTCTTTGGAGGGGGGAGAGGAAGGGGGTGTCTGCAAGGTTTCTGACTCTCAAGTTCTTGTTCAGTTTCAAATAAGGCCTCTGCTAAAAGAGGGTTGCTAACCAGGGCCATAGAGAAAGAAAGGAGTGCCAGTGCCAGCATAGTGTGGGTGGGTGTGTAGGTGTGGGTTTGCGTACACATACACACACACACACACACACACACACACACATGTAAGGATGCATTTGATGTAAATATTTTTTTGTGTAGTCTTCCCCCCCGCCCAGCCTTCTGGTACTAATTTGAACTGAAATTTGACATGCAAAACAGGACTGAATTAATTGAAGAGTCATTCTAATGGTAAAATATAAGTTTTCTTCACAGTGTCATCTTAAAAATACTGAACATAGCAAAAGATAAAGGTGTGTGTGAGAGAAATTAAGGGAGAACGAGATTGTATGTTTATGAGGGGGCAGGGAGACATGGAATGGAAATCTATAAACAATGACAGAAGGAGCCAAATATCTTGCCTAGTTTATATTTGCTCCCAAACTAGCTTTGGGCTTCCCTGCTTGTTCTTCTGTGGCTGAGAAGTCTGTGTGTAAATTTGTCCTAATGGGAAACCTGGAAATCTTTTTATTTTTTCCTGTAGGTGTCCCATCAGATGCCGATTCTTCTGCTGCTAGTAACAAAATCAATGGTGCAAACAGCTCTAAACCTAACCGGCCTTCACTTGCCAAGATCCTTTTGTCACTAGATGGCAACCTTGCCAAACAGCAGGCATTGTCTCATATACTGACAGCATTACAGATCATGTATGCCAGGTAAGCTTGGGCGTAAGGATACATGGTTAAGTACATTTTCTTTGGACCTGGCTCTTACACTCAGGTTTTCTGATGCCTGTTAGATGCTGTGAAAGGAAATTGCTCATTTCACAAATCGTATTAGTACACCATTTGGTTCAGAAGTTTGTCGGTCACTTTTTCATCTGGAGTATAGTTGTTTTTTTGGGTGTGTGATGCAGATGTCCATGCAGATTGGACAGTTCATATAATACGAGTTTTCTGTTTGGTGTTAAATAAACTTGATAACAGGTCAATTTTTAGTGGGTTGGAGGGGGGGAGCAACACTTGTATGTGTAATTTTTCATAGCCAAAGCAGACCTGGTAAAGATATTGCTAACTTATTTAGGGTGTCTTTGTTACAAGTTTTGAAATGTTTTACTTGTCCTCAGTCTCTTTTGACTTCGTCTTTTCTGCTTATCATGTATTTTATTTTTAATTTTTAAAAAGAATGGTAGGCTATATTCTGTTTTGTGGCCTCTCCTGTTAGGGATGCTTGAACTAAGAGGGTTCTTTATTTGTGCTACTGCTGGATCAGGTGCCATGATTCCGTGCGACTTTATCACAGTGTAATTTTTAAAAAGGCTAATAATGAATCTGATGTCTTTTCTGCCCAGTGAGGCAAGTGTAATGTAACACAATAATATTCTGAATGCTTTCCTTTTTTATTTTAGGGATGCTGTGGTTGGAGCACTTATGCCTGCAAGTATGATTGCGCCAGTGGAATGTTTGTCTTCCTCGCCTGCTCCTCCAGACCTTTCTTCTACGGGCAATGCACCCAATGGGGAAGATAGTATGCTAGTGGTAGATGTGGAAGAGAGATTGAGCCCAACCCCATGGCAAGACAGGAAAGTGGAGGTAATTCCCCCCCCCCCCGAACTCCCCACCCCCTCAACTGAATTATTAGAAAGATGGGTAGTAGAAAACTTTCAATTGATCGTCTAGATTTGTTTGCTTGCATTTATACATTTCAGCATAGAAGGTTTTGTATTGTTTGCAATCCAGCTTGCGAGATTTAAAAATACAGTGGTACCTTGGTTCTCGAACTTAATCCGTTCTGGGAATCCGCTCGACTCCCAAAACCTTTCAAAAACCAAGGCGCGGCTTCCGATTGGCTGCAGGAGCTTCCTGCACTCAAGCGGAAGCTGTTTTGGATGTTCGGCTTCCGAAAAACGTTCGCAAACCGGAACACTTACAGGTTTGCCGAATTTGGGGGCCAAGCTGTTCGAGAACCAAGGTACCACTGTAGTCACTTGCGGAGTGAATTGCACTACACCCAGAAAAGTAAACTAGCATGATTTTTAAGAGTTAGCTCACATAGTAGATGCTAAGGATACAAATTTAAATTTCCGCATATTACATAATTGCTTGAAAAAGGCCGTCTTGAGCATTTATCTTACGGAAGGACTCCGGAAGGGAATTTTTAGTGGAAGAAAGGCTACTGAAGAAGATGGCAAGCCCAGCTGAGCTTGTTTGGCTTGCATTTTAGTTGGTAAGCTCTTGCCATGGCAGCGATGCTTTGGTGCAATGAAAATAATTGGGCAAAGGTGAACTTCTGAAAAATGTTAATTTAGGGTAGTTGTGTACGGTACTGTTGTGGTTATGGACTTGTTTTTTATACTGCTTAAACAGGATGCAAATGCTATGCAAAGTCCTGCTGTATCTGATTCAACAAGCTTTCTTACTGTCATGCAACTCTGCTTGGCTAGGTGGCGTCTACGGACGATGCTGTGACTCCTTCTGCTGTAACTCCTTCAGCTTCTGCAGCCTCATCTCGTCCTTTTATTCCTGTTACCGATGATCCCGGAGCAGCCAGTATCATAGCAGAGACCATGACCAAAACCAAAGAGGTACCGTTTCTGTTTTTTCCACTGATATATTGCATTTCCCTGAAAGTAACTGAACGTGGGTGGTGCTTGACAGAGTTTATGCAGATTGTGCCGCAGGATGCACCATGTGCAGGCTGGGTTCTTGGGTAGCTCCTATGATCATCACATTAATCTTCCTTTTTATGCACTAGTTTGTATTTATGCAAAATACCAATTTTTAGTTAATGGCATTCCGTAGACCCTAGAGCAGGCATAGGCAAACTCGGCCCTCCAGATGTTTTGAGACTACAGTTCCCATCATCCCTGACCACTGGTCCGGTAACTAGGGATGATGGGAGTTGTAGTCCCAGAACATCTGGAGGGCCAAGTTTGCCTATGCCTGCCCTAGAGGTAAATGCAACTTAGAATTGTTGGGACAATAATACGATACACCACAATCTAACAGTATTATCTGTTTTGGATCGCTGAACTTGTCCCCTCTAAAACCTTTGCCACGTCTGTCATTTTTGAAGTGCTAAAAATACGTATTTAGCAGGTAGGCTGAAAATAAGCCTGTGAGACCACAGAATCCAGGCCCAGAGATTTGCTTTCTTGATGGGCTTGTCCAGTGTGTGCTTCTGTCTTTGGGCACCTCCTTTAGGCTTCTGTGTATTCTCTTCATCTGCCTTTTCTTCCATTTTGTTTTGAAGGATGCAGAAAGCCAAAGCAAAGTCTCTGGTCCGGAGCCCCAGTACTTGGATGAGTTCACTGGTCTTCTGGTGCCAGATGACACCCGAGTCATGGTGGACCTCTTGAAGCTGGCTGTGTCCAGCCGCGCTGGAGAGAAGGGCAAGGATGTCCTCTCAGCTGTGCTGTCCGGCATGGGCACTGCTTACCCTCAGGTGACCTTGGGTTTTGCTTCATCAGTTGCTCTGTACTTGTAATGCTTCTTAAGTATACTGACATTCCTAATGTGGTTAATACACAGCTGAGAAGTCAAAGACTGCTGCAGATATCTAGGAATATCAGTGAACATTTGTATACACAAACACACACACCTGAGATGGCTAAAGATGTTTACAGAGTATTCTTCAGCAGCCTTTGCAATCTGTAACTGAATTGAGATGAAACTTTAGAACTGGAAAGAAGTTAATTTATTGAACAAGCTGGCAAGGTTGAAATTTTGTAGGGCAGGTGCATACATGCATAGCAAGTCGGTGGGGAAACCTGGTCCTTGTCTCCTCTGTTTTATTTAAAATTTATTTGTTTACATTATTTGTAGCCCACTCTTCACTGAACGTTTTCAGTCCCAGAGCAAGGGAACACAGTAATACAAATAAACTGAAAAAGAATATACAAAATCCCATAAACAGGGCCAATAAACAATGAAACAGTTCTACCATAAGGTAAACAAGCAAAATTGCAACAGCATAAATTAGTATTTCCAATTTAACAAAATAAAGGCCTGAAAGTCAGTAAGGGCTGCTGGGTAATGATGTCCAGGTGGATTTGCTGGCTACCCCCATCTCTCTTCAATGTGATTTATTTATTTAGCATTTCCTTTATTCTGCACCTTTTTCTTGTTGCCAGCAAATTACCTCTCAGAGGCAACTTCACTCCTGGACTGAAGGATCAGCTTGCCTCCTACCCAATGCCTCCTTGACATTTAGGCACTGGCGTAGCGTGGAGGGGGCAGGGGGACTGCGGCCCTGGACCCAGAAGCTTGGGGGGTGGCTAGCACCTAGCCATCAGCAGCAAGGGTTGGGTTAGTGCGCTCCTGCCCCAGGCACTGGCAGACAGCGCTATGCCCCTGCATCTAGGGACTGTTTCACCTTGTTTTCTACTATAGATTTTGCTTGAAACAACCATTGCAAATTTTTAAAATTTACATGCCATTTCTGATAGCTACCTTAATGTTTGTTTTAAGCATGCTTTTGTTGGAACATCGATTGACCTGCAAAAAGAATGAGGAGCATCTATGTATGCAAAAAATAAATCTCGCGAGATTTGTATTTTCAGGTTGCTGATATGCTGCTGGAGCTGTGCGTTACGGAGCTGGAAGATGTGGCAACGGATTCACAAAGCGGTCGCCTGTCTTCGCAACCGGTGGTGGTGGAAAGTAGTCATCCGTATACAGATGATACTTCTACCAGTGGCACTGTTAAAATACCAGGTACTAAATTCTCATAAGGTGTACACTCAAAGGTGCAAATGGATTCTATGCCTTCACTAAAATTTATACACCAAATGAATAGGGCTACTGAAAGTGTGTGGTTTCATCAAGTTTTGTTAGGGTAGTAAATCATGCATGTTTGTAGCTGCTAGCGGGGCTTAAATTTCTCTAATGTATATAAACAACAACAACAACAAAAGCAGTGCAGTTTGTCCTTAACATTGTGCAAAGATTGCTTGATTATCCCTGGGCACACAGATGTTATGATAGAGGGCAATACTTCCATCATCGTTTCACTAATGTTTTTTGCAACACAATGGCTTTTATATCAATTAGGACATAACTGTTTGGTGGATATTTTAGATTCATTCAGAAGTAGCTGTGTCCATATTTTCCATTGAAATCATAGCATATTTCTTTAGTAAAATAATAATTTTTGTTGCAAGTGCTAGTACGCTCAGCTAAACAGCTGAAGTTCAGGTTTGGTGTTGTAAAAGGTACACACAAGCCTATGAATGCTTTGTACTTCAGATGCTTATCCTGCAGGGTTTTAAATTAACCTGTCAGAAAGATGATGCTCTTTTTTAAAAAAAGAAAAGAAAAGAAGGGGCTTTACTTCTGTGGCTTTCACCCTTTAGGCGCTGAAGGGCTTCGAGTAGAATTTGACCGTCAGTGTTCCACAGAACGACGCCATGACCCACTCACCGTCATGGATGGAGTCAACCGGATAGTTTCTGTCCGATCAGGTAATGAGACAATATATCAGATTGAGCGTTGTGCCAAACGCTTTATTGTTCTTTGTGTTTTATCAGCAAAAAAACGTATTACAGATTGGTCTCTTAACAGGGGTGAGAAACCTTTATATAAGGAGGGTGGTAGGTCTATGGGAAAGCTACATTGGGGACTACAGCTAATGGTAGGCAAAGCCGAGAACCAAAAATGAGCAGACGCACCTCTTCTCTCCCCCATTCGGTTCTTTCTGACACCCCTTTCTCTTTCTTCATTGCTGCTTTTCCGACTTCCAGGCAGTTAGCGCTCCAGCTGCCCAACAGGGATACACCTCTATCCTTCCTCTGCAGATGGGAAGGCATGAGAGCTTGTCTCTGTGCCTGCTGCGTAGTTTGCAGCTCCCAGGGGAAAAGTTGGGCGACTGGAAGCACACATTGTTGGCTGCTGTTTCCCAAGGAGCTGGGAGAGTGCCTTTAGGCAACAACACCCAATGTTCACACTGCACCCAGAGGGAAAGACTGGGTGTAGGGAGCACGTCTTTGTTAGTCCTAGATCCCAAAGCTGCACAGAGTGCATTTGAGCTTTCAGCCTTTGCTGACCTCTCTCATGCATTCCATTGGATAGGGTGGCTGTGTGGACCAGATGCAGCAGATCCCATAGGATTTGGCTGTTGGCCACATTCATCACTTGAGCCTCATGTTCCTCACTACTAGATGATAGGTTGATTTTTTGGGAACAGTAGCCTGGGAAACTAACAACATAAATGGTGTTACAGAAGCATGATAATAATCATTAATCCACAATCAATTTGATAGATTGTGAGCACTGGAGTTGAATATTTCCACCCAATCCTTCTGGCATGTGCGGGTGGCGCTGTGGTCTAAATCACTGAGCCTCTTGAGCTTGTTGATCAGAAGGTTGGCGGTTCAAATCCACGTGACGGTGGTGAGCTCCTATTGCTCTGTTCCAGCTTCTGCCAACCTAGCAGTTCAAAAGCACATCAGTGCAAGTAGATAAATAGACCACTGCGGCGGGAAGGTAAATAACGTTTGTGTGCGCTCTGGTTTCCGTCACGGTGTTCTTTTGCGCCAGAAGCAGTTTAGTCATGCTGGCCACATGACCCAGAAAGCTGTCTGTGGACAAATGCTGGCTCCCTCAGCCTGAAACCCTTATGAGCGCCACACCCCATAGTCACCTTTGAGTGGATTTAACCTTCCAGGGGTATTTTACCTTTTACCTTACTATTTTTATTAATATTTTTGGGCAATTTGTATTAGCTTTTAGTTTCTAGTTTCATTCTTTATGCTCTTTCAGGCTTTGTAAGGCTGTTTCCTTTGCATCTCTGGTGACAGAACCAGTAATAACAGATTCTGGGTTCATATTAATTCTTACTGATAGAGCCACAGTGGCACTTTGTTCATCAGCCACATTATGTTTTAGTAGTAGTAGATACTAGTAGTTATTAGTAGTCTCCAGTGAAATTGAATTTTATTGGCAGTGGGTACCATCATTGTGTGTGGCGCTTTAGTGAGTGACATATAGCAAACTCTGCAGCCGTTTGTTAACTCATTGTCTCATCCAAACTTGTAGGTCGTGAATGGTCTGACTGGTCTAGTGAACTGCGCATTCCAGGCGATGAATTAAAATGGAAATTCATCAGCGACGGTTCTGTGAATGGATGGGGCTGGCGCTTCACAGTTTATCCCATCATGCCGGCGGCCGGTGAATGTTTTAATTGCTTAATTGCACTAGTATATTTGTTCCTTTGTTTTTCACAGGGATCAGGGATAGTTGTGCTAGCAAGCTAAGAAAGAAAATCTGGACTCCAGGTTGAGCTGATAATTGTCTATTTTTTAAGTTGTAAGGTGCCTCAGGGAGATTTATTTACATCAGAAGGCCAGGTCTCAAATAAATAGTACAAGCCCAAGTGTTAGACTGAGGAATGGCTAATATTAATCCTGTTTCTGCCCGTAGGTCCCAAAGACCTTCTTTCAGATCGCTGCATCCTTTCTTGCCCATCAATGGATTTGGTAACATGTTTGCTGGATTTCCGTTTGAATTTTGCTTCCAATAGGAGCATAGTTCCTCGCTTGGCAGCCTCGCTGGCAGCATGTGCTCAGCTGAGTGCTCTGGGTAGGTGCAGTTTTGGAAAAGTTTCTGATTTGTATGTTTAATGGATTGCTAAGCCGATCTGCTTACATATATATGTATCTTACGCATTTTTAGCTGCTGGGCACAGAATGTGGGCCTTACAGAGACTGCGGAAGTTGCTAACTACTGAATTCGGCCAATCAATTAACATCAACCGAATACTGGGAGACAACGATGGTGAAGCACGAGCTATGGTAAGAAGCTCAGATTTCCAGTAGCATCGTGAGTTCTTGAGATTGCTCTAATGCTGGCGTAAATTGTAAGACACGAATAGCTCACAGCAACCTTCCTGTCATTAATCAAACATGTAATACCACACCACCTGGGGCTTTTTAAAGCTCTAGCAATGCTTTGAGTAATGTTTCGCTTGTCTTTTGGATACTTGACAGATGGTTTTCACACCATTTAGCAAGTAGCAGTCAGGAGAATTTCCTTCCCCTTGTACAAATCATGATGAATTCTGTGATAGCAGCCACGTAATGGGGGGGGGGGGAAGAGAAATACTATTATTGATATGTTTTATTATATTACTGAGATTTATAAGCTGCTCTGGGAGCCTTTTGTTTTCTAGAGGGGTATAAAAACACTTTAAACAGGAAACAAAAATGCATTAGAGTTGGTTAGGCAGTACCAGCAAATCTTTTATAGTTACACAGATGAGTTCATTCACGACCCCCACCCCCAATCTAGTGATGTTTGGCAGTACAGTGGTACCTCGGTTTACATACGCTTCAGGTTACATACGCTTCAGGTTACAGACTCCGCTAACCCAGAAATAGCACCTCAGGTTAAGAACTTTGCTTCAGGATGAGAACAGAAATCGTGCTCTAGCGGCGCGGCAGCAGCAGGAGGCCCCATTAGCTAAAGTGGTGCTTCAGGTTAAGAACAGTTTCAGGTTAAGAACGGACCTCCAGAACGAATTAAGTACTTAACCCGAGGTACCACTGTATAGGTTTACAACTTCTTCATTACAAAAATGCAACCACTGTCAAGTGCCGCTTAGAAACTAATACTACTTTATTCTGCTTCTCCCCCCACCCTAGAGTTTCACAGGCAGTGCCTTAGCTGCTCTTGTTAAAGGCCTTCCTGAAGCATTGCAGCGGCAGTTTGATTACGAAGACCCCATTGTCAGAGGTGGCAAACAACTTCTCCACAGTCCTTTCTTTAAGGTAGGATGACATGGGGTACAAACCGTAGAAGCCCAGAGTGGCATTACTTAGCATTACTTAAGGGGAAATTTGTCATTACAATCCTAACTGTGCTGCGTGGATAAAGGGGGAGAGATGTTCCTACAAGAAAAGAAGAAAGCCATATCTTTTAAAGAGAACTTAAAAAAAAAATTAACTTAAAGAACAGCCAGAAAATATTTTAATTTGAATAGCCATCATATTACTGCCTGGTCTGGCTGAAGCCTTGTGCTTTCAAACTATGTTGTTTTTATTTGTAGGTGCTTGTAGCTCTTGCTTGTGATCTGGAACTGGATACCCTTCCCTGCTGTGCAGAGACACACAAATGGGCTTGGTTTAGGAGATACTGCATGGCTTCGAGAGTTGCTGTAGCCCTTGATAAGAGGACACCATTGCCTCGCCTCTTCCTTGATGAGGTACTTGGAGAACTGGTTCAACTTCATGCTTAAGAGTGTGTGTGTACACACATAAAAAAAATATTATCATGGACAATGGTGCAAGCATGCAGACATTTAAGTACATATGCCAAATAAGACCACCAGGATATATAGTTTGAGAACTTCCAATATTTGGCCTAGTTAACAGTTCCTTCACTCTTTCAGTGGAGAGTCCAGTGCCTGATTGGCTGCTGTTACTGTCAAGGAAAACTCAAACCATGAAGAAAACTGCACTTTCTTTAACCGATCACTAAATTGTGCGGTTTATATTGCAGGTGGCCAAGAAAATTCGAGAACTAATGGCAGATAATGAAAACATGGATGTTCTGCACGAGAGCCATGATGTTTTTAAGCGAGAGCAAGATGAACAGCTTGTACAGTGGATGAACAGGTAACCTGAAAACGTTACAGGTTTTTTTTGGGGGGGGGAGGTGTTAAGGTGTTGGTACTGCATTTCTTCTTTTGAATATATGAAAAGTTTGAGGGAAGACGGAATTTCAGGCCATTCACAGGACTTCTCTTCTCAACAGGCGACCGGATGATTGGACGCTTTCTGCTGGAGGCAGTGGGACTATTTATGGCTGGGGCCATAATCACAGAGGACAGCTTGGAGGCATAGAAGGTGCTAAGGTCAAAGTTCCTACTCCCTGTGAAGCCCTTGCCACGCTTCGGCCAGTGCAGTTGATTGGCGGAGAGCAGACACTTTTTGCAGTGACTGCTGATGGGAAGGTAAGATGATGTTAATGTCAAGCTGAGCCGTTGACATTGAAATTGTCTGTGAAGTGGGACGGGAACATGCTCAGTGAATGAAAAGAAAGATTTGCAAACTTGTAAAGAAAAACGTTGGCTTATTTGGGCAAAATTTGTTATGTGAGATCAGAGCTGCAAAGCCAGTGACGATCACAGGAAACCCCTCTAGGTTCCAAGCCCTGCAGCAATATTGGCAATTAAGCATGAGGCACAAATCACCACACAATTGGTTTAGAGCTTTCGTTGTATCATGAATATGCAGATTGTATATTGAAAACTCTAATCTGCTAGAACTATAGTCATAGTTTGTTTCGTTTTGTTTAGACAGGCCACAAGCCACTAAATGGTTGTTGTGGCAGGGTCTTATGAGGGTGGATGTAATGCATTTTATCTTCTTTTTACGTTTTTAAATGGTTTTAAGTGTTCAAATTCAGTGCTGTTTTAACAGGGTAACTTACTTATTTGGTTTAAAAATATTTATGTTGATTAGTGTGTTTTTAGTTGTACGTGCTTTAATTCACGTGAGCTGCCTTGAGTTCTGCGCTGGGAGAAAGGTGGGATATAAATAAACAAATGCACCATAAAAGCGGATTCATGAGAACTACAAAAAGAAGAAAGCTGGTTCATAGAACATAAGAACCAATTCTTATTGTTGCCTGTGCAGTGTGATTGCACATTCTCTGTGATTTAATTCCCTTGCTGTATCAATTAATATTTTTAAAAAAGCAATCAGGTGAATGGCAAAGTTATTTTCTTGAAATCCCCAGTGTTGTGGGGAAGAACTAAATACTCCACCTATTCCTTACGGTTTCTGTCTGAAACTTGACCATGCAGAAGAGCTGAGTGTGCTCCACAGAGTACCTAAGAATCAGCCCAAAATATGTAGTGTAAGAAGACTGAGAGCGTCTGCGCAACACAGATAATTTTGCAAACCAATAGCTACAAAGCTCATCCTTTCCATGTGACTAACAATGCAGGTCTCCATAGAACTGTATTCATGCAAGTAGAGTTTCCTCAACCCCACCTTAGGCCTCTTGATCCCCTCTTCTTGTGCATAGGTTGTGCTGATTTTGCTGCATAAACAACGACATTCAAAGCATGAATAGCAGAAACAGAATGAATGAAACAACAAATTCATATGATTGACAGATCCTTTCTTTTTTTTAGTTATATGCCACAGGATACGGGGCAGGTGGAAGGCTTGGAATTGGAGGGACAGAGTCTGTTTCTACACCAACGTTACTAGAGTCCATTCAGCACGTGTTTATAAAGAAAGTTGCTGTGAATTCTGGAGGAAAGCACTGTCTGGCGCTGTCTTCTGAAGGAGAAGTCTATTCCTGGGGAGAGGCAGAGGATGGCAAGCTGGGTCATGGCAACCGAAGGTAAACACAGTAAATTTTTAACCGGAGAATATATTATAAGCACATGGGAGGCATTGCAGAATCTTAAAACAGAGGAAAATGTGTGCCTCTGTGTGGAACTTTGGCTGAATGGACTCCTGCTCCACGCAGTCTCTCATGCCATTTCACAGGATGGGAATGGAATGAAACATTTGACCTCTGCATTACGATCCTCTATTTGCAGGCAAAACGCTTCTTTAGGGGGTGGTTTATGCTGTGAGATTTTTTCAAGCTATGATTTAATGATTCCCATCGCCGTCAGTTACTTTGCTATATTTACACTATATAAATAAGCTGTATACTCATTTTCATTTTGTTTTCTTTTTTAGTCCTTGCGATCGTCCTCGAGTCATTGAATCCCTGCGGGGCATAGAAGTTGTCGACATTGCAGCAGGCGGAGCGCACAGTGCATGCATTACTGCCGCAGGGGATCTTTACACGTGGGGCAAGGGAAGATACGGACGACTTGGCCATGGGGATAGCGAGGATCAGCTGAAACCGAAATTGGTGAGATGGTGTCATATGCTTCAGTCACTTTTTAAAAAATGGTTACAAAAGCTTCCTATTCATTACAGTGGACGATGAAGTTTTTGGATTGGGCTATTCCTCTTGCACAAGACTCAGGCAGGAGCAAAGAATTGTGGGACATAGACTGCTTCTCCTCAGTTTTTTCCTCCTGCCTGGACAGAGCAGTTTGACACTCCCGGCTCTCACTGTTTTACTGTTTTCTGATCAGTTAAGTCTTCTCCTTTTCTGATATTCCTCTTTATTTATTTATTTCTCTGTTACTTTGCCTGTATTTTGGTTCCCTTCTGTGTCTTCCCTTACATTTATCCACCGCTGAGGTAAAATTAAACAACAGCAACAAACCTTTCCTCCCTACTGTACGTCTTTTACTGTCCTGGGTTCATTGATTTCCTCTTGTTTCTTACTTATTTTTTTCTTCATTCCTTCTCCTTCTTTGTTGGCCATCGCCACTTTGGCAGTTAAACGACCATTTACTTCAATGAAAAAGCCTGCTGGCTTTTGGGTGTGTGGGAACCACAGCCCTGTGCTCAGGAATAATGCATCTTCTAGTCTCCCTTTGGCTGCATGCACCTTTCGCTGTTGGGAATATGCATACACGGCCAAGCCGAGCAGGATTTTAACTCCTGCACATATCCGTCAAGTGGGGGTTAAATCCTGCTGCTTAGGCTGCAGGCACCTGCCCCTTGCTGGCAACAGGCAGCTGCAGCCAATGCAGAATTGAACCCTGGCCTCCCACCCACCCACCAGCTGACATAAGTGACACCAGCTGATTGGCAGGTGCGCGTGGTTTGGTGGGGAAATGGCCTCACAGGCCAAATTTAGACCCCTTGGCAGGTGAAGCTTCCACAGCCCTGGCCTATTGCAGATAATGAGACTTAACTCCCCTGTGTCTTTCTGGTTTCCTGTAGAGCCTATGAAAAGTTTCCATTTTCATAGACAGCAGAGTTTGTTCAGTGCCCAAGTCCCTGAGGTGGCATGAGGCATATTTGGGGGGAGGGGATCCTTACTTTCATTCATGACATTTTGTACAGCTCTTGCTGTGTCTCAGAGAAAGAAAGAATCTCTCTAAGGCACTCCACTTCATTCGGGGAATTGGGATTCATCTGAACCTGCTGCATACCCCCAAGATCTATACTTTACACCATGGGTAGGCAAACTAAGGCCTGGGGGCCGGATCCGGCCCAATCACCTTCTAAATCCAGCCCACAGACAGTCTGGGAATCAGCGTGTTTTTACATTTGTAGAATGTGCCCTTTTATTTAAAATGCATCTCTGGGTTATTTGTGGGACCTGCCTGGTGTTTTTACATGAGTAGAATGTGTCCTTTTATTTAAAATGCATCACTGGGTTATTTGTGGGGCATAGGAATTCGTTCATCCCACCCCCCCCCATATAGTCCAGCCCCCCGCAAGGTCTGAGGGACAGTGGACCGGCCCCCTGCTGAAAAAGTTTGCTGACCCCTGCTTTACACATTTAGTTTACTTGATACAAGTATTCTGGATTATTCATTATTCCTAGTATAAACTTGTCTTACAAGAAAGAACTAATAGTAATAATAAAATTATTCATACCCTGCCCATCTATCTGGGCTTCCCCAGCCACTCTGGGCGGCTTCCAACAAAGATTAAAAATACATTAAAACATCAGTCATTAAAAACGTCCCTAAACAGGGCTGCCTTCAGATGTCTTCTAAAAGTCTGGTAGTTGTTGTTCTCTTTGACATCTGGTGGGAGGGCGTTCCACAGGGAGGGCGCCACTACTGAGAAGGCCCTCTGCCTGGTTCCCTGTAACTTGGCTTCTCGCAGTGAGGGAACCACCAGAAGGCCCTCGGTGTTGGCCTACATAAGGATGAGGGGACCTACATAAGTTAGTGTCTGTCTTGTGTTATTTTTTGCTGCCTAAAGCTCAGGTTATTGAGATTTCTTTCCTAAAAAACCTCTTGCCTATCTTCTAGGTGGAAGCACTACAGGGCTACCGTGTGATTGACATAGCCTGTGGCAGTGGAGATGCACAGACACTCTGCTTGACGGATGATGATACTGTTTGGTCATGGGGAGATGGAGACTATGGGAAACTTGGGAGAGGGGGCAGTGATGGCTGCAAAGTACCGATGAAGGTATTTTGAGTTTCAAACTTTTGAAATAAGAGAGACAAAACTCGACAACCTGTAAATAGAACAGATTTTATTTTATGTTTGGCATTAGAATGAATGCTATGACTTTTATATGTGCTGTTGAGTTAAAAGTATTCCATGAAAATATTTTAATTTTTTTGAGATGATTTGCTGACATTTCAAAATTTCCTATTAGTGTTTGAGTATGAAATTGCCATGCCCGTGATAAAAGGGACCATAACTTTTGCACCATGGTTAAGAATCACTCTGCTATATATTACTTTTTAGGTTAGAATGATCCATTAGCTGTTACAAATCAAAAGTTATGCAAGTGTCTTAACAGCATGAATTTTGACATACTGACATCCAGTGGGGATTTATTGTTCCACCAGCATAGTTACCAAGATATTTCCTTCCATTTCTTAAACAATACACATAAGAGGAAGTCTTAAGAGAGGCGCAATGTCATTTCCATCACAAAAACATATGTACACCAATCTGTTACCATTTCAACAAATTCTAAGACTTTGACAGATTGATTCTCAAAATGTGATTTATAAGAACATGCAGAAGTCTCTTGAGGGTTTCATCCTCCTTTTTTTGTTATTACAATATTTTGTCCCTTTGGGCCTGTACATCCCTCTCCAAAAAGTTTAAATCAAAATTTCAAAATCCACCATAGCGTCCAGTTAAAGTAGTCAGAAAATTTTCCTCGTTTTTGGTATATTTTGCTTGTTATATTCCCACTACTTCAGTAAAGTCAAGCGTATCCTTCTCTTTCCAAATCTCTAATGCACTTCTTGTCAAGTTTCTATGTGAGATTTTACCATATGCTATTGCCAACCTGCTTGGAGATCACTTTGGGAGAACAACATTGGCAGTTGTCTCCAGATGTTGATTTCATTTCCTTAGTTTATTTTTTCTGTGGGTGATTGAATAGTACCTCTTTAAAACAAGCCCTCAGGAGAAAATAGTTAGAGCGGTGAGAATCAGATCATTTTAAATTATTTCTCTTAAGTTACTATAATAAAAACTTATTTTAGTCAACATTAAAATCATTATCTGACTAAGAATGCCATTTTATTTTTAAGCTGTGTCTATATGCTGTGGGCTATGAAGTTGTCCTGTCCTTTGAGTTATGTTCAAACATTTCTTCCCTAGATCGATTCTCTCACAGGAGTTGGAGTAGTCAAAGTAGAATGTGGCTCACAGTTTTCTGTAGCCCTTACTAAGTCTGGAGCAGTCTATACCTGGTAAGTGAGCCAGTGATTGCGGATGAATTCATATGAGAAATGTAAAAATAGTTCTTTGTGGTTCTTGGGTTTTTTTCTGCAAAAGTGCCATCAGGTTATACTAGTTTTGATTTCACTTTAATTTTAAAAAATGCTATTTTGGAAAAAAAGTTAAAGAACAAGTGGTACTTTATCTTAAATTTGTTCCCAACAGATATTGCATTGCAAAGCCACATTTATTTAATACGAAAACTAAGAGGCTTTTGTGAACAACCTATCTAGCATTTTGCTGGTTAATTCTAGGAGAGGAAACTTTAAGATCTGAGTGTCCTAATTCACCCAAGTCAGGCTAGTCTAACTAAGAATTGCCAATTGATTGAAGAGAAAACAAATGCACTGATTGAAACTTGTGTTGCGATTACAGGGGCAAAGGAGATTACCATCGACTAGGGCATGGATCAGATGATCACGTCCGGAGACCTCGACAGGTCCAGGGGTTGCAAGGAAAGAAAGTCATTGCTATTGCAACTGGCTCTTTACACTGTGTCTGTTGCACTGAAGATGGTATGTAAAAAACCAAACAACCCCATGACTTCTTTTATTTTGAATGTGGAAGGGAGAAAGGAAAAGATGTTCTAATTACGAATAATGAAGCATCTTTGTTTCAAATATATAATTGTGATATAAGAGAACAGTGTACCTCTGATCAACAATTGCTCCGAGATAAAATGTTGAGGAAGGAAGGCTTCAAGTCTTGCTTTGTAGGCTTCCCAGCAACATGCCAGATTTGACTGAGATATTCCTCCTCTGATCCAGTTGGTTCCCTAAGCTCTCAAGGGGGACCAAAGCAGACATAACATGGCAAGTTTTGTATCAATATCTTAATGGGTTGGGGTTGGCTTTTTAAATTAAAAGCAGCATTAGGAGGCTGTGACGGGAAAGAGGAGGACAGCTATTTAACAAGCATACATGGGATGCTGTTTTATACTGACCCAACTGTCCATGTAGCTCAGTATTATCCACACGAACTGGCAGGACCTGTCCATGGCTTTTGGGCAGGAATCCCTCCCAAATTTACCTGGAGACGCCAGGGATTGAGTCTAGGACCTTTGCATGCAAAGCAGGTGCTCTGCCATTGAATGGAGGCTCTTCCACGAATAAATGTTCATACTCACAAGCGCAAATAAATAAGTAAGGCAGATGTGGCCCTTTTGAACATTTCACGCCCAGATTATCTCTCAGTGACTTTGTATGCAAACTCCATTACATTATTCCCACTCGATTAGCACTCTCCCAGCACAGTCCCAACCTGGGATCCACGGGGGTAATAAAGTTTGGAGTCAGCAGTTCTTGTGCTTTCTTGGCTGAGCTGTTATATGTCCCTCACCCCAACTGAGCCAGAGCTACACCGGGCTATGTCCCTCCCCCCAGTTCAGCAGGGGCTTAACCAGGAACTTTACACCAATATAAGTCCCCAAAAAGAAGTGCTCTGGGACATGGCAAAGAGAGATGTACACCAATTCCAAATGTGGTTCAGTTCAGTCATGCAACTTATGACCGTATCATCAAAATTTGGACCCACACTCACCTGCTGATGGTAGCTCCTCCTGGAGGCTCTTGCATGGAGTTTTGAGTTAAGGGCAAAAGCCCAAGTTACACTAGCTTCCTGTAGTTAGCGTTGCTCTGCAAATCCTTTCTCTGCATTCAACAATTTATTTCAGTTTGTTTTCCACATAGGACTATATTAGCACTAAGTCGCTCCGAATTACCTTTTAAAAGATTGTGCTTTTTAAAATAATAATAAAAAACGTTTAAATGTTGATATTGGTATGTTGAACTGATCTACGTTGTCTGTTCTTGTGACTTTTTATACTGGTCATGATTTGGTGGCGAAATAACGATTTTGATTGTCTTAGGTGAAGTATATACTTGGGGAGATAACGATGAAGGGCAGCTTGGAGATGGAACAACCAATGCTATCCAAAGGCCACGCCTGGTTGCAGCGCTTCAGGGCAAAAAAATCAATAGAGTGGCCTGTGGCTCAGCACACACCTTAGCCTGGTCCACCAGCAAGCCTGCTAATGCAGGCAAGCTCCCTACCCAGGTAAAATTATGCTTTTTAAACCATATGTCTTAAGCCAGGTGTGGGGACCCTTTGATTATCCATTTGTTGCTGCAATGCAATTTCCATCATCCCCAGTAAGCATGGCCCAATGGCCAGGGATGCGGTGGGTTCAGCAACATCTGGGCAACCAAATATTCCCCACATCTGGTTCAAACTCTTGGGAAACTGTCTAAACTGTTGGCACTCTATGGCTCTGTGTTAATAATTATTGGTTCCCCCCCACTTACCCATTGGTAACATCTTCTTATCGGCTGCCTACCATGATGGTTAAGGCTATGCTGAGTATTTTCCAGTTTCAGCTTTTTGGTCAAAAGTAGATTTTCTTTTGAAGTGGTTGAAGAGCCTAGGAGTGAGGCGGCACCATGTTGCTAAGTCGGTATGAGATGCGGTTTTGTTACACCACTGAGGACAAAGCCATTTGAAAATGAGAGCAGTGCACCGTTGTTCCCAGTCGGAAGGCACATGCCTAACAGAATACAATTGCAGTGCTCCAATAGTCAACCATATCTGGCTTTGTGGCGACTTCACTGAGGGGCAAGCGATGCTGAGGGTAAACAAACTAGTTAAGAATTTAGGAGACATTGGTGAAAAAACACTGAAAGGCTGTGCATGGGTTGGGGTTTTTTTTACATTGCAATAATAAGTACAGTGAATAGCTTGGGCTCTGCTGTGTCTTTCCTGAGGCCCCTCTTGTGAGTTTTATACCTGTTCACACTGTAAAGCCATGGAAACTTCCTGAAAACTTGCATAAATCAAATGTGAGCTTTTGTCAATCCAAACTGCTTTGCAATGACTAATATGATGGGAGGAGCAACATCCGTACCCTTGGATAGCAAGAAATTAGAAAAGTGCCAGAAGGATGTTTAAGTTTTACTACAAGAGCCATGAATATATCGATGAAATATGGGATGGATATTGTGAGGGAGAGCAGAAGGATTGTTTTTTGGTTTTTTAAAACATGCTGTGTATTATGCAGTGTAGTCGTAATTTCACCAACATTGATAGGATATCTTTTCTGGCCCCTAACAGTATTCAAAAATTCCTTCTTGGCTATGCCATGTATAAACCTTTGGAGATAACAAATCTCAAGCAAAGGCAATATCTGGATATTCAGTAGATAGGCTAGCTAAATGGACTGTGCCTGATACTATCTCATTTAGCGTATGACTTATTCAGTGCTCATTAAATCCTAACAACATGCTTGTTCCAGGTTCCTATGGAGTACAACCATCTACAGGAAATTCCTATAATTGCTTTAAGAAACAGATTGCTTCTCCTTCACCACATCTCCGAACTCTTTTGTCCTTGCATCCCCATGTTTGATCTCGAGGGACGCCTTGATGAAACCGGCCAGGGTCCTTCCGTGGGCTTTGATACGTTACGTGGAATTTTGATCTCTCAAGGAAAGGTATCTATCCCAACGTCAGCTTCTCCACTAAAAATGACCTTCTAAGAAAAATATGTCACAGTAATGACATGCAAACGGTGCCCTAATTTCTCTTCAGGTCTTCTGTACAGACCCAATTATCTTCTGTATGAACTTCACGGGTGCAGACGCAGGGAATCTTAATGACAAAGTTTTCCCCTGTTGCGTTTCTGTCCATATCTGCTTAACAGCATTTCACATTTTTACCAGAAAGCGGACTGCATCTTTTCCTCCTGAGTGAGTCAGACGCTAAGGGGAAATTTACATCTTCAAAATGTGATTGCCATTGCTTTGCTTACTTACTTATGGTACATGAAATCAAAATTGTAACAGTTGAGGTATCTTGCGAGTGTTCGTGTCCGGAGTCCTGAGACAGGGTGCCTGTAAGGATTCTGAGAAATGAAGTGTTGTTCACATGCTGCTCCTTTTTGTTTTGTTTTCCACTCTCACATGTTGGCTGTTTGGAGATGGAACCCTTGTCGCTATATCTTTTGTCACTGAGTTCCTATCTGCTTGCTCCTTGTTTTTTCCTGACGCATGGGGACAGGGACATCGGGACAGTCATTTGTGGCTGCACAGTTGGGATGAGGGCAGTTGTATGGAGCTTCCAATTGAACAATGGGAGTTCTTTTTTATTTAAAAAAACACGTCACTACCTCTTTTGCCGACATAATGTTTATGCTGCTTGAAAATGGCTGTGGACTGATCCCAAGGAGGTTTCAGTAGCAATGCCAACCCCACCCGGCAAACATAACTCAAGAATAGGATTGCATTCTCAACACCTTATTTTCTCCTTTTTCTAGGAGGCGGCTTTCAGAAAGGTTGTGCAAGCAACTATGGTGAGAGATCGCCAACATGGGCCTGTGGTAGAACTCAACAGAATTCAGGTCAGAATGCTGTGCTCTCTGAGTGCCTTGAATATGAATCTGTTGTTGTGCGAAAACTTTGCAGTGCTTTGTGCTCAGGCAATAGGCATGGTAGTTGTTATCATAACTGGTTAGAAAAAAGACGGCCCAAGAAGTTATTAGCATTACAAGTGCTCAGTTTGGGGAGGGGGGTGAGCACTTGTAATCCTAATAACTTTGTGTGCTGCTCTCTTCTAACAAATTATGATGACAGCAGCCACGTTATGGTCCTTTGGAACAGCTCCAAGTTGTATATTAAAAAATGTTTCGGAGGCGATAAGACACCTACGCAGATGCGATTCCAGCTCCATTTATGCGTGATAAAGGACTGAAATTGTGGCTACCTGATGCCCCATAAATAGGGTTTTATGTACATAAACAGTCTGAACTTAATTCATTTTGTTAAAATATTCTCATCTGCTGTTCATTGTACAACAGGCCCAGAGCGGGGTACACAAAGCATTATGAAATAAAACACCTATAGTAAAATTCCAACAAATATATTCTCAGCCTTAACCAGCCGGTAAATGGCTGGGCCAACAAAGGCTTCGTCAGCTGGTGAAACTGAGAAAAGTGAAGCCCATCTTTATCAGTGATGCACCTCAATGGTTGTGAATGGTAAAGATTGTGCAGCTCAGGCTTTCTAAGTTAGGTTGTGTGCCTGGGTATCTCCTCAAAAGTGATGTTCAACAGACATGCGGCACCAAGCAGGCTGTGGCAGGTGAATGCAGACCTGATCTTTCATCAAATATGATTTCAGTGTTTGTGAGATGGAACCTTTTCTTCCAAGCCTAATTATGACCTCCTCTTTCAAAATCTGCCCCCTGCAGGGCAATTAGGCTTTTAAGAAAAGCTTCCTTAGTGCCAATAGGAATTTTTTCAATGACTAATGGTTGTATAGGTGTTAGTGTGTGTGTGTGTGTGTTACAGCTGGGGAGGGTTATCCTTCTACATGCCCCCCAAATCCCTCCCCAATGCAGCAATTAGATTTGTCTGGAGGAAAACTATGTGCTCCCCACACCCCCAAAGCTTAATTATTATACAAGGAGAGGTGAATGTCAGGGACAGTGATAGAGAATGGAATGGATTGATGGGGATGTGAGAGAGGGGTGGGATGGCTGTGTCCCCTACCACCATTGGCATGCTGCCCCCACAACAGATTTCTTCTGAGGGAATGCAGCCATTTTTTTGTGGGGGTGGGGGTGGGGAAGGGTCCCAAGCCTGACTTATAAAGTACTTAATGCTTTGAGTTAACATGCTGAAGAGAGTGCTTCTTAACCAATATTCAGTGAATGGCTTGGATCTTAAAATATAAGTGAACAAGGGCAAGTCAATGTAACAAAAGCTTGCCATTCCTTCCTCTCCCATGCAGCCATTTTGCTCCCTGAGTTAACTTCTAGAGGTGGGGGGGATGAGGGGTATCCTGGAAAATATGCAGTTGGGTAGACAATAATAATTATACTTTTATTATTTATACCCTGCCCATCTGGCTGGGTTTCTCCAGCCATTCTGGCGGCGGCTTACAGATTATTTGCCCCAAAATCTCATGGGGCTCCTCCCAATTTTGAATGGTTCCTCCCTCTGTCAGCAACCTCTAAAATTTCACAGCAGGGAGGAGCAAATGGACAAACTTTTCTTCCATGAATTTTCTACTGATCGTGTAATATTCTTTACTTATTTGTGAAGTTGGCTTTTATAGTGTGCTTGTTCTTTGTTTTGTTTTAAAAAAGGAAAGCTAACCTGAAAAGAACTAGGGAAGCCATCAAACGGCCACTCCTGTACTCTGTGTGTAGCTTTTTTTTTTGTTAAAGCCCTGGAGTCGGATATGATATAAAAAGTGTGCTTTCTCTCATCTTTGTACCTTTTATTCCCACATGATCTTGGGCTGCCTTTGCTTACATAGCTCGGGAGAACTTCAAATTGCCTTGAGTACTCTTAAGACCCAGGAAACAAACATTTGGGCATCACATGGGGTCACATTGAGGAGGATGTGGGTTAGGAGAAGAACTTCCAGTGACGCGGGAGAGCTGAATGCCAAGCCTCAGGCCAAATGTGCCTTTTCAAAAGAAATTTCTTCAAAGGCTGAATATGAAGTATTGTTTTAATACACTGACTAAAACGTAGAAAGGAAGCTTGGCTTGCTTTTGTGATATAATGTGGAGCATATTGCCAGGTCTACCTGAATGACAGAGTAGTCTGCCTGCCTGCCTGCCTGCCTGCCTTTGTGGCATAGGGAGGGGTGGGAGGACTGAATTTATGGCAGGGGTATGGTGGGAAATGCTCTAAATTTCGCATATGCTGTGAAGCGTAGAGGAATATTTTAACACCAACACTGCATTGGGATTTGGTCTGTCGTAAAGTTTAAACATTGCAATAGCCTTACTGTGGTTTTCAAAGAGAGGTCTAAGGTATGAGATGGAAAAAGTTTTTTTCCATAGGAAAATGTAAATGTTCTAAGGAACTTCAGAACACTAAAGATCTCTACCTCTGTCCGTATCCCTCTACGGTCGTACCTTGGTTTTCAAACAGCTTAGTTCTCGAACGTTTTGACTCCTTAACGCTGCAAACCCGGAAGTGACTATTCTGGTTTGCGAACTATTTTAGGAAGCCAAACATTCGACGGGGCTTCTGCGACTTCAGATTGGCTGCAGGAGCTTCCTGCAGGAGCTAATCAGAAGCCACACTTTGGTTTTCGAACGTTTTGGAAGTCGAACGGACTTCCGGAACAGATTCCGTTCGACTTCCAACGTACGACTGTATAAGTATTGTTGACTCTATCCAGAAGTGATACTCCTGAATCTCAGGCAGAGTGTTCAATCCGTCTCTGGAGTCATCTTTCTTAACTGGGAATGCTGAATCTGGGGCCCAAACAACTGCGGAGCATTTATTACGGAAAAACAATTCAGGGGAAGTTGCAGGATTAAAAAGCAACTCTTGTGCTCTCTTAAAAGAAGTTCTAGGGGTCGTCACTCCATCATTTCACTACCTCTTTTGGGTCACAATTTCCTCTATGTAGGTGCTGAGCTCTTTGTTATTTTTTTTCCATAATATGTATGCCTTCAAAAATTCCTTCTGAAATAAAGTCACTCCTTTGAGATGCACACACAGACAGAGATTCCACATTACTACAAGTATCCCAGTACTGTTCATTAAGCATTAAGTGTTTGGTCTGTGAAATTTGAATTGTGTGATTAAGGTGTGCTTTCTTTCTTTTTACTATCAGGTAAAGCGTTCCAGAAGTAAAGGAGGATTGGCTGGCCCAGATGGCACAAAATCTGTCTTTGGACAGATGTGTGCTAAAATGAGCTCCTTCAGCCCAGACAGTCTTCTCCTACCTCATCGTGTTTGGAAAGTCAAATTTGTGGGTAAGTATTCCCCCCAATATGTCTTAACTTGTCCAGCATTTTTTCCCCTTTTTCTTCAATAGTGTGTTTTGCAATAGAAGAGAAAAGTAGAAATGTAAAAAACGCATGAACAAGCCACCCCTGGCAATTGTAGTAAAATTTTGTAAACTAGTTGTCAATAAAAATGATTCCATACTTGTCATACTCAAATGGAAAGCCATGCCAGCTAAACAATAGTTGTAAAAATCAAACTCGCAGCGCAAATGTACAGTGCCTTATGAATTGTATTTCACTTTGTACTAACGGTGGGGGAAAATGAATTTCAGATTAAATCTGAAATTAATTTAATTTAGGGCTGAACTTGGATTCTTATAGCCATGGTGAAATCAATTATTCATATTGGAAAGTTTTCCTTTGGTATTTTATTTAATATGTTGATCTGGTTCATGCAGCGCAGAAAGCTGCATGAAGGTGCAAACTCTTGGAGAGGAGCTTGCAACTGCTTTGCTCCCAATCCCCCTAACCTGCCCTTCTTTCTGCAACCCTATGTTTAGCTAAACCAAGGTTTGGCTTAGCATGTTGTCCCAACCATCGTGGATAAGCCTTTTCCTCATTAACTGTGGGCTATACCTAAGGCTTGTTCACAGTTGCAGCTTGTTGTTGTTGTTTTGTTTTATGGGAAGCTATTTGCTAATTAAATAAATAATAACCCCTATTTGGGGACTTCCCTGGCTTTTCTGGCCCACGTAGGACCAGTCTGGATAGTTGGCCTTGGGGAAGATTTGACGTTTTCTCCCCCCAAGCAGTTTTTGATCTGGGCTTCCACTGAAATGAGGCTGCATTTTAAGTAGTATTTTAATCTTGTTTTTAAGTTGTATTTTAACCAATTGTTTTTATACCTGATGTTAGCTGCCCTGAGCCTGGTCTTGGCCAGGGAGGGCAGGGTATAAATAAAATAAAATTAAATAAATAAATAAAATAACAAAAAACAAATACTTCTGCAACATATGAGTCCTGGTAGGACTAATGCATTCCTATGGCCAATAAATTCTTTGAAATATGTGACCTGTTCTGTCCCTGGAGATTGGAAGTGAGGCCACAACAAACAAAAAAACGACACATTTGGGAATTATTCATTTGCACTGCATGTAATCCCCACCTGCAACCTGACATAGCTGTAAGTGGCTCTCAAATTAATTTATCCTTAACACTGAAGTTTATGCCTCTTCTTCTTTTTGCCTTAGGTGAATCTGTAGATGATTGCGGTGGAGGCTACAGCGAATCAATAGCAGAAATGTGCGAGGAACTTCAGAACGGGCTGACGCCACTTCTGATTGTGACTCCCAACGGACGGGATGAATCTGGAGCAAACAGAGATTGCTTTCTCTTAAACCCTGCAGCAAAGTCTTTGTTGCACATGAACATGTTTCGTTTCCTCGGTAATTGCCACATCGTCATTGCCACATCTTTAAAGTCTTTGCAAAGCTTTCATTGAATAACACGTACAAACTTCTCTCTTTGTCTTAAAAAAAAGGGGTTTTGCTGGGGATTGCCATTCGGACTGGGAGTCCTCTGAGCCTCAACCTTGCAGAACCTGTGTGGAAACAGTTGGCAGGAATGAACTTAACCATCGCTGATCTCAGTGAGGCAAGCATAAGCTTATGTTCATCCGTGTAAATATTAGTGAAATGTAAGACCGTTGCTTGGTCTGGTTATTACTACAGCTAGGGGGCCATGTTTATTGCCAGAAGCCTACTCTGTATTTGAATGGGTAAGATCCTGCTTTCCAGCTGTGATAAGAGATGGGGTAGGAAAAGAGGGAGGGAGCGACAGGTGAGTGAGTGTGAGCCAGTGGCACACCCCACCTTAAATCACATTGACAAGTTAATGTCTGACTAGTGTGTAATTGCAGTTCACATTTGTGGATCTTGGTTACCCTTAGTCTGTAACCTAATACAGCTGAGTGGTGTGTGGGTGGGTGTGAATAAATTTCTGCTCTGCCACAGGTCAGCCCTCAGTTAAACTGAATTTAACTTAATCCAGACTTGAATGTTTCTGCTGGTGGTTCTGCCACTGGTGGCTTTCTGGGTGGAGAAGATGGTAGCTGCACACCAACTTTTGTAACACAAGATGGCTGCCATGGAGAATGTAGGATTGCACAAAAATGGACAGGACCACCCCAACAACTTTATGCTTACTGTGGGAAGTCAGTTATGCCCTGTTGTACTGATTATGGAGATCTCTCTCTCTCTCTCTCTCTCTCTCTCTCTCTCTCTCTCTCTCACACACACACACACACACACACACCCACCTGTGCTGCTGCTGCTGCTGCTGTCGTCTTAACAACAACAGGAAGCATTCCTTAGTAACAGGAAATATATACAAGGTGTCCATGCCACTCCCATTTCACAGATGTTGCTTAAAAAGGACCTGCACATCTTGTCTCATAGCTTTCTTTCTAGGAGGACTAAAGGCTCGCTTTTTTTTTAAGAAAATAAAGTTCAGAATCTGGGGTGCCCTTCCAGGGGCAGTATGTGGTGCTTGGCAACCCTTGCTGAACACACCTCCACTGTGTCTTCTGGATGTCATTTCTTAGAAAATAAGTTCCTTACGAAATAATTTCTTTTTGGAGATTTTCTATTTTGCTCATCTCCTCTGTGTATTTTTATTCTCCTGTTATACTTAACAATTGCTGGAGCCCAGAATAGCTCTCCTATAATCTTCTGTACTTCAGTGACTGTGTGCCAACAGTTCCCGCGTAGGAATCTTCAGGTGACTAGCAAAAACAGGGCTTTATAACATCTCTGGCTGGTTTTTAGAAATAATTTCCCACTATCTCCTGCGATTCTGCAAGCGTTGCAGGCTTGCTTACAGAACCATGAAGACCCCATGTTGGATTTAGAAGTATTTTGTGGGAAAGGCTTTACGTGGGGGTTTTTTTTTTTTCGTTTGAAAGGTTGATAAGGATTTCATTCCTGGGCTTATGTACATCCGAGACAATGAAGCTACTTCCGAAGAATTTGAAGCCATGAGCCTGCCTTTCACAGTGCCAAATGCGAGCGGTCAAGACATTCAGCTTAGTTCCAAATACGCCCATATTACACTGGATAATCGTGCGGAGTATGTGAGGCTGGCGATAAACTATAGGTTTGTGGAACACTACTATTTTCCTGCTTTCCTCCCGCGATCATTTGCATTTCCCCTAGAGCCCTGATCATGGGTTATCACGGGGGAAGTCTGTAGCTCAGTGGCAAAGCCTCGTGTCTTGCATGCAAAGAGACAGAGATTCAGTCACTGCCATCTCCTTGTGGCGCTGAGACACTCCTGCCTGGAATCATGGAGAACTGCTGTCAATCAGTGTAAATAATGCTCACCTAGGTGGACCATTGATCTGACCCAGAGTTTCTCAAACATGGGTCTCCAGCTACAGTTCCCAACATCCCTGACCACTGGTCCTGCTAGCTAGGGATATTGGGAGTTGTAGTCCCAAAACAGCTGGAGACCCAAGTTTGGGAAACCCTGACCTGATTTGATATATAAGGCACGTTCTTACATTCCTAAAAGCTCTTGGGATCATGGACCAGTTTATTATGAGTACTTGCGCCAGAATTCTTTTAAGCCTCTTTTCATTCCTCCTATAGATCCATATAATTAACAAGCATATCAATGACTATCCCTTTCACTCATAAAATGTGTGTATTTTGGCAGACTTCATGAATTCGATGAGCAAGTCGCGGCAGTTCGGGAAGGGATGGCCCGCGTTGTTCCTGTTCCACTTCTTTCCCTTTTCACAGGATATGAGCTGGAAACAATGGTATGTATGTGCAGCCATCACTACTTCGGGGCAACTTAGTAAAAAGCGAAAGGCAAAAGCCCAGGCCAAATATTAGTACAGGTGACTCCCTGTTTACATGGGGTTTACATTCCGGCCTTCGTACAAAAGTGAAATCTGTGTAAATGGGGAGCACCTTCTGTACCTCTCGCTCAGAGTTCTTCCTCAGAGCCCAAACGGGACATCGTCTTTGGGCTCTGAGGAAGGTCTCCTTATGGACTGGAGGCGTAGCGGGGCTTTGTTGAGGCTCTTTAAGTCTCCCCTCCGGACTTCCAGCCTTCTGGTGCAGCACATGACTTGAGCGCACGTAAATTGGCGGCGGGGCTGCCTATATGTGCAGAGGCGGTTTTAGGGCTGCACGACTAGTTCAGCTGCAAGGGGCGGCACAACAGCGCTGGCGGAGCAGAGCGTGAGAGACAGGGGGGGGGGCAGAATTTAACGGTGCACAGGGTGCCAATGAAATTTGAGAGTCCAAAGTATGTGAATCGGGACATTTCCTTGAACTTGTTATGTAGCAAAAGAGTTGCAGTAGGTTATGCCTTGTTATTGGCCAAAGGTTAAGATTACTCTGACTTACACAATTGCCCCATCGGCATGTGCTACAAGGGTTGCTTTGTGCACTTTTTTTTAAAAAAAAGCATGGATTAAACTTTGGGCCAAGTCATTGGCTTGCAGTCTTAGCGGCTGCTATATAATGGAGAGTGGGGGAGAATTGGCCCAAGTCATCTGTTACTTCTGTCGGGAACAGTGAATTCCTTTTTGCTCCTTTCGGTTTGTAGGCCATCCTCAAAGGTGGGGTATGCTTATGGCTGTAAAGCCAGGCTCTCCTGTGCAGTGCTAGTACAGCTACTGTGTAATACAGCTTTGCATGTTTAAAAATGGCAACAACAGATAGCTCTAAATATGCTCTAGCTTGCGCATACTGACAGGTGAGGTGAGGAACTAAAACTAAGGACCTGGTTGGACTAATGACAGCAAACCACTCCACGTTTTTCAATTCCTGGCCTCTAAAAATGGAATATGACACCCCAGCTTCAGGAAAAAATGCAAAATGTGAAGAATAAAATTGAGTTAGGCTAGATGCTACTTTGAACTCTGATCCCCCATGTTTTCACATGCAGTATTAAGAATATACATTCTCTGTTCAGTGGTCCTAAAAAATCCATGTTTACCTTTAACATGACAGGATTTCAGGAAATAGTGGGGCACTTTTTAAAAATAGAAGACTCTCTTGTTTTTGCTATATTTTGAGCGATTACAAATTAAGAAACATTTTTTTTTAAAAAAATCACAAATACAGACAACCCCCAATTCACACAGGGGTGTCAGTGAAATCGTGTACATTTGAACCACCATTGGAAAAGCCTGCAAACACCTTGTTCTGTCCCTGCTCCATCCCACCCCTTTTTGTGATGTTTCCTGGATGCTTGTGGGTTCAGTGCGATGTGTGTTTGCGCACATGTGTAAATGTGCGTACACAATTTGAATGCTTAAAAAAAATACAATATAAATGCATTGGTTATTTAATGCATTCATTGAAAAAGAATTCTTCCTCTACCAAGGGTTTGTAGACATGGCTCTAAATTTTGGGAACCAGGGGCATTTTATATACACAATATTATCACTCATACTCACCTGATCTTAATGCATCACTGCAGACTAATCATTGTTATCGGTTGCTAAAAGCTCTCCATTTCTAATGTGCTTTAAAACACAGTCGTGCTGATGCATAATAGTAAGTAGTAATGCTCTCACTGGAAAAAAACCAACGTGTGCACACACACATTTATGATAGATTCCCTTGGCATTATTCTGTTCTCTGCTCCCCCCCCCCCGCAGGTCTGTGGAAGTCCAGATATCCCTCTTCATCTTCTGAAATCTGTGGCCACATATAAAGGGATCGAGCCCACCGCTTCTCTTATACAGTGGTTCTGGGAGGTGATGGAATCCTTTTCCAACACAGAACGCTCTCTCTTTCTGCGCTTTGTGTGGGGCCGGACCAGGCTACCTCGAACAATTGCAGATTTCAGAGGCAGGGACTTTGTCATCCAGGTACGACATGGAGAGTTTCAGATGGATTGTGGACTGCAATGAGCGCTAATGAAATTCCAGCCTGTACCATTTTTATTTATTTTTTTGATTACCATTGCTCCTTTTTCTCTTGGATTCTGCATGTACTGTATGAAATCCTTGTGTGTGCATGGTGCTCTACAAGAAAAGAGCAGGCAACTCTTAACCTCCAGAATTGCCTGGAAAATTTGTACTTTTAGAGATTTTCTTGCTACAGTTGCAGTTTGCCCTTTCCTCTATAACTGCTGTTTAAATTTAGCCTGAATGCACTAGCTTGCTCCAAACTTACTGTACAATGCATTGTTTGTGATTACAGCATTAACAGACATTTCTTGATCTTATGATTTTTCTACTGAATAGGTGACTTGTGTTTCCACTGGCAACAGTTGCCTACTTTGAGGTGAACTTAAAAAGTTAAATATTTTTCATGAAGGATTATTGTTTTTTCATATTAATGGCTTAAGTCAGCCAATGACAAGGAGAGGGGGGGGGAAGGATGGCAAGATAGTGTAGGCTGAAAAAGTTCAGTTTTTCAAACAATGTTTAAGAAGGCGTGTGATGCACATAATAAGGAAGTGAAAATACAAATTGTAAGGGGCTTGCTTTTCTTGGCGAGAGGGTGAGGAAAAAACACCCAAGTGTGTTCATATGATTTGCTGCAAAGGTTCTGTTTGTGGTGGCTGATTCAGCAAAACTGACATTTCCATTTCTCTTTTGACCTGACAGGTTCTCGATAAATACAATCCTCCAGACCACTTCCTCCCAGAGTCTTATACGTGCTTCTTTCTGCTGAAGCTGCCTAGGTATTCTTGCAAACAGGTGCTGGAAGAGAAACTGAAATACGCCATCCATTTCTGTAAATCTATAGACACTGACGACTATGCCCGAATAGCGCTGACGGGAGAGCCGACCGCTGACGATAGTAGCGATGACTCGGACAACGAGGATGCAGACTCTTTTGCTTCGGATTCAACACAGGACTACCTGACAGGCCACTGAGCAGGGGGAATGCTCCTTGCCGGAGCTTGATGTTACGAGCACTGAGGCCAAAGCGCCACAACACGTAGCATTGAGCAGCGGGCCGTCGTAGTGAAGAGAGCAGAGAGGCATATAATAACCAGAGAACTACTAATTATTAACTGAACACAGGGAGCTTGCGTTACTCATTGTAGGAATGATGGCTGATAAATGAAGTAACTTCCTTTTAGAGTAAATGGGTGCCGTGAACGGGCACTGAACTGTCTATTTTGATAGCTGAAGGGTCCCCTTCTCTCCCCCCCCCTTTATGCTGCACTGCAGGTAGAACTTTGTGTTTACTGATGTGTTGTAAATGTTTATAAAATATTACTAGAGTAGAATTCCAAAAAAATTGAAAAAATTTAAATTGTGGGTGCAATAGGTTTTTTTTCTTCCAAATTAAGTGTTGTGTTCTCTGCATCTTCTTGATTGTATATTGGAACTACTGTGCAATGACTGAATAGTATTATAAATATTTCAATTAACTTTACTAGTTGTTTTGTTTATTAAAAGAAACTTTTTGGAACACTCCGTTATCAGTATTCCTTACGTTCACAAACTCAACGCCTCATTAACCTCACTCCACTTTTCAGTGTCTATATTTTAGCTTCTAAATATATACATAAATAAATATATAATGTATCTTGGACTGATAACTTTCTGTGCACTCCAGAATTCTTAACATGGGAAATTTACTGTACATAATGGTGCAATGTATATGCAAAAATTATAATTTCCCGCTGAATAAAACATCTGTCACAAACAGTTTAGTAGGGCTTTTTAATGTGAGAAACCTTCCACGGGATTTTGAGGTACCTAAAGATGGCTTCTAAAGAATCACTAGGTGCCTACATGAGACAAGTCAGATTGCTCAGCTAAAACTTAAAAGAATGGGGGTTAGCTCCCAGACTAAAAGGTTGTGGTAGACTTAGCTGTGAACTGGTGAGCTCCCACTCCCCCATTGCTCTTACTGCTTCTAAAAGAAGAGTTTTTAAGGGAGCACTGTTTGGGAAAAATTGCTGTTAAAATTTCTTATCCCTACAGCTACTACTTTGTACTACCCAAATAGTACAAGTGTCTGGATTAATCTTTCACCAAGGTTTATTCAGCTAAATTTGAGGTGATTGTGCTCCTAAGTTATGATTTTGTGTGTTTCTTTTTAAGTCTTGCACATCAGTCACGTGGCAATATCAAATCTTTTACTTACTCCATGCTTTAAGTTTTTCTTTTTGGTTTTTTAAGGAACTGTAATTTGGTCATTATCAGTGATTTGCCTAGAGCTGTCAAATGGACACTTAGCTGGTATATAAATCACACTGTTCTGGCTTCATCATCTCAATTGTTTCTGAACCCGTGCTTTCACTAACAGTTTCTCTTAATTTTCTGTAGTTAAGGCACAGGAATATTGGACTGCTGTTCTGATGAACTAAACAATTTTTCTTTTTAGACTCTTTGGATAAACAAGCTGTGATTGTTGATCAGGAGTCTGATCTCTATAGTAGAATGTATTCTATTGTACTCTATAGTATTATGGGAATGGTGGGTTTGCGGAATGTAGGTTACTGTGTTTTCATACTCATAGTAGACCCACTGAATAAAAGGGCATGATTTATTAAGGCCCATTCATTCGAATGGTCCTACGCTGAGTATAACTTAGTTGGATACAACCCATGGTAGTCTTGCATATTTTTTTTCCAATTAACTCTGAAAGTGTTGACAAAAGGGTATTATTTATAAAATTTATTATATCTTGTCCTTCTAGGGGAACCCCAGGTGGCAAACACACATGTAATAAAAACATAATCAAAACTTTAAAAACATTTAAAACCACCTGAAAACAATGAAATGCAGTAAGACATTTAGTCAAAGCGAATCCTTGTGAATGCACCCTAAAATGTGTTGCAATTGTAGCATGTGCTAAAGATAAAAGAATTTTTAAAAAAACTGGCTCCCACGGCTTCAAAAAATTATATACACACAAAGCAGTGCATCTGCCATCTGTCAAAGTCGTGATTTGTAATTTTTTTTTTATATCAAAGACAACCTCAAAGAAATATGCTGTCAGGTCAGTTAGAACTCAGCATTGTTGGAAAATAAAAAGGATCCGTTGATTATTTGAAAAGTGGAACAGTGTTTTAATCTTGGTGAGAGTTCTTCTTTTTTATTGTTAAAATTTGCCTTATCTGAAAACAAACAGCCTTATCGTAGTCCAGAAGGCTAATCCTTAATTAGGGTTCATTGACAAAGTTCTGCTTTAATAATTCTTGCCTTGTTCACTTCTGGTACATTGCAATGAGCTTCCTAAGAGCTCCTTTAAAGCTTGCTAATCAGTGCCTATCATTTGAATTGTCACTGTGTTGGATTATTTTGCAAGAAGGGGTGCCGTTATTTTGAGGCAAAACTGGAAGCCATGCAGTAAGATTTTCCTTAACCATCTTAGATTATCACATACGGTACTTCCCCCTCTCTCCCTCTCTCTCTCACACACACACACACACATTTTGATATTGGGCCAAGCAATTTGAGGCCCCTGCATTCACTATAAGGGCAAATTCCTCTGGCTTGTCAAATGCATTAACTTAAAACAAAAAACAAAACAATGCCTGCTCAGTTTCAGCCTTGCAAAGGAAACTTCCGGGTCTTAAATTGTGGAAGACTTAGTTGAAAATTCAAAGTGGCACAGAAGGGAAAGAGATGACCATTTTGGTAGCACCTGGATCTGCTGCAGACATAGCTATTGGAAGAAGTGTTGCTAATATCAGTCATAATACCACTTCCTGGCAGATTAGTCCAAAGGCAGTGTGCTTTGAAGAGCGTCTGGCTGGGAAGCTTATAAACTGGGCATTGTGGGCAAAGCTATCCTGTGTGTCTGCAACATCTGGTAATGGAAATGTAATCCCAATGAAAGCAGGAGACAACTTTTAGATAGCATGGCTAATAACTCTTTGTAGGCCTACTTTTCATTATTTGTCTAATTTCTTCTTTAAAGCTATTTAAGTGAGTAAACATCACTTAAGCAGGGCTGGGGAGCCTGTGGCTCTAGATGTTGGACTCACAACTCCCATCAGGCCCAGATCGCATGATCAATGGTTGGGGATGATGGGAGTTGTAATCTAGCAACCACCCCATCCCAAACCTCATTTCAGAGTGATCATAGAATTGTACGAATTCCGTGAACTCAATGTGTGGGTTGCAATGTACTTCCTTTATCTTGTCTTGAATTTCCTGTCACTTCATGAGGAGACCTTTGAATGCTGTATTATTATTATTATTATTACTACTACTACAGTGGTACCTCGGGTTACAGATGCTTCAGGTTACAGGCACTTCAGTTTACAGACACTTCAGGTTACAGACTCTGCTAACCCAGAAATAGTACCTCAGGTTAAGAACTTTACCTCAGGATGAGAACAGAAATTGCGCGGCGGCAGCGGGAGGCCCATTAGCTAAAGTGGTACCTCAGGTTAAGAACAGTTTGAGGTTAAGAACGGACCTCCAGAACGAATTAAGTTCTTAACCCGAGGTACCACTGTATTATTATTGCAAGATAATCTTTATTAGTTTTGCAAATTTCATACTACACCTACATATTATATTACATTTTACATTTATACTTGCTCCTAGGAGCTGACTTCCCTCCTTCCTTCTTCTGACTTCTCTATATCGCCTCAGACGCTGTATTATTATTGTGATTATTACTGTTTTTGTATATGGGACATTGATCCATGAAAGGAGGTACCTTTTAATATTGCTATTTACTTATTTATTGCATTTATATGCCAGCTTTTTCTCCAAAGAGCTCAAGGCGGCATACATGGTTCTTCGCCTCATTTAATTCCCAAAATAATGCTGTGAAGTAGGTTGGTGGCCCAAAGTCACCAAGTGAGCTTCAAGGCTGAGTGGGGATTTGAGCCCTTCCAGGTCCTAGTCTGACACTTTTAACCACTACACAACACTGGTGGTTAATGGAGTTCAGTTAGACAGAGAACTGAAACAGGACCATGTAGCCATCTTGTTGTTGTAATGTTTGAACTAGGCGAATGCATCCCATCTGCATGCAGAGTTCAGGTAGGTGTTTTTTCACCCCAGAGTTTCTGGTGACCACCTAGTGGAGTAGAGGAGGGAGTTTGCAAGTTGGAAGAGACAGGCCTGGGCTTTAGTTGCAGGCTATAGCTTAAGTGTGAAATGTTTCAGGCAGAAAATACTAGCAAGCGTAGTGAGAGACCAGACTCTGAATATTTTTTATACCTGATCTGGCTACACCTGAAACGGCATGCCCCTATTCTGTTCCTGAAGATACCTAAGCACACACATTCATAGGCAGCTCTCATAAAGTCTATCCATAACTAACTGGAGTAAGTTATAAGCTAAGCCCTATTCCTTCTATATTTGAGAATACTGATGTGTAGGAAGATGTATCACCTTTCTATCCAAATTTTGTTATATGTCCAAATAATTCCATTTTGTATGAGATTTTCTTTAAGGTTGGCAGACGCAATGTGGGCCCATGGTTTCCCCAAGGTCACTCCCATGGGAAACTTTCAGGGCTTAGCAGCTGCATTATTCACTTTCTGCCACTTTGGTCTTATTTCTAGTCCGTTGACTGTAATAAATTGACCATGACGACTTCCTGCATATAAAGAAGCCTTATGCACAGAAATTTTTTCTGGTAGTTATAGGGACCAGCTACTGCCTCTAACATAACTGCCTAGGGGACATGGGGGCTTTGACCCCCACAATAAAATATTTGAGGCGGCTGTTTCTCCCCCCCCCCCAAGTTAAAGGGTATTCCCATTCAAATGGTGCTTGTTCATGCATCATGTGATTGATTATGTGGGGCAGGGCTTACCTGGGCCCCCCACAATATTTTATTCAGATGGGCACCCCTGACCTCTAACTAGCCTAGACCGTTTAATTTCCTAAGATAAGCGCAAAGCCATGCCTGCCACTCATCAGAAAAATGACATACTCACACCCCCAGCCATGAAAATACTTTAATTCGACTGCCAACCATTGATGTGTGCTTTGATGAGACTGTCCTATGAAGTTGCTCTCGTACACGTGCATATTCAGTAATAATAATCATTAATTTTCTGGAAGGATGTAAACATGATGGGGCCTGTAGGTTTCTCTGCTTCTCTCCTCCCTTCTTATCCTTTCTGCTTCAAGGCACAGAACTCAAAAGTCTTTTAGGAATGCAGACAAAGTGTTTTCACTCCACCCCCTGGCATGTTTGCCATAAGGTACAATTGGGACCAGTTCACAGTGAGCCTCGCTCCCTGTTCCCTCTTACGTTTCACCATTTCTGACAGGGCTCAGCCATTCTCTGCTGATCTAGCCCAGGAAGTTTTATCAACCGTCCCTCAAGACCAAATAATACATTCTTCTTTGGGAAATTATCCTCACAGCTTGTCCTGATTTAAGAACCAAGCACAGATCTTAGAACTGTCCCAGGTGAAAAAAATTACAGGAGAATTAAGTACACTCATACTGGCTCCCTTAATTTACCTCAGGTTTTTGTTCTTACTCAAACAGCTGCTGCCAAAAGAATATTTGCTCAGAACTTCAGTTAAGATGGATACTCTGAAGGTACTATTGTGTGCTATTCAGTACTTTCTCCTAAAGTACAATCATATCATGAACCTAAGTTGGGTGTGGGGTTTCTCCACCTCCTGACAGAACTAGCGTCAATCCATTGCTCTTTTCCTCCCTTGCCCTTTGTAGCAACTGAGGGAGGATTAAAAAGAGCCTTGTTAATGCAGTGAAAATTGCTAATAGCAGTCAAAGCAAGCGCCAGCTTCTATGTTTGGTGTCACATGATGGTGAACCTAGGAATTTTTGTTTCATTCCTGTGTGCAGTGCATGGAATGGACACTTGTAGAATCACAGATGCTG